TTTGTAAAGTTCCTTCTTGCTAACTCCATACTTGTTAGTTGTTAAAGCTGCTGGGTTCCCTTTAGACTTGTCAAATGGAGTGGCAAGCTCATCCCCAAGTTCTCTACCAATGTGAAATGATTGCATTGCTTCAGAAAATTCATTTGAAGTTACAAAGCTATAAGGCTTATCTTTATCAGCCCAGTATTGCTCTTGATCTTTCCTTGATGTCACCTATTATAGAAATAACAAGAGGCAAAAAGCAAAATAAAGTTATAATTGTCAAGTCCAATCTGTTTTGGAGAAATGAAATGAATTAATGGGAATATATGTCATTTTATAAGTAATTACTTCTTGTAGGAAATCAGCAACTCCTTTCCTCTCTGGACATTTGAAGCCCATGTGCTCAAAGAACTCGAGCACATTCTCGCGCGGACCTTGATACACAATGCACCCATCTGAGAGGAGAATTATATCATCAAAGAGTTCATAAGTTTCTGGTGCTGGTTGCAGGAGAGAGATTAGGGCAGTTCCATTGAGAATGTGGATGGATTGTCTGAGTGCATTCACAATGTGAAATGTTGTTGAACTGTCCAACCCAGTTGATATCTCATCCATAAAAAGTGCTTTTTCTGGTCCAACCAGCATCTCCCCTGTTAGTATTGACCATTTTCTTAGAAGAATCAGCCTAAGTACACTGTGACACTTATAGCGTCTGGAAATTGGTAGCAAAAAAATTTGTCTTGTTCTAGAACTATAATTCATAAGTTCTACCTGTGGTGAGTCGCTTTTTTTGGCCCCCAGATATACCTCGTCTCATTTGATCCCCTACCATGGTGTCAGCACAAACTTCTAGTCCCAAAACCTGCAAAATTATATTAGCAAAAAAACACAAGGAGAAGCCAAAAGACTTCAGTTTCTGACCATATAAATTATACAGACGTAGTAATCTTTATATAAAGGCATGAACTTGGACAAACTGTGGATACCTTGATTATGTAATCTGTAACTACATTGGTTTCCTGTCCTTCCAGTGCTGCTGCCTGCAAAAATATAAGAGCATGAAAATGCTTTCCAAAGGAGCACGTGCATAGTTGCTGACATATGTATCAATTATAAACAGAAAGCTATAACATTTTATTTCCTCCAGCAATCCAGCCGTTCTTATACCTTCATGTAAACATCAAGATCAGGATCTGGCTTAATATTTGCAGCCTTCTCTCTTCTTGATAATTCTACCAACATTTCTGAAAAGTTTACAAAAGCAAATGAACTTAATTCAGATTTTCAAAAATATGCTTCAAACTTATAAGTTCGATATGTGAAATTTCACTGCTTTTTCAACCGACCATAACGCGATCCAACCCCTTGACATCTTGCAGAAAAAGCCAGCGTTTCTCTGACTGTCAATTCTGGTATGTGGAGATCATGCTGGCTAATATAAGCTGATGTCCTCTCCGGTATAAACTCTTCCATCCCGTGTCCGTTGTATGTAACTCTCCCCAAAAGCTAAGTTGTAAGCAAAAAATTATATGAAATCATAACATGAAAACTGACACTAGAAGGATAGTGTAATTAATTAGATAGAAATATAATTCATATCCTTACTTTTAGATCTTTACCAAGTTTTCCAGCCAATGCCAATAGTAATGTGGTCTTTCCAGAGCCCGGGGGGCCTAAAAGCAGTGTCATTCTGCAGAATTATTCAAACCAGCAATTCTGGGAAACAGTTTGATAAGTACTACAGTCTATGTTGAATATTTATCTTCCTAATTAGTTACCTTCTTGGCTTGATAATCCCACTTACATCATGGAGGATTGGCAATGGTTTCTTTCGACTCGGAATAATATGAAGGTAATTCAAGAAACCCTTCAGAAAGAAAAAAGAAAACATGATGTACAAGAGAAAGTTGACCCAAGCTAAACACAAACACCATACACCTAAACTATTTATACATGTTTGTTTGATTCAAAATATGAATTACCTCTAACATATTGATGGAGAAGTTGAACACACTAGGCAATGCCCTGCCTCCTACATAAGCCTCTGCTTCAACATTTAAATGCTCAAACCGCACTTCAGTTGTTGGAAATTCAAGCCCAACTCTGAGTTTAAAGTTTGTAAAACAGACAAAGCACCAACACCAAACAAGTCATGAATTTCTTCAGACACATAGTAAACACACATTTCTCAAGAACCCCATTAACAAGCTAATCAAATATAACGAGTCAGGAACTTTTCATGAACAAAGTGATTTGAATTATTAATTACCTGTTCATGCGGTCCTTGAGCTTTAACAAGAACTTCTCATTATCTTCCTCTGCAATCTTCACAAGTCTCTCCAACAAGCTCTTCCTTTCTAATAATCCAAGATTGTTTACATCAATGATCTCTCTAACCTGACCATCCTCTTCTGCAAGTAGGCCTCTCCGTATGCGTAAATATGTGGGCAACCTCTCAATAGCAGCCCATGTTAGAGACTCTTCGTCGTCTTCTTCATGGTGAGAAGACTTGGAGAAAGCTTCCATGGAAGTGTTTCTCCACATGTCAAAGCTGCTTATACGTCCACTCCCAGAATTGCTCATTGTCACCCCCCACCTCCGCTATACTAGTGCACCTATTTCATCAAAAATTCAAAATTCAAACACAACCCTCCAAGCTTTCTCCAAACTTTCATGCAAGAAAACTGCATTTCATGAATTTCAGAGCTGAACTCAGCATTGCTATTAATTGCAATGCCTTTCAGGATGTCTGAAAGGACAGAGAGATGACCAAACGTGTCTGTGTCACACCAGCTATGTCATTCCTTCAGTCGTGTATACTGTGGATGGATTTATTTATTTATATCTATTTTGATTTTTATACCCGACAACAAAAATATTTATTTGCGTAAGTCTGACAATAATAAAAAACTGGGTTGATTATTAGGTTCACATGAATTTTTTTGAAGTAATTCATCATTGTTTTTGTTTAATTTGATGAAATTTCCTTTAAAAAAGCGTCATGATATGAAATCTTTTGCAGAATATGCAAGCTAGCTAGATTTTAAACAAGTTCCAAAATGAAATTACCATTTCCAATAGGATACTACTTGCCTCCTTACCGTTTAGGAGATATTCCTCCTTCCTGCGAATCACAATTTGATACATATGCAAAAATAATTCATCAAAAACACAAAAAGAAAAACTTTTGTACACATGACACATTGCTATTAGTAGGGATGTAAGAGCTCATACTTACCTAGTAAGGAGGGAAGCCAATAACACTGCATTGGACATGTTGATTTTTTATTTTTATTTTTTTATAAAAGAAAAAGATAACATTGCACATGCACCATGCATCATTTTTATTTTCATTTTTCAGTTGGAATTTGTCACCACTCAGCGGGGGCAAGGTCAACCCTTTTTTAAAAAAAATTAGCTCTGGCTAGATGCTTTGTCGGGCATCTAAACAAAAACTTGAGAACGTGACAATTCAGGGCCTGAAACACCTTGATTTACACAAAAACAAATACAAACATGTACAAACAAATAGATTAATTTCCCTTACATGTATAGGGTTTGACCAAAAAAAAAAGAAAAGAAAAGAACACAGCAATTACAGCCTATTCTTTTGCCAACTTTCAATCTAAATCTACCTTCCATTTATCCATGCAGTTAATTATGAATTTATGAGCCAATTGATGTTGGATTAGTAGGATGTAGGCCTAGAGACTAGTTGATTCAATGCAGTGTGGAGTAGTTTAGAATATCGTTTTGTAAAAATTAAATAATGAAAATATACATAGGCCTAGAGAAATATTAGACGAACAAATCTACACATAAGTGTTTCGTCATTGATCGAACCATGAAGGCCTAACTAACTCTTTTATTTTAAGTAAAAGCAAGCTCACTTTTGTGCAAGGGCGCAATCAATACAATAGTAATTTCTTCGGATGTCCCCCCTTCACTCAAGGAATATATTCAATAATAGAAAGGTATAATAAAGATTCCAAAGTTAAAATAAATTATTTTTTTTGGTCAATTACATTAAAATAAATTTAATGACTCAGCAGAGTAGCATTAGAAGAATTATTAATTAGCAAAATAACAAGTGACACATCCATAATTTTTATAAACATAATGACTTATATATGAAGTACTTACGTCCTCCTCTCCGATCAGCTTTGCCACTTTAAACGTCATTGCTTACTGCATTTTTTTTTCACTGGAGGCGTCACTGCTGACTTCAGAATTTAAATCAGAATTTTCTTTACAAAATGCATTTCCTTCCCCATTCTTAGGTGGAATTTCTGTTGGGAGCTTCCATTTCTTAGGTTATATGTCACATTCTCACTTGGACGACTTTAATTCAAGGGACTAATGTCTAATCAATGTTCATTCAAGAAACACAATAGTAAGACGTTACATTAATAAATAAATAAAATAGAGCAAAACAGATAAAGAGGTGAAACACAACACGATACTCAAATAGAGCAACGCAATAAATTAACGGGCCGGATTTAAATTGATTACAATTTCACATGTCACAAACACGCTAGAAAAGAACATGTTGTCAAGAATATATACAATGATGTTAAATGCACATGATGTGCAACTAATGACTTGTGTAACATGTGATTCATCCGGAATAAACGGAACCAACATGCTCGTTTTCAGGAAAATGGGAAACTTCATCAATTTATATGTTGAAAATACAATTACATATAGCTGAGATACAGGATATAATATTCTACTGGCGCAAAAGATATATTTATATTGAAAGATAAAACGAAATTTACATGCTAAATTAAAATACAATTACAAAATTCAGATCAAACTCCATGCATATGGAGTTGGCTTGCCCCTTGCCCCAGAAAAACTGAGAAGAAAGATCTTGGAGTTTACTTGTATAGCAAACGGCATAAATCCTAACATATATGTATACAATATATGTATGCACACTTGCTAACATCTTGAAACTTCACCAAACCCTGAAACTATGGACTTTGCTTTCATGTTGGCATTCTCAGCTTCCTCCTTTATCTCTTTTGGAAGTTGAACACCTTGATTGAGAAGGCAAAGGTGAAGCCGAAGAGCACGCAAATCCCGACATGGACGGCTGCAACTACTCCCAGAAAATCCTGTCTGTAGCCAAAGTAGTCCTTTACAAAGTGTTCCACACTTTTACCAGCACTTTCACCTGAATCAAATATTTCTTTAATGTCTCCAAACTGTGAAGCAACTAATCCATACAGTGTGTATGAAACCGGGCAAATCCAGTAGTACCATCTCCACCAAATCGGCATCCTCTGTAGTAGAAACAAATTTAGTACATCGTTTAAGTAATGGTTGGGTTGATATATACATCAGGGAAAACAAAAACCAGATATGGAAAGAAATTTTAGGAACTTACCGTTCTTGGAATGATGAATCCTGAGAAAAGGTTCCATATAGCATAGAAGGCAGAGGAGACTATGGCAGCAATGTTGTGGTTGGGAGTGACGGCTACGGTCATCATGCCATAGAATGTGAAGTATAGGAAAGTGAAGTACATGAAGAAGAGATACCATAAAAATTTGCTCACTGTCCAATCAAATCCGATCATGGCGTACACTATAACTCCGTATATGATGGTTTGAACAAAAATGTAAGGGAGCTCAATCACAACCTGAAAAACATGGGAATTTGATGTGAAATTATCATGACCAAATTCACCAAAATCTAATAAAATCCAAGTTTATAAGCAGCCTTGTTGAACTTCAGAGACTGAGAGTATTAATGTACCTGTCCAAAGGCATATGGCAAGGCTGAGTACATTCCAGCTGCCCTTTCTCTGTAAAAGACTGTTCTCTCAATAGCCACAACTGGCTGCACTGATGAAGCATTTTGTACACCAATGAAGAGAACAGCAGCATACATGGAACCCATTGCATTGAAAAGGTCTTGTTGGCTTCTCCTGCATTTTCAAGAAATTCTTGTCAAAATAAGGACTAATAGATCAGGGGTTTCATTCTCAAACGATTCAATCTGTATTTTATTTTAAATTTAAGTTTCCATTTACCTTTTGGAGCCGAGATCCCAGAATATCGTCCCAAACATTAAAGCTATGAAAGTTGTGAACAAGAGTCTCACTGCACCGTATGGCGGGTTTCGCCAGTATGATAGATGTTGTTTCCATAGACAGGCCATACACTGGCTGAAGAAAGACTGAGAGTATTGAGTAGGGAAGTACAAGTCTTTTGAACCTGCTGGAGGAGTACTAAGGTCCTTGATCAGAGCTTTGTTTCTCCTGAACCATTCAACACATTACTATTAGTAATTCGCAGTATCAGGGCTTTCAATCAAAATTTTAAGAGTTGAACAGATTTCAGTTCAGAGTCTCTACAAGGGGGATTTAGAAGTAGTATTGGAAACTTCAAGGAAACCCTACCCATAGAGTTCTGAGTTCTTGTATATTTTGGCGAAGTTGACACCAAGAGCTGCTTCTTGTGCTGCTGCAGTAATCTCTAACATCCAAGTCGCGGGATTGTAACCATCTTTAATTTTAGGAACTCCATCAATTTCCTTGATAAAACAAAACCATATCAGTCACATTTTTTATCAGATATGACAATAGGTAACAAATAATCTATGTATTGGCCGCAGTAAACATGTTATACATATATTTGCAGCATGCTTCTATAAACCTTACCTCAAAGTACTTGATCAAATGGGTAGAATGGCGGCCCAAAGGACCCACATATATTTCTTCACCTCCCCTTTTCAAAAGAAACAGCTGCAATGGGACATTGAATTGTTCAGTTCTGTCACATTATGTAGTCCAAATTTATAATCCTATAGCATAAAAGAGTGTCTCACCTCATCGAAAGCATCAAAGATGTCGATGCTTGGCTGGTGAATGGTGCATACTACAGTTCTCCCAGTGTCCACTGTATTCCTCACTGTTCTCATACAATTGCCGCTGCCCTGGCATCGAGGCCAGAGGTTGGCTCATCCATAAATATAATGGATGGATTGGCAACAAGCTCTACTGCAATCGTTAGCCTTTTGCGCTGCTCAGTTGAGAGACCATTCACTCCAGGCAATCCAACAAGCGCTTCCCTTATTGAGGTCAGTTCTACAAGCTCCATGACCTCCTCAACAAACATCTGCAAACCATGAATCAGATTTATGGTCAACAAATTGGCTGAACAGACCACATAAATAATGAACTTATGCAACCCTGCCTTTTGTTGCTATTTCTTTCATCTACCTCAAGCTTCCAATAAAAATAGAAAGATAGGTCAAAAGTATATACCTTTCTTGTTGAGGAATCAACCTCAGGAGGCAACCGGAGCCATGCAGAATAAACCAAAGACTCGTAAACCGTAACATGAGGAGAGTGTATATCAGTTGCTCACAATATCCCGATATGCGAGCAAATGTTTCTTGCTTTTTTGGATGCCCAGATATTGTGATGTTTCCCTCAATATATCCACCTGTTTTCCTTCCTGCCAAGACATCCATTAGAGTAGTCTTTCCAGCACCACTAATGCCCATTAGAGCTGTTAAGACTCCTGGCCTAAAAGCACCAGTCACACCCTTCAGAAGCTGTAGCCGATCCTCAGTTACACCTTGAGTTTTCATTTCCTGAAACCATGTAATAAGATTAAGGGTAAAGATGTATTCCGTGTTAGGAATTAGTTCAAGGCTTACAATGAAGTACATTTCTATAAAAAGTCAAACAGTACTTGTCTGATAGCTATAATTATAATAAAATTCAAGACTAATAACAAAAGAAGGGCCAAATTTTTTCATGAAAATATTCCAAGCATGAATTCTTAAAAACTCTTGCCTCTTACATAAAACTTAAATATACCTCAGGCATGTCAACAGCATATGTGATTTCATCAAAAGTAATCCAAAGAGGTTCAAAAGGAAGAACCATTCCGCGCTTCCTGTTTTCGTTGGCTTCAGTAATGCTGCCCACTCTCGCCGACAATGTTCTGGATGATACACTTCTTCGACTTTCGTTCCTTGAGTCTGCATTGTTTACCAAAGCATTAATCATGTTATAAATCAATGTATGCAAGCTAGATGGAGACCTATACTTGGGAGCTTTATGACCTACCAGAAGAGTTCTTTCCCCGTGATGATAGCTCAATGGAATCTCCAGTTCTATCACTAGTTTTCTCAGCTAAGGCCTCTTTGGATAGTATTGCCTGAGGCTTCCCAAATGCTGCAGGAATATTGATTGATTATTAGAAAATTTGTCCATTTGGAAACACCAAAAATACATATATGCATAGGTAGGTACTTACGATCAAGATATTGTAAGGCCAAAGTGTAGAAGAAATTGAACAGAAAAATGTATCCAATTGTAGCTCCTACTCCAATCCAGTACCAGTATGGTTCAATGAAAACCCCGCGAGACTTCAAGACCATAATTCCTAATGATTCCGTTGAATTAGGAGGAACCTACACACAAATATATCCATATACATATCAGCTAATGTTTTCAAAATTAATTCTCCAAATCTTCTAACTTTTATGCTTACATGGCTCCAACTCTTTCCAAGAAATTCATTGACAGCTATAGCGTTCTGGCCGTACATCATTGGTGAGACCCAGTAACCCCATAACCACCACTTCTGCACATCCTCTGATTAAAAAATGACATGTCTTACAGCATCAGTAATTATGTTGCAATATCAGGAAAAACAAATTGAAATTTTTTAGTTGCTTAGATTATATTGTATCTTTAACTCACCTCGTGACAAGATAAAGCCACCCATAACTAGAACTGCAAGTAATGCAAAAGACCCGAATGTGTTTGCAACAATTATATTCCTCCCTAATGCCCCCATAAATCTGAATAGTCCTGATGCCATCTGGTTAAGGCATAGGAGTAAAAGGTATTGCTTGAAAAACCTGCCATTGAGGGTTTTCATCAAAATCAAATTCTAAACCAAGTCTGAGCTATTAATGGGAATTTTAGTGTCTTTAATGTTTTCTTTCTCACCTTTCGATGTTGGGATCGAAACCAATTACATAGTATGTCATGACCACCCAAACAGCACATTCTATGAAGGTGATAGGGATCTTAAGGATCCATGATGGTAAAGAGTATGCCCATGAAGGATAGAAGAGAAGGTCCCTTTGCTTGAAAAATACAGGAAGTTTCAAGATAGTCATGGCAAGCTCCGAGAACCCGTTAAACATAATTATGATGATTGTATAGAACATAGCACCCATGTAAATACCCCCATCCGTAACTGTATCCCGGTGCATCTTATCCGGAGAAATAGCGTCATTGATATAAAAGCCATTAGAGTGAGCTGAAACCAAACACCACATGAAATCAATTTGCATAGTACTCACTGAGTTTCATTGAAAAGCTCTGCTTTTTAAACAGAGTTTGCACCTATTTCATACGTGGAATGTCCAGTAATTTGAAATATTTTCCAACTGATTACATGATTATTGCTTAAATAACACTTACCTGGGTCATTTTGAAAATGTAGACAAACGAATTCCTCTTCATAAGCAAATATTCTCTAGAAATGCAAGCTTTGAGCAGTTCCTTCTTGCTAACACCATACTTCATAGTTGTTAAAGCTGCAGGGTGACCTTTGGACTTGTCAAATGGAGTAGCAAGCTCATCACCGAGTTTTCGACCGATATGAAATGACTGAAATGCTTCAGCAAATTCCTTGGAAGATATAAAATTATATGGCTCTTCTTTCTGTGCCCAGTACTGCTCCTGATCTTTCTTTGATGTCACCTATGGTGCAGCAGGCAAGCAAAAAATAAATGAAAAGTTAGAATGAAGTCTAACCTCTCGGAGAACAAACAGTGGTAAGAGAACAATAGGAGTGTAAATTAGTATTACTTCTTGTAGGAAGTCAGCTACTCCTTTCCTCTCTGGACATTTGAAGCCCATGTGCTCGAAGAACTCGAGCACATTCTCGCGGGGACCTTGGTATACGATTTGTCCATCAGACAGCAGAATTATGTCATCAAATAAATCATAAGTTTCTGGTGCTGGTTGGAGAAGAGAGATAAGAGCAGTTCCACTCAGGATGTGGATGGATTGTCTGAGTGAATTCACTATCTGAAATGTTGTTGAACTGTCCAAACCAGTTGATATCTCATCCATAAAAGTGCTCTTGCTGGTCCGACAAGCATCTCCCCTGCAATTATGGATCAGAATTTTCAATGACCAACCCAGTATGCAGTGACAAACCAGTAGGCAATAAGATGATCAATGCTTTACCTGTCGTGACTCGCTTCTTTTGCCCACCAGAAATACCTCGTACCATTTCATCCCCCACCATGATGTCGGCGCAAACCTCAAGTCCCAAAATCTGCAGGGTTTTTATTAACATATGAAAAACTTATCCCAAAATCTGAATTTTTTATCAGACAAAATTCATACAGATTTTAGTCATTTTAGTTTCTTGAGCTTAAACTTAGAAGGAAAATGTATCCACCTTGAGTATATAATCTGTAACTACGTTGGTCTCTTGTCCTTCTAGTGATGCTGCCTGCAAAAGTTGAGAAGCATTTCTAGATGTTGAGAATGGCTCTTTTAAGCAACACTTTTGCATTATCTGAAATATGTTATAAGCAGAAAGTTCTATACATATAAATTATACCTTCATGTAGATATCTAGATCCGCATCTGGCATGATATTTGCAGCCTTTTCTCTCCTTGATAATTCTGCCAACATTTCTGAAAATTTTCCGAATGAAAAATTAGATTTCAAATTCATGAAAATTCTTCAGACTAAACCACATATGTCAAATTTCCTGGGGTTTCAACTCACCATAGCGCGGTCCGACCCCTTGGCATCTTGCTGAAAAAGCCAGTGTTTCTCTCACTGTCATCTCTCCTATGTGGAGATCATGCTGACTGATATAAGCCGATGTCCTCTCCGGGACAAACTCTTCCATCCCATGTCCGTTATATGCAACTCTCCCAGAAAACTGGAAATTTAAGCAATCTTATCAAATTATGAAGTGAAACGACTCTGTCAATAAAGGGCTGTACACAAAATTGGATTAATATCCTTACTTTTAGTTCTTTAGCAAGTTTTCCAGCCAAAGCCAATAGCAATGTGGTTTTTCCAGAGCTTGGGGGTCCTAAAAGCAGTGTCATTCTGCAGAAGGCAAATCAGAAAAATGAGAAATTACCAGTTTAAAGGTGTACGATTATTGCATCAGTTGGTTCTGTCATGTTACCTTCTTGGTTTGATAATTCCACTAACATCATCAAGGATTGGTAATGGTTGCTTTCTACTTGGAAGAACGTGAACAAAATTCAGGAACCCCTTCAAAATACAAAATGTCAAACCATTAAGTTTTGAGATATATAAAATTAAAAATTAAAGCGCTTCCAAATTTTAAAAGATGAACTATTGAATTACCTCCAAAATGTTAACACAAAAGTTGAATATTGTAGGCAAGGCCCTGCCTCCCACATAAGCTTCTGCTTCAACACTCAAATGCTCAAACCGGACTTCAATTGTTGGAATATCCAGTCCAACCCTGAATTTCAATACATTAACTTTATCAAAATCTAAACACAAATTCCTCAACAACAACAAAAAACATTAATTTTCTGTTCTCTCTTTTTTCTCTAATTTCACTAAACAAGCTAATTAAGATTTGAAACTTACCGATTAATCCGGTCCTTAAGCTTCAACAAGAACTTCTCATTATCTTCATCTGCAGTTTTAACCAGCCTCTCCAAAACACTCTTTCTCTCTAGCGACCCAAGATTCTTGATATCAATCTCTCTGGCTTGGCCTTCTGCCTCGTTAAGTATGCCTCTTCTGATACGCAAATAAGTAGGCAGCTTCTCAATGGCTGCCCATTTCAGAGCTTCTTCATCGTCTTCATCGTGGGAAGACTTGGAGAAAACATCCATGGCACTGTTCCTCCATATATTTGAACTGCTCAAACGTGCGCTGCTCACTCTGTATATATCACCACCACCTCCACTCTCCATCTTTTAGTAACTATATTGCAACTTCCCAATACAATCAAGCAATCAAGCACAACCCACAAAGCCTTCTGCAACTCTCAGGCAAAATTAATACGCATTCATGGATTTTTGAGCTCAAGCAGCTCAGTATCCCAGATGGGTCTGAATATTTATGAATGGACAGACTTGGAGAGTTACATTAACGTTTGTGAAAAGACAGCTCTGTTTTTCTCTGCTTCTGCATTGAAAGGATTGTTTGGAGTTTTGAATTTTTTGAGTTTGAAGTGAAAGGAAGGGTTATATATACACAAAGCTAATGAATAGTCAACTTGTATACAACTCCACATTCATTGTTGTAGTATGATGTAATGGCATATATCATATATACATAACTCAATTTAAAAATAAAAATTAAAGTTGTACAAAGATTTTTCGATTTTGCAATGAGTCGATTTTTTTTTTAACACAAGTGATAGTCTAAACTATAGGGCTCGTTTGATTCATGGCTCGTTTGATTCATGGATTGAAACTCATTCCCAAGCTCCTAAACCTTGAACCAAACGGGCCCTAATGGGAGGAACCTGAGACCAATGATATGAAAATCAAGCTCTTTTCCTCACTGAGCCAGACCCCATTGGCTAATGAGTTTGGTATTTAATTATGGCTAACATCATAACTTTGTTATGGATGCTTTGTCCCGTTGTACCACTATCTTCGCAAATATCCTATGTTAGTTTTTTTAAATAAATAAAAACTACTGAGATTATCAGGAAATGCAGGGGAAATTACAAATAATTCGATTTTTAGTGTTTCCCATCTTCACAGCTAAGTTTGAATGAAGTGCCCAAGAACTAAAAATCCAAATAATATTATTATATGGATTGCCGACTTCATTTAATAATGATAATGAATGAGTAAGTAAGTGAAAGAATCTGTAAGCCATTGTACTGACGCTGTACAAATCTCGCATGATACATCCAATATCTACTTTTAAATTAATTAAACCATTATATATTAGATTTGTTCATTAATTCCAAAGATAAGATTGAATTAGTAACATGGAACATGCAGTCTGGTTAACGCAATTCCTGGTTAAAATAAGCACGTTTTGTTCACACGGGAGGAGGAAGAAGAAGAAGAAGAAATGTTGCATTTTGGTTCAAGGTCGATTTTGTTTACCTGTACACTATGACGTTTTTTTGGGGAAGTTTCTGGCATTATTTAGTCTTCATTTCGTGGCAGACAATCAAAGCCCAACAGGGATTTTCCTCTCCTTTGACAGAACTTCTTGGCACTCTTGTACTTTTTTTTTCCTGGAAAGAGGGAAGTTTCTTGGCTAGCAATCAAAGCTCAAGCATTTCCAAAGTCATACTTCAAACCACACGCATAAACATGATGAGGGATTTTCTGTATTATTTACACGATACAGAAGATTGTAATAAAATAATAGAAATGGAAGAGTGGGCTGGAGTGACATTCTTGTGGTATTAAATTTTCATGTGGAGTTGTCACATAGATTAATTGCTTCATCCCTTAAGATGCTCTCTTCTCTTAGAGAAAACAAAAATAAAACACCACACACCTTCCATCTTATTTCAAATAGGAGAAAAATTGTTCAGAAGTCAAAATAAAATCATGACAAATGAATTGAAATATTTTTATATTTCTGTTGTCAACGGTGTTAGATCAAACTATAGCTGGACGTGGGTTGAGAGTATGCAGATCAAGGGTTGGGATCATCCCGGCAAAGACAATCCAAATCTTGAAAAAGATCTTGCCTTTACATGCAATGCATGTTTTCATGTGGGCTTTCCACTAAGTCAAACAAAAATTAATGATAAGAATCTTTCATGGGGTTGACTCCGAATGGTCTATGAGGGTCGTTGATTCTATATGGCACGTATGGCTTCCGGAAAGACCGACTGTTTTGCAAGGAAATTTTTTTAAAGGGTTTAGGGTTAAAATTAATTAACGTTATCTTAATAATAATAATGAAGTCTAATTCCAATAATTTGGCTAATAGGTGTCAGTTTTCTAGTAAGAGTTCCAACTTCAAGTGTCAAACACACGTTGAAGATTTTTTAATTTTTTACTAAAAGCAATAGTTTAAACTACCTACTAGTCTGCAAGTCAAAACTTTTTTTTAACTGGACTAGACACTGTTAGTCGGGCTGAAAATTTAAAATGGACAGAAAACGGTAGGTTATTGTTTGCATTAAATGGAGAGAAAAACGGTGGCTTTAATTATAGCTTTTGATCAAGGATTACTTGAGCAACAAGCCATGGAAGGAAAAGTTGAAGACGTTATTGCTTACTTCATGAGCATCTGTTCAAACTTAATAAATATTCGGAAAAACAAAACTATAATATATAGACTCTTTACCAACTTTTTCCTATTTCTTAAACCAAAAGAAATTGAAAAAAACGATTTCCCATTTCTTACAAACAATGAAACGTTTTCCCATTCTTTTGAACTGTCAGAATCTTCAAAAAGCTAAAAGAACTTGGATACTATTGACGCTTGAACTTCGAGAAAAAAAAAACAAAAAAAAAACAAAAAAAACAAAGTTGTGCACATACTAGGACTAGAAAAATAATGTCAACAAGAAACTCCATAATATCCCTAAAATAATCTTATGAAACCATGCATGTACCTGGTTGGAATTCAAAGATTAGTGACGTTTACGAACTAAGTCTGGGTATTATGATCCTTCTTTTCCTAATGTCTTAAAACGTCATGAGTTTGAATTTCCATTCTCTATTGATTAAACAAAGATTAGTGATGTTCCACTTAATTTATACCATTTACAATATGAATATCTGATAGCCATCGACCCTATACGAATCGAAATTTGCTTTCTTTTCTGATCATCAGAATAACAAGTATTAGGATTGAACAGATGTGGATGTAGATATGACAAGATTGAATTTATTTTGACTTTTATGACAATAAGACTTTTCTTATTGAGAGGGACGATAATATACTAAACTCACACACACAACACGAATGCTAGCACTCGAACCCAAAACTTTGTTTGGAAGAGCAATCACTCCAAACCATTACATTAGTTGCAAAATTTATATACATTTAAATTAGCATCCAAAAGCGATTGGAGCTCCTCTTCCAGTCAATAAGATGCATCTAGAGCTGGATGTTTGGCTGTATTGCTCTGATGACGGGCCTTTGGCCAAGAAAATTTTCGTAATCTTTATTCTTTATTATTTAAAACTGAATTAGGTCAAAGGTTTTTTTTTCCTATAATAATATAGGTCAAAGGTGGAACCACTTAAATCATATATATATATATATATATATATATATTTCCAACGTGCATTTTTCGTAATAAGTATCTATTTTGGAAATAATTATCTAAAAACGTAAATCAAATCCTTAACATAAAAAAGAAAAGAAAATACCGAAGCTCAACGTAAAATGCCTACGCGCGCGGCTCTTGGCTCTTGCCAAAGGTTCGACCAAGCCCAGCAGCAAGATTTTATTTATTTATTTTTACAGGAACCATCGAGATTAATTGGATCTATATGATCATGTGTCCCATGTGTACAAAATCCCCACACATCCGGAGAAGATATGTCGGTCCATATGGTCAACCAATTATTTTCCCCCCTCTTATAATCTTATTATTATTATTGATGTATATTACACTATATGTTATGTATAGTATGATATTAATTAGCTATTTTTTTGGGTACATGCATCTAAGTGGAAGTTGCTTGATGCCAACCCAAAATATTTAGTTTTATTAATTAAATGCGCTCGAACGGAACTTAGAATTTTTTTTTTTTTTTTTTTTTTTTTCCAATCGTTGGGAGGGGGAGGAGGGATATTAGTTAAACTGGTTCTCTACAAATTTTTGCCAATATCAAGCGTCGAACCTCGGTGCCAATTAGCTAAACTCATACTCATTAACCGAACTCCAAAAATATCATGCCACCTTGCCAATGTCATATTATTGTAAACTAGGTTAAAGCTCATGGGCTGCACGGGAGTTCTCAATGATTTGATCCGTTGTATTTTCTACTTCATGTTTGGTGTACGGATGTTGGAAAACTAAAATTGATAAAGATTCCTATATTTAGTTTTATGTTATGGTGTTTGTGTTTGAATAAAGAGACAAAACAATATATAAATATTGAAAGTGAGGATGGAGAAACCATGAATTTGCATGCAAAACTACACAACTTGTGTGCAGTTTTCTAATGGATATATACGTAGAGTTGCAAGTTAATGAAACGACAAACCGTGGAATCTCCCCCTCAAGAAAAAGTTAGTTGTTTTGCATTATGCTCAAAAGAGTTTAATTATAGATAATCAATTCGTCATTCATATAATTAACAATGATTGTCGTTGTTGGCATGCTACATAGAGCTAATTAGGTAATTTTTTATATATTAATATAGAGCTAATTTCATCTTATTGGCTAGATAGAGATTGACTAATTGGGAATGCCTAGCCAAGTTGGGGGGCTTGTTGTATAAATAGAAATTTTTTTTGATTCAGTTACACATGATGCCAACACTGCCATTTTATATGAGGTCATCCGTGTGATTAACTGTCTTAATTAATTTTATCTTGGCCGCAGAAATCATTGACTGTTCAACCTCAAAATGACGTCGTTCATCCAAAACAAAATTGGCCACCCATCAAGGGTTGACAACTTGACATAGAAAGCTACTATTAGGATAGACTTACTTAGCTAGGCTACATCGTATATACCCTTTAAGTAATAAAAGTTTACAAATTCAGCCCGCAATCTGCGTCAGTAGTCCAACGGTTAGGATAATTGCCTTCCAAGCAATAGACCTGGGTTCGACTCCCGGTTGACGCAGTTATTTTTCTTTACTTTTTTTTTATTTTAAAATTTTAACTTTAATTTTTTGAAATTACATAGGAATAATAATAGAGTACTTTGTACTTGGTAGCTACTAACTATACCTTTCCAGCCTAAATAGTTACAAATCATGTATTAATTTATTTAAGATTAAGATGTAAGATAAATAAATAAACATAAAACTCAAAGTAGTAGGTGGTCCTACCCCATAAATAAACATAAAACTCAAAGTTTTTCAACATTATGCTCTTTTTTATTTTATTTATACTGTTTTTTAATAATATTTTTGGTCAATATAGGTCAGGCTATATTAACAGTTTGTTTCATGCATTATTCATTTGTCTCTGTATGAATGTGTATATTAATCTCAGAAATTATGGACAGAAGAGAGCCTATATCCAAAATTCCAAATCCACCAAGTAAGATGCTTCATCAACTGCAACACCAGCATCATTATTTAAGCTCTGTTTGGAGAAGTGGCACATCATAGTTCCAGTTCCAGTTGCAGGTGCTGTCTGTCTCAATCAAAATACAAGTAATTTTCAGAAAACTGCTTGTCCAAATTCTGTTAAATAATAACCTATTTCCCCTTAAATCAAGGGCATTAGCTGTGTAGACCTTTGCTTATGCTTCTCTAATCCAGAAAGTACATATAATTATGTATATGGCCGGACAATTGGTGAAGGTAATGCCTCATAGTTTGACCTATATATTTTCCTATTTATAACTGTCGTTTATAAGGTTTGAATTAAAACGATTCTCATTCTAAGTTTTCGTAATATATTAAAGATTACAATATATATAGTTTAATTATATAAAAAATTGAAATAAATAAATAAATAAATACTTAGCTTCACAAATACATTGTATGTAACCTCCTGTGGTTGAAACATACACGTCACGCTTTGGGAGCTTCTGCTAAAGATTGGATGAGGGGACACATTCTAGTTTGGAAATATGGAGGAGAACACTGAATACTAAAAATAAATATATAAAAAATTAAGGAAATTGGTGGGCGGATATTTAATAAAATAGTACATGTTTTCCATTCTACGACTATCCTATGACATGTTTAACAGTAATGTCTAGTGGTCTGCGAAATTGAAGGTTTTGTGGTTGCATGAAACGTGTCCAGTTTTGATGGGTTTACTTGGACGCTTGTCGCCACCGTGATGAATACAAGCCTCCTGTCAAGGGTACAAAATCAAAACAAGAATTGAAGAAAATAAACGTAAACATATATAATTAGACGGCTTGTCACACCCATTTGTATACATTTGATGCTCTCATAAATAGTACTAAATTAAATTCTGACCATTGGCTTCGAAACTCAATTTTTGTTGGGATATGGTGCAACCCTTGTATTGTACTTAGAAGCCCAGCTAGGTTTTGTTCAAATCCATCAAGATGGTTGGAGAGAGTTGTAAAATAAGATCGGTTTCACATAGCTTGGTTACCTCATCACGTGGAAGTGTAACCATTACTACCCTACTTAGTTGACCATCTCTGGGTTTCGCTGGAAGGATCAAGACTTTCCCTAATCCTAGCACCGGCTCGATATAACATGAAACATGAATCGGTGCGATTCCATCTTCAAAAATTGCTAAAAACGGGTCCACAGCTTCTAAGCTAGCACAAATGAGGTCACATTTGTTCATCAACGAAGGAGATTGGTCATCGTTGCATTGAAGCCATTCGATCAAATCCATGATTCCCTTATTGTCCATTTTTGCTACAACTTCACCTATAGAAGTTGTAGCTTGTGATAGACTATTTCTTGGAAACTCTCTAGATGGACCTTGTTATAAACCGTGCTATTTCCAAAGAAGCCTTTATCCAAACCCAAAACCTTTCTCACATCCAAAGATATGGACATGTCAATAAGGCCATTTCTCATTCCTTTGACCTTGCTAATACAGACCCAAAATAGCCCAGCCAGGGCCTCAAATGGTGATGGGCTTAATTTGTCATTTGCACCATTAGGCTGGGCCATTTCCATGCAGGCCCGAACCATGTCGTCCGAAAAACCGAAACTAACAGTTGTGTGCTTTTTGTCTACAAGATCAATGGACTTGTTGATGGAGGCTTTGTAGTGGTTGATCAAAGAATTATAGGGCTTGTAGTTGGGCCTTGTGTTGTCGGGTCTCCGCGGTGGCAACGGATAGAAAAACGGAGGACTCATCATTTTGCCCGGAAAGGATGTGTCGGCCCAAGCCTTGATAAACATGGTGGCACAAGTAGGATCTGCAAGGAGATGAGTGCAACTTAGCCCAATTGCCAATCCACCATCCTCAAATTCAGTAATCTGCACACATAAAAAAGAAAGAAAAAAAAGACACTATCAATATTACGAGAGAAAATGTTATGTTGTCAGAATGTGAATATAATTATATAATATCAACCTGAACATAAAATGTTGACCAAAAGTAAGGCTTATGGTACATTTCCTCCCAATAAACAAGCATAAGCTCCTTGTCTCTATCCATGTTCCTTAGCCACTCCTCCAAACTCCCTTTGGCCTTAGCTTCCAGCATTCTCACGCCAGCATCATTGCACTTGATCATCCACTGATCGTTGTCATTCTTCTGCAACCGGCCTGTAACGATCGGGAAATGTGTAAGCGTGACGGCGAGGGACTCTCTGAGCCTCCCTGTTATCTCACCCGGCTCTGTTGGGGCACCCATTGATGGGTAATACAAGACCATCCTAAGATGGTTGTGTTCCATGTGGCGGTCAAGGACAGATAGGGGGTAGCTTTTTCCTGCTTGGACTGGCTTTGTGCTCACTACGGTGCGTTTGCAAATGATTGTGATGATCTCGGCCATTGCTAGGATCTGGCTGGGATTTCTGATGATGGTCAAGGCTCTTATTATTGGTTGCAAGTTCGAGATGAAGGTTGGTTGAAGGGTCCATCCAAGGAACCAGAAAAAACAAACTCTCGTGTATTGGGGGAAATGAGATTCTCATGATCCAGTTAAAAAATTAATATCATTTTGGCATGTTTGCCTTTGCATAATGAACTCTGTTTTTGTTGCCTCTCTCTATGACAATCATACCATGGTAGATGGGTCTTTAAAGACAACCATACCATTTTCTTACAATGGAGCATACAACGGCAACTCACAAATCTAAATTATACTGTTATAAAATTGAGAATGTCAATTCAAAATTCGAAAACGTGTTCGTATGAGATATGAATCCCTACTATAGAATTTTCCTTCTTTGATTTGATGGTGGGTATGAAACCCTCCTTCAAATCCCCTATTAAAGATAAATTCTTTTAATTTTTATTTTTTTGAGATCAGTGAAAAAGAATAAATGAGAAAATAAGAACCATCTAGGAAATTTCCCAAAAACCACTAAGCAGCTGTTTAGAAGCCCAATTGTAAAGTCCCTTTCGCTTTCAAATCCAGACATGAGATTGTCATGATCCAGTTAAAGGAACCAAAAAAAACGAACTATCGTGTATTGGGGGAAATGAGATTCTCATGATCCAGTTAAAAAATTAATATCTTTTTGGCATGTTTGCCTTTGCATAATGAACTTTGTTTTTGTTGCCTCTCTCTATTTTATTTTTTTTTGTTGAATAAAATTTGACAAGGAAAAGTAAAATTATGACATGACATGGTAGATGGGTCCTTGAATACAATCATAATAGTTTTTTCAAAAGTAATATAAAATAATTACAATGGAGTAATAGAATGACCACTAATAAATCTAAATTATACCGTTACAAAATTGAGAATGTCAACTCAAAATTCGAAAATGTGTAAAAGAATAAATGAGAAAATAAGAACCATCTAGGAAATTTCCCAAAAACCATGAAGTAGCTGTTTAGAAGCCCAATTGTAAAAGTCCTCTTCGCTTTCAAATCCAGACCCAAAATAACAACCCGGTAAGCATAAGTGACTGGAAGAGAAACAAGCGCGCACAGAGCACGTGTGACACACATCTCCTTCCCTCTCCTCCTCAACTTCTCGTATCACAATCTCACACCAATCAGATCAGAAACCCTCCCTCTAATACCCAGAAGAAGAACCAGAAGCAGAAGAAGGGTTTTCGAAGATGTCAGGTGCAGTAGTGGTGGGTTACTCCAGCTCATGGTCGCGCGCCCTAGTCCAGATCTCTCCGTACACATTCTCCGCCATCGGAATCGCCGTTGCCATCGGCGTCTCTGTTCTCGGCGCCGCCTGGTTCTTCTCTTTCCCTTGCCCTATCTTCATTTCTTAATTAAAGTTTTAATCTTTGAAGTTGGTATTGAATTATGGAAATTATTGTGTGGAAATTAGGGGAATTTATATCACTGGCAGCAGTTTGATCGGTGCAGCAATCAAGGCCCCTCGTATCACTTCTAAGAATCTCATTAGGTAATGATTTCTATGAAATTTAACACAATTTCTCCATTACATGTTTGTTTAACCTCTGCTTTTCGATTCACAAACTTATAAAGTAAAATGTAAATCCCAGAAATTGAGATAATTACGATGATCTGAAGTGATATCCCAGTAATTGGATTTGATAGAGGATGTCTAGTCTTAATTGAGAAATGGTTCTAATTGTTTTTGGCAATCACTTATATAACTAGCTTGGTTAATTGATTGGTGGATGGAGAATTGTGCTATCTATTCAAAACACCCCTCAATACTGTTTCTTCATACCAATGTGGGAACTTTTGTTATCTTCTTTCACTTCAAGCTCACTGCCATTTTTGTTAGAATTTTTCTTTATAGTGAATGATGTACGTTGAATTTTTGACTTAAACATAGCACTGATTATATATTCGTAAGTCTGACGTTAAGGACTAACTTCGATGGGATACATCTGTTGTATCAGTGTAATCTTTTGTGAAGCTGTTGCTATATATGGTGTTATTGTTGCGATTATTCTACAAACAAAGTTGGAGAATGTTCCAGCATCAAAGATATATGCACCTGAGTCTCTTAGAGCTGGATATGCCATCTTCGCCTCTGGGATTATCGTGGGCTTTGCAAACCTTGTCTGCGGGTTGATATCTTTAGCCTCCTTTCTCACATTTGTTATTTTTCTTTATGGAGTCAAAAAATTATGTGGTTCTTGCAATATGATGATTTTGATATGGATTTTGTTTCTGTGGCAGTTTATGTGTGGGAATCATAGGAAGCAGCTGTGCATTGTCTGATGCCCAAAACTCTTCACTTTTTGTGAAGATCCTTGTGATTGAGATCTTTGGCAGCGCACTTGGATTGTTTGGAGTGATTGTGGGAATCATAATGTCAGCTCAAGCAACATGGCCATCGAAATGATAATTTGTTGCTCAGTAGAACTTGGCAACACATTATGACCGTGTTATGTGCGCAAATGATTTTCTGTATTTTGTGCTTTTCATCATTAGTGATAGGAACGTTCAAACTGCTGTGGAAATATTATTTGCCCGCTTGTATCGATCTTAGGCTGTATTTAATCTGATGGGAATGAGTTTGTGGGAGAGCTGGTTGTTCAATATTGTATAAGGATGAATTAAGCATTGCCTCATTCATGGTGGTAGACAATATTATCTTAGTTTTGAATGAATAACGTAATGATTTTTTGTGAAGACCACCTCCCTGAAAGAAGCTGATTTGTTCATGTATCCAATTTTTTCCCCCATTTTTATGTGCATCAAACTATGTCAGTTTTCTATAGTTTCTATTTGAATTTTCATCATTGTAGCCATATAACCCTTTTTTTCTTCCATAAATAGTTTGAACACAAGACTCAAACAGAGATCATGCTTTATTGGCTGCATTGCATCAAAATAAATACAAAAAGGATTCTTCTGTTAAAATCTCAGCAACCGAATTGGAAGGACAATTTGTCTGGTCGATTTCCGGGAGCATAACATTTAAATCAAAGTAGTATGGCAGGAACATCACTGAAAAAGGGCATGAGTCTCTGTTGAAGCTCTTGGCATTCCTCTGAATTAGCAGTCTTGGGGTCGAAAGACGGTCGATCAGGAAGAACCAGGCCTTGTTTAATCCGACCCATTCGCCTTGAGTGCAAGACTTGTTTGGATACAACTGGTAGCCGAATCGACTGATATTCTTCAAGAGCTGATTGCAAATTTTCTGCTCCCCACTTCTTCAGGCATTGGCCTAGCACTGCAGCATCTAATACCGACATGTTCGTGCTTCTTACGGCATGAGGAGTTGTGGGATGAGCCGCATCTCCAAACTAGTACCACATTATCCCAGTAGATTTGTTCTAAGGGTTCACTGTCATATATGGCATTGATGAAAGGGTCCCTAGTTTCTTTGATCACTCTCACAAACTCTGGAAGCCACACCTTCTCTGCTTCTTTGTGCATATTCTTGATCACGTAACTGCCTGCTTTCGTGGTCATCGAGTTACGCTTCAGATCAGGTTCTGGCTGGTGGACATACCAAATCCAATTGAGCCTCTGGTTCAGAAGCTCATATAGCACAGTGTGACTTCCAGAACCTAAGCCAAAGTACAAGCATTTCCCAAGTTCAGGGTATGCCTTCCGGATGCCGATTATAGTTTCTGAATTCTCATTTCCTGAAAAATCAAGAACGCCTCTCCATGCACAATAACCTGAATACCTACAAAACCATCTACAATCAATACCATAACATACCACAAACTGAAAATACACACTTTTTCATGAAAAGGGTTGACATTTCACGAACCTCAGTTTATGGTCAGGGACAAAACTTTGGCGGATAGAGGAGAGGCACCCATCTGCTGCAACAAGCAAATCGCCTACGATTTCGAAGATCTCATTCGTTTGATGAGCTGTGGCCTTCACTTTAACTGAACCCTTGTCACTAGAAACAGTGAAAGATAGGAAATGGTGACCCCAGAGAAACAAGTTTGGTGGTAGAGCATTGTACAGAAGGGCATGTAGGTCAGCCCAATGTGCTGCTCTACAGTTGAAGTCCTCATCTCTAGTTAATGTCCATTTTACCTTTTTCTCACCATCTATTGCATCATTCTACATAGCCAAAAAAAATAATATTCTGAACTAGGAAACTTGTAAAAATTGCAATATAACAAGATTGAATTGGGAATTAATTGAGGTTTGTACCTGATCAATTGTGAGGGGTAGAGTGGCCTTGTTGAGAAGCTCAGGCTCTTTGATCCATGACTGAATGAGTGTTAGAGCCAGAGGGTCAAGGCCGAGTCCTGCCCCAGTTGGGCTTCCAGTTGGGGCTGCAAATGATTTCTCTACCACCACAACATCCCACCCAGCTAATATGAGCGTGTGTGCGCATGATACCCCTGCTATGCTCCCTCCCACTATCACTGCCTTGGGCTTTTTCTTCTGATCAGTCATCTCTCTCTTCTCTCTTCTCTCTCTCCTCTCCCTCTCTCTCTCTCGAGGCCAGTGTTCTCTCTCTATCTGTATGTTTTTTTTGGGTGAATTGAAGAAAGTTGAAGTGTCTCTCTCTCCATCTAGAGGAGAGTTCTTTTTTTTTATAAAAAAAATCTCTTGTTTTTGGTGAATTGAAGAAAGTTAGTTGTGACTAAGAGAGTAGGAATACTACAAGAAAATCATATGGCCTCACATGATAAGATGGTTTTCTAGAGGCAAGATATTTGTGGAGTTATGTTTGTGGTCCTTACTAGGAAAAAAGAAATAATATTGAACATGAAATAGATTGATGAAGAAAATGTAACAGATAATGCAGAATAATGATATGAAGTTTGTGGAAATTTTACGTGTAAAAATGATAATATATTTCGATATTGTGGTACATAATTTTCACTTTATTGAAAGAAGTCTCAAGTATAAATCTAACTAACGACAATTGTTCCCTTTTTTTTTTTGGTCAAAGTTAGGCATGGGAAGATGGTTTTTTCACACACAGTACTAAAATGTCATAGAGTTTCAAATCTGAGATCACTCGTCTGCAAGTCAAAACCTTTTTTCACTAGACTAGACCTATTAGCCAATTGTGGTTTAATATATAAAATATATATTATTTTTTAAATGAAAAAAAGTTTAGGAGGTGATTGGCTACCCTCATCACCAGCGCCAGGACTAGCCACAACATCGAGCTAAAAGAACTTACGTGTGGCACCCAATTAAATATATAAATTTTTTTTTAAAGTTAGTAAGAAAAAGAAAAAACCAAAAAATAAAAACCGCATACATTTAGAGATATGTTAATGGGCTTGAATCTCATACTTTTACCAGTTAAGCCCTGGCCAGGTCCGCCCGGACCACTACATAAACCCAAAGATACGCTGTCCGTACAAAATTACAAATCCACCCCCTCCCCTCTCCCCTTCTCTCTCTGCGCAAAACCCTCTCTGTGCTTTTCTTCTCTGTAAGTGAAAGTATCTGTGGAGAAATGGGGGCTGGGCGTGAGGTCCAAAGCTCACTGGACGGGCTGAGGGACAAGAACGTGATGCAGCTGAAGAAGCTCAACACTGCTCTCTTCCCAGTTCGCTACAACGACAAGTACTACGCCGATGCCCTCGCTTCTGGCGATTTCACCAAACTAGGTTGAGCTACGCTTCTGGGTCTTGCTTATTTTTTCATAATTTTTTCCGGGTTTCGCTTATTTCGTGTTACCAATGTAGCTTTTTGACGCAAAATGCCTTGAAATCTCTCATAGTTCTCGTTTATTTGTAAAGCTTTGATTGGCTTCTGTCATTTGAGCTTGTAACTATGCTCCAATTACTGTGTGTTTGTGTATTTCGTGGCTTTTTTCCATCGTGCGTAGTCTGTAATCTTTGTTGTTTGATTTGCTTCTGCTTATTTAAAAATTATGGCGTGTGTTAGAAAATATTGGCTTTTAGCTCATTGCATATGAAAATGCTACACTTTTGAAGAATGTTGATGACACAAATGCACTATTTTACTTATAACACACTCGGTGCACTGGGGGGCCTTCAAGTAAATGGGGAATGGATAGTTATTGTTTTATCAGGGATTTGGGATAGTTTCGGTATGTGTAGTAATGCTTGGTTCGATATATTTGTGAGTCAAGAGTCTACTTGTTTCTCCTTGTTGATGTTCTCAAAAAACCGTGAGGAACTACATATGTGCAGCATAAGATGAGGTAGTCGAGTGATTAACTGTCCCACAAATTCTTAATCAGAAAGGTTACTCAATAAAAGAAAAAGAAGATTTGAAAGTTAAAATGTCTTCATTGATGAGTTTTGTTTGTTTTCGTAATATATTACCCCAATAAATTTTTGTAGTGCTGGTTTTTTTAATACGCCCGCTTGATTTTAGGAAGGACTGCTGTTGTATGTCCTCTTATTATTAGACTTGCAAAGAAGGTCATTACCTTTTCTACACTTGTCAGAACTCATGAATGAAGAAGTGGGTGGGACAGTGGCTTGAGCATTTTCAAAGGTATCCTGTTATGAACTATATGTGCACAATGTGTATGTGTAAGGACCATTTGTGGGACTATCATTTAACATGCTTATTGACTGAGCTGTCCAAGTCAATTTCTTATAGTTTCTTGATGAAGGTGCATGTATGGTCTAGGAGATTAGATTGATTGATATACGTGGTACATGTAAAGAAAATTACAAACCTATTGTGTTTAGGTATGTCCTGAATTTATCATTCTGGGGATTTGCCATCCTTAGCTCTCTTGTGGATGCCAAATTGATAAAAATTATGGATGTTGAAATTTGAATTCCTGCTGTTATTTTTATACAGCATATTTCAGTGATATATGTGTTGGTGCAATTGCATGCCGGCTTGAGAAGAAGGAAGGTGGGGCTGTCCGTGTGTACATCATGACACTGGGAGTTTTAGCACCATATCGTGGGCTGGGCATTGGTAAGCAAGCAACGTTTCTTCTTCTTATAACTTTGGTATGGCAGTAGGGCTCTGTTTGAGAAACAAAAAATTCATGTTTATTGTTTATGACTTTGGTCGAAATGCATGAACCATCCTTTGTTTAACTTTGCCTTCTGGATACAACTTGTTATGCAGTAGAGTGGCCTTTGAAATTTCAAATTGATTTAAGATTAGGTTGTCAATAAAAATCCCTCACACTTTTTGGTGGTACGGTAAAAATTTGGTTAATCTGGACGCTTACAAGTATGTGCAGGCTTTCTGATCTAATTTCTGGTATTTGTGCAGGTAAAAAGCTGTTGAACCATTCTCTTGATCTGAGCTCCAAGCAAAATATTTCTGAAATTTACTTGCATGTTCAGACAAACAATGAGGACGCCATAAACTTCTATAAGAAATTTGGGTTTGAAATCACAGAAACCATCCAGAATTACTACACAAACATCACCCCTCCAGACTGCTATGTCCTTACCAAGTATATTACTCAGACAAAGAAATAATATGTCAAAGCTATCAATGGGGAGTTGTTACATTAAATTTTGATCTCTGTTATTTCGCTGGATTTTGTCTAGTTTTTAGAATTATAAACTTTGCTAACATTTGTTGGAAGGCTGAATCATGTAACAGTTAATCTGCTATATTTTTAGAGAAATGAATGTCTTTTAATGATTGGATTAGCTTATGAGCACTTGAAAGTTTTGTAATTTATTTGGACCAGGTATGTGATTTCAGCATTTTATTAAGGTAATGTGCCACTATCTGTGTGAGATGGCCCTAACATCAGTGGCCTTGTATCTTTGACCTAAGCCACCATGAGTGGGAGAGAGAGGTTGGCAAGACCCTCCCACAATGCTGAAGGGCCAAAAGTTGTTTCGTTTTTACAATCCAACTTATCTGTAAATGTTGAGTGGGAGGAAAAAAAAATTGGATATCTGGAAATCCCCTTCTGGTTCTTCTGAGGAAGTTGCTTGGATTCGCAATTCTGCAACGACCTGGGAATTGAAAGTCCGAAGTGAATCCTCTTCAGACGTAGATTATTCTTTTGTTTTACGGGGAAAAATATATGCTGCCTACTAACACGACATATAGAACTGAATATACAATATATGATTTACAAAGTTCAACTAGAACTACTATAATTACAACATATTACAACAGCTTTGCTTATTCTTGCATATGTACAAATTCTAAGGTCGGAAGTAGGTGAGCAAATGTCATGCATAGATAGACCTCCCTCCTTCGAGTGACCATCGTCCGAATAGCTGCATCGAATGTTCAATAAGCCAAGCCGCCAGCAAAAGCATCTCCATCATGAAGTAAACTCTCCGTTAGCCAATAACCATCCCATGAACCTCCAACCCTCTGCCAACAAGCTTCAAATCAGAACTGGTATGATATAATTATAGTTCCCATAGTGTACCTATCCTGCATAGACATGTCCACCATTCTCCTATTCCCTTGAGATAATTATCATAAACAATACATATTCACCAACCTGAACCATTGTGAACTGAAATATTTCTTCTTCCTCTGGACGACTTCCTCGTATCCAAACCCGCTGCTTGAATCGGTTCTAGTTCACAGTTCATTAAACAATGACAGTTGATTAGAAACACAAATTTACTGTTAACATCAGAAAACTTAAGACTAGTATGACAGATAGCTCAAAGTTACACCACATATAAGAGCTCAAATTATTATGCACGCATCACACTGAACAGCAACTCATACCTCCTCTACGAACAAACTGCTCAACATCTTCCTCTCCTTGTGGCCTAGCAACACTCTATAGGTCGAATGGTGAAAAATCCGCCGAAATCGTTCAAACTGCACTCACAGTGAAGCAGACAACCAAGATCAAAAATATTAGCTATAATATAATATCAGCAATTGTGTACAACTACAAGTCTACAACTATTGAAAATTCAAAAATGCACCAACCTGCCCCAAATCAAAGAATGGCCCAAAATAGGTGGATCTCTCAAAAGGATCAAACCCAGCAAACTATCAACAAGGGGAAAAAAAAATTGTCAGTTCAAAGACCACCCTGTTGTTCAGTTTGATATGAAACATAAAGCCAACCCAGAAGAAGAAATGAAGAAACTTTACCCTGTACATGACTTCGATGCCATAATCTTGACGGGGTTGGTCGTTGTACTTCAAGGCATCAAGCTGATGCTGAACAGCTTCTTCTGCGCTAAACTAGAGCACAGGTCACATAGATTGACAACATGCTATATTAAAAAGAAAGAGAAAAATCAATCAGTGAAATGGTGGTGGTGCTCATTTTTGCATGATCAGATGCTTACATTTAATCTGGGGCCAAAGGGTTTCTTCTTGCGAGATTCTAACCTGCAATTCAAAGATAATCAACTCTAACTTACATAAAAGCAGAGCTTGAAATCAAAATTAACATCAACATCAACTTTGAATTTAAACATTAAATAATTCAGGGAGAGAGAGAGAGAGAGAGAGAACCAATCAGCTGAGAGGAAATCGGGAACGTCAGCAGAAGCTCTGAATCGAGAGCTGAGGGAGACGGTTGGAGATTTGATATCAGCAGAGAAAGGTTTGGTTTTGGAGAGAAACAGAGAGTTGGGATATGACAGGGACGAGCAAAACGACATAGTCTTAAGCCTGGAAAGAAATCTCCTTCTTCTCTCTCTAAAGTCTAATCCGTACGGTATAACTGTATAAAAACGGGAATGGGTGGAAATTGGAATGGAAAGGCGGGGAGGGTGGGTTTAAGGATGAGGCGGATTCGATATTCACCGTTCGATCTAGTGACAAAATAGCTCTTGGAACCAATGATTTTTTTTTTTCAAACTCAACTGCATAAAATCCGCGACCTTGATAATTATTTCATATTAGTACCCGAATTTTGAAGCTCTTAAATACTTTTTTTTGTTGTTGAGAAATTATGGGATTGCATTCATAAGTTATTAGCATGGCCAATACAAACTAGCCACAAAATGACCATTACAATAACGAAGCTATCTAACAGAAATTCTAGCACAAGCAGCCTAACTAAGATTGCAAGCTCAGAACAATTAAAAAGAGATAAAGCTTGAAAAAAACCAAGTCATAACAATATAAATAAAACTCTCACGGCAGAAAGATGGAAAACTCCTACAAAAAGATAAGTAAAAACTACACAGAAAATCAAAGAGTCTCTGCGATTTATTCCAAACATAAAAAACCACAAAAAGGATAGTGGTGAATATTCGACACCGAAATGCAGGTGGAGATCTGAGGACGAGACACAGACGATTGTGATGGATGGAGGAAAATCATAACAAAGCGAAGACAAAAAGGGAAACCTTATGTCATTGAAAATGGAGGAAGAGAGGAGAACGGAGAAGGAGAGAATGCGAGATGGGAGGAAGAGAGGAGGGGAGCTTAAAAATTCATATTCAAACTTACAAAAACATTTATTGCAATTTTTTCATTAGTAAGATCATTAAGAATTCTATTAAATGCTAACATGAATTTAGGTTTCGGCAATAAGCATTTGTCACTGTTGATGCCTAAGAGTATCCACAATCATGCTCTTTATTTTTTAGTTAAAATTTAGCTAAAAACATACAAAAGCTATTTTAGGATCTCTCTATAAAATTTGAACTCCAATCATACTTCCTAGTTTAGAGAGTCATAAATACTATAATTATTTTTTAATTTAATATAATTAGTCTATCTCTATAAATAAATAAATAAAGAGTATTAAAAAATAATTAGTATTAATTAAAAGTTTAAAGTATGCATAAAATAAAATATCATTAAATTATAGGGAGCCATTATGAGTCTTTTCTCTTTCTCCTCAGATTTATTAAGAGCTCTTAGAAATCTTCCTATTTTAGAATTGTATTTTTTTAATTCATCTTTAAAATTTATCTAATGAGGTGGCCTAAAATATTAGGGAAGAAATATATGAATCGTCATTCCTCACCAATCTAAATAAATTTTATAAAATTTTTATATAAAAAACTCTCATATAAAGTTTCCAACAATTTAGGAAAAAAAAAGAAAAATCAATTAGTCGGGGGCCACGTGTGGGTCCCGCCAAGGTTTGTGACCTGTGTGTACCGGTCCTTGCCACCCGCGAAGTCGTTACACAGCCGCTTCCACTAGAGCAAATGAGGCGTGCTCCTCCTCCTCCTTCCCTCCAATTCCTCGCCGCAGCAGCCACCGACATGTCTTCGCGCTCTCCTGTATTTCCCCTCTCTTCTCCAATTTAAAAAATGGCTCTGAAACTTTCAGCTAATTGGTGCTTTCTCTTTTACAGTACCGAGGTGGTCGAAACCAATGGCCGAGAGCCTCCTCCTCGAACCGCCCCTATTCGGGCGGCAGAGGCCCGTACGTCACCGGAGATTCGCATATCCGGTCAGTCCGCGACGCCAATCTAGGGTTCCGGCAAGGCGACGCCGGCACCGGACCCTTCCCCAACCAAACCGGCTTTCGTCAGCATCCGCCGCCGCCTTTTCAGAACAACCATCACTTCCGTCAATCTCGGCCGTTCGATCCAAACCAACCGTACCGGCCGAACCAGCAATTCCGCCCTTCTCAGCAGTTTCTGCCACCTCAGCAGTTTCAGCCTCCGCAGCAATTCCGGCCTCGGCCGAAGCCCTTGGATTATCGCAACTGGGAGTTTGCGAAAACGACGCCGTCCCCTACTTGTGGTAATCGACCGTTACTATTTGTAAATGTATCAGAGTTGTTTTGGTTTGGCTTTCTTTGAATCTGTCGTTTGGGGCTGACAGATAGGTTTACGGTGCTATCTTATAACATACTGGCTGATTACTTGGCCCATGAGCACCGGAGCAAGCTTTACTTTCACATACCTTATCATATGATGGACTGGCAATGGAGAAAGAAAAATTTGATTTTTGAGCTTGGACTGTGGTCAGCTGACATAATGTGCTTTCAGGTGCATCTTAGCTGCTTCATTTTATGCGCAATCTTCCACAAAATTCCTTTAATTTCTTATAATTGTAGTCTTCTTATACCACCCAACATGGTGAAGCTTGGGGCAGTTGTGTTTGAGTATCTTGATTTTATGTTTTACTTTGTCATGGGCCTGGCTGAAATTTTTATGGTCTGGTTTCAATTGCAGGAGGTTGATAAATTTCAGGACATCGAGGAGGAGTTGAAGCTTAAGGGGTACAATGGCATTTGGAAGGTGTGCTTAGAAATGCTTATGTTGCTGTTTTGCAAAATCAAGAACATTCACATCATATGTTAATGCTTCCCTCTCTACATGTTTTGGTTTTAAACAAAGGCTTTGGATGTGTATCAGACACCATTTTGAGCATCAATACACACTGTATTTTTAATGTGTTGACTGGAGGGGTTAGAAGCAAAGATCAAAGAACATGAACTGTGTAGCAAAAACGAGGGTTTTGAGGAAATTGGTAAACGGATAGCATCCATTCTGGGGGTTATTTTGTTTGAGAAATATCATTGTTAACTATTATTACCTCAAAATTGACGCATGAACTATCTGTCTAACTGAATAATGATGGATGTTGTTAAGAGAAGGATGCCATTTTTGGTGTTCTTATTGCATGTAGATACCTTTTCTATAGTAGGAAAGGTCAGGAAAATAGATTAACTTGGCTAACTTTCAGCAACTCAATAAGTGCTCTGTGTAGTTATTTATGGTTCAGCCCAAAGCAACAAAAAAAAAGATATTCATGGATGATGGAAATTTACCAATTCTTGGTTTGTGCAGATGCGGACTGGCAATCCAGTTGATGGCTGTGCAATTTTTTGGCGATCCTCAAGGTAGAGTATGTATCTAGTTTTTGGATATCCTTGAGTTGTGAACAGTTATGCTTCATTTTTCCATTCTGCTTATGAGCTAAGGGAGTGGCTTATTTACTTCCCTGGCTGTGAATATCATCAGGGTATGTGAATATGTGCCTGAACTAGCTAAAGATAAAAAAGTACTTTGTCCTTCCACTTCAGTGATAGTTCATAAGAGTTTTCATACTCATTCCTGTTTAATTGTCATTTCCTTGTGTCCTAAATACATTGGTACGTGAACCTGCCTACTTTCATGATAACTGAATATATGCTCACATTTCTACATTCATCTTATGGGGTCTCCTAATTGGGAGCTGAGTTTTAAGGGCAATCTAGTTGAAGTATGGGGATCTTTAATGGAAATAGGAAGTGTAGACTGATGAATTACAAAAGCTTGCCCTCAAAACATAACTGAAGGTCATTCAATACAAGTAATTAATTATAGTGATGGCATATCTTAACAGTCATTTTGATGAACGAAAAGTCCTTTGGTTTGGCTGAACTAAGGACCCTTGCCATAGACCTAGTATAACCCAATTTACTAATTTCCTGTATTATGTCTGATCTTTCATTTCCTATCTTGTCCTAGTCATCTTTTATTGCACCACTGTAACTATTCTGTTTTGCATTCCCTTATTACTACTTTGTTATAATATATTCATCTTTACAGACTTAACATGCTAGTACCATATGCTCATGTTGAGCAAAACTGATTTGGTACTGTAGTCTACACCTTACCTTGGTTGCCTTTATAGATTCAAGTTGATTCATGAGGAATGCATTGAGTTCAGTAAGCTTGGACTTCGGGATAATGTTGCTCAGATATGTGTGCTGGAGGTATTTTAATTATTTATATCTTGAACCTTCCATGTGATCGATCACCAGCACTAGTTCTGATTATTCAAAATTGGCTTGTCCATTTCATTTCCTTTTTATTTTGTTTGATATGGTTTCATGTAAATACTGTTAGTTTTTTTTTGTTAAACAGTCAATATGCCAGACCAAAAATCTTGCAGTTCTACCAACAAGGTAATTTAAGAATCTTTAGATAATTTACCTTCATTTGTGTAATACATACGGATGCAGACATGCTTTAGTTTTGGGATTGCCTCAACCTTTGGTACATTTAGTCACCTAGATATGAAGTGACTTTGACTAGAATATTTGGAAAACAATTAATTTTAAAAGTAGGAAACTCTCTCTGATGCTGGGATACAGATGAGTTTACTAGTAGAAGAAAACTGTGTTTCCTTTTTGACAGATTTTGTGTAACTGAGTTTTGTTTGCATCTGCAGCTCAACAGGTTCTAATAAAGTTGTCATTTGTAACATTCACGTGCTTTACAATCCTAAACGGGGAGAAATTAAGCTTGGCCAGGTAATTACTCTCTTTTGAGTAGGCCATACAAATTTGTGTATCTGGTCAGTTGCTGCAGCTCTCTTCTGTCTATATATGTATATGTATCTCCTTCTTTGGCATTCTTGTAATGGTGTTCAAATAAGATATAAATGTGGTGTGAAATCCATCTCAAAGTTTAACTTCAGCAATGCTAAAGATTTCATTCAGCTTTAAATTTGAAATCATGCTTTCCTGTATGTTTCCTTCAAACAGGTCAGGGTGCTCTTGGATAGGGCTCATGCCATTTCCAAAATCTGGAATGATGCTCCAATTGTTCTTTGTGGGGATTTCAATTGTACGCCAAAGGTTTACTTATAACACTCTTGAAGTCTATATCTGGAATGTGACTTGCAATGGATACTTGTGGCACTGCTGGAGCTAGTTCTGTTTTTTATTTTATTTTGATGGTAACACTTTTTTCATTCTTTTTGTCAGAGTCCGTTATACAACTTTATTTCAGAACAGAAGGTAAGCTCCTTTCTTCCCCATTTTTAACCTCCATCAGTTTGTAAGTTACAAGTATAGTTACATCATACTTTTGCAGATAGATTTGTCTGGAGTTGACAGAGATAAAGTATCTGGACAAGCTTCAGCCCAAATTTATGCAGCAAGGTCATATAATCGTAATTATGGGTAGGGTTTGTTGGAGTCAACTACTGAATGCTGATATAACGACTACAATTCTATTTGTGAATACCTCTTCTATTTTGAAGTGAAAACTTTTTAAAAAAATATTGCAGGGCTCAACCTGGTAATCATTTTGTTCAAGGTCCATCAGTGGTAGACGGGAGGGAAGGTGGAATGAAGCCGAGTGATTCACCATTGGATATTCAGAACCTAAACAATCCACAAAGTAGTGTGCAGAATGTTCCATTAACAAACAATTTGTCTCAGCCTCAACCTACTAATACCCTCAATTGGTTTGATAAATCTTGCACCAATGTTGATTCTCAAAAAGAGGATGGTACCCAAGATGTTGAAGTTAACAAAGAATCTAAGCAGAATGCTGTAGATGTCTCTACGGTTGAATCAGCTTTCCATGTTCCAGGTGATGGCTTAAAGGATGATGCAAGTACTTCTTACAGTGAAGGCGGCTTTCCTGTATCTAAGTTGACTGATCCTGAACACGCTTTCTCTAACGTGACTCAGATTGGATACAAAGAAAAAGTGGATTTCACCTCTACTTCAAATCATGGATTACCAAGTGAACATTTGGACTCAAATATTTGTGTAGAAAAAGAAAGCATGAACTGTGATATCCATAACAATCCCTCTACAAGGGACAATGATTCTATTAGGGAAGGGATTGGTCCAGATTATGTGGATCCTCTCCAGTCAGAAATTCCTTTGTCTAAGCTATCTGGCCAGACTTCCATTTCTGATGCTATCGAAGTCTCTTCATTAGGGAACTTAGGAAATTTGTCTTCTAAACCAATTTCTTGTGCTGTGAACGATAGCTGTTCAGTCCCAGAGCAAGTCGACATATCATGTGCACCTACTAGTGTTGACTTTGAGTTGCAGAAAAATCTAGAAAATTTATCTCTTACTGAGTTAGATGAAGCCATTCCAGAAGGCGGAAATACAGCTGAAGATGATAATACATTTATATCTGCATTACACAACACAGAAGATGCCTTTCCATCTGATTTTTCTGTTTCTCCCAACTCAGCGTTGTCTGCATCAACCAATGCAGTTGAGGATGGTTTATCTCCAGGATTGGATTCAGAGACTGCTTTTGTGGAGAGAACTCCTTATGATCCCTCACTATGGACTCCAATGGAAATAGAAGCTGCTACAGGCAATTCAGAATCCACTGTTTTAGAACATCCTCTAAAGCTTAGGAGCACATATACTGAAGTTGAGGTAGTTATATCGTCTAAGGATCCTTTACTATCGAACTCTATCTAGAATGTTGCAGTTTGATCTGCAATCTGCATAGCAATCACAAATGGTTTAGAAAATTTACCACTCTTAGATATTATACTTGGTCAGGATCTGAAATTTTTACTCATACCCTTATTTCTTTTATCTTTGCAGGATTGTGCTGGGGCCAGAGACTCAAATGGAGAGCCCCTGGTTACCAGTTATAACAGATGTTTCTTGGGCACAGTTGATTACATCTGGTAAATTTTCTATGATTCTGATATTCCTTAACCACTCCTATCAGTCTATTAATACTTTATTAGATTTTGAGAGTCGATAATCATTGAGTAATTACGTTACTTTTGTAATAAATAAAAAAGAGCTTATGCATCACTCTTTCAAATGTATATTGTTTCTTCTTATTCTGAGCATGTAGAATAGGGTTGAGACCTTTTATTTCTATTAATTATTATTTTTAAATATCAGGCGTTCCGAAGGTCTGCAGACTGTAAGGGTGCTTGCTCCTATTCCAAAGCATGCTATGCAATGGACTTCAGGGTTCCCAACCAAGGTATGGGTTTTCTACTGAGCTGATGTGATGCCTTAGAAGGCAAACGTAATGAGAGAGTTCGGTGAACATTAAACAAAGAATGATATCTCTATACTATTTTAGTGAAAGCAAAGGAAGGATATACAATATGATTATAAGAATTGACATCTCATTGGATCAATTTATAACATATAACATTTGTTAATCCAGTCGGTGAAACAAATGAACTTGAGCTTTGACATATCCCTGAATGCATATTTTTCTTACTGTTTTTCAGAAATGGGGTAGTGATCATATTGCCTTGGCTTCTGAGTTGGCGTTCGTGAACAATTTTGACCAATCATAACAGCAACACAGAAGTGCGCACCAGTAGTCATTATTGACATTTGAGGATTGCATTCGGAGAAGTTGCGGGATTGACTGTCATCTCCGTCAAATTTTTTCAGCGTCTAGTTTCACCTCTTCCCACATGTTTTAGGTTGTGGGAAAAACTCAGTCACAGGTTCTTTTCCGAAAATTTGAGGTTAGTTGAGTTTTTCGGCGGCAAATTCCTCATGTATATATTTTGATCTTCATGTATTTTCTGTTTTCTATTTTTCTATTTTAAACTTTAGAGAAATTCACTAACGAATTTATAAAGAAGTTCTAGGCTATTTTATAAAGCACACTAATTGTTCTACATTTTTTATTTAGCTGCGTGGCTGACAGCAGTTGATTGTTATGAAATTCACAATGGAACAGTCAAAGGTTCATTGTTACCCATACGACTGTGACGACCATATTTTAGCACAAACGACATCGTATTTAGCGCAACCCAACGACAAAAACATACCTAGTAACAAAAGTGCTATTATTGTCTTGCGGAAAGAAAGATTGGCCATTTGATACGAAAGAAATAATATTTTGTATTTTGTCATGCACTAGACGCTCCATTAACTAATCAAAATGGCACAAATTGTTTATTCAGAAATTGAATCAACTTCACTTGTGAGCTCTACTAGCATGTTCTACATAAAAAAGAAACAATAATAATTCGTGACCACAGATATGTTTTCTGACTCCAACGAAAGAAAACATGTGTAAATGGATGAAATTACTAAATTTATTTATGTCATTCAAAAAGCTCCATTGAATTACGAATATTAACTGGAAAATATCAAACTCATTTTCATAGTAGAGGTTATTATTTCAATACTACATTAACCGAGGTTGAAAAAGCACAGGAAAAGGGAAAGGCCCAAAAGAAGTAGAATCAATGACGGCAATCAAACCAATAAGGAAACAGACACGATCCTCTTTCGAAAGACAGACAGACACAGATCAAGAACATAAATGACAACAACAAGCCTTTAAGCCACATAATCTTCCAATTTGGAGGTTTCTCAAGGTCTCAAGCTTCTTCTACGCAGTTCATGAAAGCAACCGCAATGGAAACCAGATAATAGCAAGCCTTTAGGCATGCCACCAGTGGCTTGAGACAAGCACTGCAGCAGCCATTATTGTCTTCAACAGGAAATGGTTGTGCAGCTGCTGGGTCCGATTCAGGCCCATGCCTGATCCATGAACACCACCATCCATAAAAAGTTTGTACTAACAAACATAATCATATAATTAATTAACATGCAGTTTGTTTTTTGTTTTTTTGGTACTTAATTATTAATTATTTTTTAAGATATAGCACTTACTGTGCTGCAGTCATGTCCATCTGAATATGTGGAGAAATAAGAACAGGTGGCTGCTGCTTATCATTTCTGCATGCGTGAGAAAGTTAACAAAACAGACAAAAGATATATCTAAACAGAAAACAGAAATAATAGTTTACATATTTAGAACCCTAAATGCTATATCAAGAAAATGTCCAAAAAGAAAAGGAGCTATAGCTAGCCAGATGTGGAAATTACTCTGTAAGCTTTTTGGCCAGGTACAAGAATGGTGCCTCAAGGTTGTGATCGTTGTTGGCAGAAATTTCAAAGTATGGCAGAGAAATATTGTTTTCCATTTTCCAGCAAATATTCTTGTTTCCCATCATCATCGCATGATTCACATCTGCCTTGTTGCTACACAAAACAATCGGAATGTTCCCGTACTCCCTAGTAGACAGCAAATTAATAGAACAAGTAGAAAAGCTACTATCAGAAAGAAGAGTTAAATCAATACGCACGCAACATTAATTAGATAGGAATAGGATAAATAAGACATACTGGGAGAGAAGATTGTAGCATGTTTGGACAAAGTCTGGTTTCAAATTAGCAGTCTCATCAAACAGGATAACGCCACCGTGTGGGACAACACTGATGATAACCAAGGAAAAATATATGAGAACCACACTTTTTCCTAGCAAAATAGTGCAGATCTAAGAAAAAAGAAGAAGAAACAAAAGGTATATAACGCTTTTCATATCAGAACAAAAATGGTATATGAATTCATTTTGAATTTATTTACCACAAAATAAGGTTTTGCTTGAATTTTATCTCCTTTTCACAAATGGGTGGGTTTATTTATTGGGATTAAAAACATTACCTAGGCCTTCTCTCAGGCCGGAGAAAATCTTCCCTGTCACAGGAATGCCACCGTCGGCAAACCACGTAAGTATCCAGGGCCAATAAAATATCGACAGCTGGCAACTAATTTTACTTCCAATTTTAAATATTAAAGAAAGGTTCTGAACCCATTTTCTCCTCTCTTCGCATCCCTCTCTCTCATCCATTAATCTCTCTCTTCAATGACTACTCCACCATCATCATCACCCACACGCCCCTGCATATTCACTCCTCTTTTTCTCTTAAATTACCCAGCCCACACAATCAATTTGTTTTTCAATTTAAAATTTTACAAAGTATTTTCACCCATGTTCTTCCTCTTCTCTCTCTATCTCTCCCCCATTCCTCTTGCAGTCCGTAAAAAAAACTTTGTTCTTCTTCTATTTCTGGTGTTTCACTTCCTCTTCAGTCACTCCTTTAACACCCACACATCATAAATTGATTTCTCTCTGTATTTTTTTTGTGCTTAATATATTTAACTGAACAGGTGAAAAAGGATAATACTTTGGGTTAATTACAGTCTAGTACCCTGTGTTTACACCCTTAAAACATCTTAATCCTTATCTTCTCAATTTTTACAATCAGACATCCAATTTTTTAAATTTGTTACAATGTGGTTCTACCTTCAGGGTTTTTGTTCGATTTCTCCGTTAGTTGCTTACGTGGCAATATGGGTCCCATATTTTTATTTTTTGTTAATTTTAAAATGATTAATATATATATATATATACACTTTTAAAAATTGCAGAAAATTAGAATCCTCCCAAACCGCTGCAATTTTCTTCTCCCCTTCATTCCACCATGACCACTCACAGCGATCCTCCAAAGCCCCCACCTCCAAACGAACCCAGGACCCCAGCCGGCAACCACCCAGACTCCCTTCCCCCAACCCCCCCCCTCCCGATTTCTTTTCCCCCCTTCCCCGACCCTAAACTCCAATCCCCACCTACCAACCACAGCTTGGCGACCACTCTCTCTATCCTTCAGAGCTTGTTCCCGCCGTCGCCGACGCTTTCCGGCGAGATCTGACGGTCTGCATCTCTCTCTCTCCTTTCCGCTGTCTCCCTCTCTCTCTCTGTACAAATTAAAAAACCAACAAATTGGAAAAAAATAAAAATAAAAAATTCGTTGGTTTTTGAATTTGGGTGTTGAATGTGGTTATGAGAATTTTGGGTTGGCTTGTGTCTTCTCCCCTGTTTGGTAGATCATGAACTGATGGAAAGAAAACAAAAGGCAACAAGTTTTCTTTTCTCAAAGTTTGAGACTTTTGCAGTTTTGGTAAATTTCCCAGTTTTGCAAAAAAAATCGTTGGTTTTTTGTGGGTGGGGACTGGAGTTTGGAGTCGGGCAGGGGAAGAAGAAATCGGGTGGAGGGGGAGGGGGTCCGTGGTTGCGGGCTGGGGTTTTAGGTTGGTTTGGGTGCGGGTGGTGGTCATCGGTGAATGGGGGAAGAAGAAAATCACGAGGGCTCTGGTTTGGGAGGATTTTTTTTCTCTTTTTCTGCAATTTTTTTGTCAAAACAAATATTTTAATTATTTTTAAATTAAAACTGTGGGACCTATAGTGCTACGTAGGCAACTACCGAATGAATATGATAGAAATCTAATGACGGAATCACTTTGTAACAAATTTAAAAGATTAAGCATTTAATTGTAAAAATTGAGAATAGAGGGATTAACATGTCTTAGGGTGTACCAAACTGTAATTAAAATGACAGGAGAGATTCCTTAGATCTGGAAAAGAAGTCAACACATTACGATTTTTCTCCCCAAAACCTTCACTGTTCCCTGACAGAACCCAAGCTCTCTCAGCTTCTCCTTTCCAAATTTTCCAAAACTGCCCAATAGATAATAAAATTTGAAGAAAAAAAGAGGAAAGAGATTCCCCAAACGCATATTGTTCCCCCACAAAACCGAAGCCAGCCCAATATTTCTCAACTCCACCGTTTACAAATTTTCCAGATTTCTCCAATAAATATACCTCACTAAAATTAAAACTGAGAGATCAATACCAAGTGTGGGTTATGAAGGATTACTGATTGAAGAGAAAAATAGGAATGCAGGGGTGCGTGGATGATAATGGAGGAGTGACTAAAGTGAAGAAAGAGAGAGATGAATGGATGAGAGAGAGGGATGAGGAAGAGAGAGGAGAAAATGGGTGCAGAACATTTTTTAATATTTAAAATTGAAATTAAAATTAGTTGCCAGCTGTCGATAGCTTGGGACACGTACATGGTTTGCTGACAGTGGCATAACGTTGATTCCAAAAAGAAATAATAATAAAACATCACCAATACAATTTGATACATGCATGCATGGCAATACCAAGCACCCGACCCATCGCCAAGAAGGCCAAGAGGACGAAGGGTATGGCTGGATTTTTCAGAGAAAATTTTAAGCAGACGTGTTTCGAGCATAAGAGCGCATGAAAGTGCTTCTCTATGAAGTACTTCTGCTCATAATAAAAGTGCTTTTATTATAAAAATTTAGAATTTTTATAAAAAATTAAAGTGATTCATGAAAAAGCACTTGGGATGGCTTCCTAAAGAAGCACATAGCATGTGCTTTTATAGGAAGCGCTTCTATGACCCAAAAGCGCTTTTAAACCTTTATGTCAAACGCTATCAGAAGCGCTTTTAGTTATCAGAAAATACTTTTGACCCTTCCAAAAGTACTCTCAAACAGGACAGTATGGCTTACCGGTCGGCACAAGATCCATCAGGCTTCTCATTTTCAGAGTCGAGCTTTATGATGTTCCTACAGCCCACGAGGTTTGTGATCCATCCGGCTGTAATTCCACAAATAGAAAACAGATGAGTTTTTCGAAATCGTTAGAGCTACGGAGGAGAGAAAGAAATATGCATGTACGTACCAGCGGTGGCGCCATGGCTGAGGATGATGAAATTCGATTTCGTTGGAAGGTATTGTACGCACTGGGTTCGAATAGCCTGCGATCATAAACAGTCATAAGTTTCTAAAAGTTTAAAGCTTACCCAACAAGAAATTATCTGAATATGTACCTCCATTCTGTGAAGGAAATCTCAAGTTCAAAGCCACTCGAAGAACAAGTGATTTCAAAATGAAGGGTCTGTTTCTGAGAATGTTAATATAGGCGACTGTCATAGGTCAGGAACTTGAATCGGCCGCTTCCATCACCTAAGGGTCATAAGGAATGCGATGGCCTAAATATACAATTGATAGTGGGTTTATTTTAGAAAATGGTAGATTGGCATGACGACACGCAATTGATATTGGGTTTATTTTTTAAAATGATAGATTGGTACCTCTTGGGCGTCTGGCCTCCCGGCCATCTTCTGGCATAGGCGTCACCCTTCCCGCCATTTCTCACTTCTTTCGCTGTATGAAGAGCATAGGATAGATTGCATAAAAAAAAAATCATAGTTTTAAGCTTGTGGCCCCCTCCAAATCTCTGACTATATGAAGAGTATAGAATAAATTACCCCAAAAATCCAATAATCTCGTCAACCTGGTCAATTTCATGTCATTCCGCCACGCCATCCGACTATAATTCCACAAATAGAAAACAGATGAGTTTTTCGAAATCATTATAGCTAAGGAGGAGAGAAAGAAACATGCGTCGTGTACGTACCCTCGGTGGCGTCATCGCTGACGATGATGACCTTCGAATTCGTTGGAAGGTATTGTACGCACTGGGTTCGAATAGCCTGCGAGCATAAACAGTCATAAGTTTCTAAAAGTTTAAAGCTTACCAAACAAGAAATTATCTGAATTATATGTATATTAATTATACCTCCATTCTGTGAAGGAAATCTCAAGTTCAAAGCCACTCGAAGACAAGTGATTTCAAAATGAAGCGAGTCTGTTTTTGAGAATATTAATGTAGATGACTGTCATAGGTCCTTTACGTGGACCGGCAGCCTTTGTTTGTCACGTAAGGACACAAAGGAATGCGATGGCCTAAATATACAATTGATAGTGGGTTTATTTTAGAAAATGATAGATTGGCACCTTATAGGCGTCTGACCTCCCTGCCATATTCTATACTATATGAAAAGTATAGTATAGATTGCATAAAAAATCTTATAGTTTTATGCTTGTGAAGAGTATAGAATAAATTACCCAAAAAATCCCATAATTTCAAACTCTACCTCCGCCGTTCTTAGCACAAAATTATGGCCTGGATTATTGACTTTGATTTGATATCGTACAAGCAGTAGCAGTGAACACATGCATCAAAATGTTATACTTTTGTAAAATATTTTCATTCTTTTAGTTTTCATTCAAAATGTTTTGATTTTTTTTTATTTAAAACTTTCCTCTAAAATTGACGTCAACAAACACGGTTAAGTTCTAGGGCACCTTCTATAGTGCACCAGATGCACTCATGCACCATTTGTCCTTTATGATGAGTCTAGAATTTTTAAAAAATTGGTTACCGGTTATACAAGTTGTCAAGTTTCCACTTTTTGTTAATATTTAACGCAAATGCAATTACACAAGGGTTATGCAATTATGTCCTTCATGTTTGGCAATTGGCATATAATTTGACATGTTATTTTTCAATTGAGTTTATTCTTTTTAACTCACGATGACATGCTTATGAATTTCGCAATGGTATTTGTTTACTTTTATAAATTTAAAGTTACCGTTTTAGCCATCTTTTTTTATGAGAACTATTTGACTTTTTTCTTTTCTTCTAATTTCGTTGTGTCACCTCATTGTAGCTTTACTCAAGTTCATTATGATTTGCTGATTTTATTTATATGAATAATGATGGCTAGTTATGGTTAATTCCTCTGCATTTTATGCCTAGTTTTTAAAAATCAATTGAGGTTGATAGTTTTAATTTTTTGTTTCTTTTGTTTCATAGAATTGGTGAATGCGCATCAACATTTATTTGAGAGCTTGAAAGTCTTTATACATCAAATTTTTTCACCTCGAGTTTTGTTTATGTAATTGGTTGAAATCAATTTCTAAAATAAGAACTATATTACTTATTGAACTCTATGTTACATGGTTGTACTTTTGTAGACATCCACGAAGTATTATAAATTTATATTCTTTTCCTAACATGGCCATGGATTTTATATTACATGGTTAGGATTAAAAGTCAAGAAAAATAAGTATAAAATTAGAAAGTCTACAAGTTTTCTCTTAGATTACAAGATTAAGCCCATGTTAGTTTCAGTTTCTTGCACTCACAGCCGAGCCTCTCTTTTCAATGTATACCATATGGGCAACACGCCCCTTGGCCATTGATTGCCTGATCTCTTTCCTCCATGAGCCTCATCACCGCACACCGAACCATCTCAAACCTCCGCGAGCCTTGTCACCGCTCGTCGAGCCTTCTCCTAGCTGACCTTTGTCTCTCTCTATCCTGCCGAGCTATACTACCGTTGTTCCCTTTGCACAGCCGCTCTGGTCCTCTCTCTCTGTGCACGCCTATATGACTATTTTTCCCATTTGATAATGTATTTCACTTCTTGCCCAGAAACATCTGTGTTTTCTTACTCTCTATTTATTTGGGTGTTACTTTCTCCAAATCTCAACTCTCATACATCGTCAGATTTGAGGGGGAGTGACACTGCTGCTCATCTATTCCGCTGCAATTCAGCTACCTATCTGCCATGGCTGATCCTTCTACATCTGAGCGTCAGTCCGCTTCTGTTTCTTAAGTGCCACTTTTCTTATGGTTCCGACGACCTCTTCTCTTCAGGGGGAGAGAGAGAGTGAAGATAAGTTGTCTCTGCAATAATGGAAGTATTTGTCATTGTTATTGCTGCCGACTACTATGTCCTTTGCTGGTGCTAATACCATTGCTCATACCTGTTAGGTCTCTTGTTGGGGACAATATTATTGCTCCTGCCTATTATGACTCTTGCTAGGGACTATTGTTGATGATGCATGTTATGTCCCTGCCTTGTTGCTCTTGTTGGTGCCAGTGTCTTGTATTGCTGTTGTTGGTACTAGTATTGTTGCTCCTGCCTGTTATGGTGCCAGTATTGTTGCTTGTGCCTTTGCTGGTATGTTTCTGTTATCTCACGCTCGTTGACCTTGTCTTTGCTCTTGACTTTCTTTGCTTTATCTTACCTTATTTTTTCAAGGTTTGGCTTTACCTTGCCTTACCCTATTTTTTAGGGTTTGGTTTCTGTCTTATCTACTGCTGTGCTTACAGGATGTTTGTGTTCTACCACAAGATGGAGTCTTTACTACTTGCTACTTCTAATTGTATAGGTCTTCTAGGATAGGAAGTCAACCTACTGAACAAATGGGCCACCTTCATCAAATATTGGGTTATAAAGGTTAATTTTAGTGGATCATTTTGATTGGGCTTTTTGGTTGGATTATTTTCCCTTTTGTGCTCACCCATATATTTTGGCCTAAGAAATGGGCTTGAGTTCTGAGGCTCCCAAGCAACCCAGAACTTCTATTTCTCGACCCATCAATGGGCCTCATGACAACTTATTACCATCCATACCACAACCCACTCAAGCAAGACCTAGGCATCTTGCGTGGCTTGGGCCCACTTAAGCTTGTAGCGTGGCATGTTGCTTATTTGCTTGGCGTGACATGTGTGCAAAGCGTATATGACGAACTTTCGCTTGCCTAAATCGAGTTTCTTCTTGATAAGGTATCGCATTGGACTGATAATTTATTTAGGCTGAACCGTAGATTTTTTGGGCCTCAACATTAGTCATATACTCATTCTTAGCACTAAAACTATAAATAAACCCTACAATTTAATTTCTATAAAAAACAAAAAAACAAAAAAAAACCCAAAAAATGATAGCTGACCCTATTGAATTTAATTTTGATTATTAAATTACTTTGATGCCCTATTTAGTGTTTTGGGTTTTTTTTTTATAAGGTTTTGAGGTTGGGTTTGTTTTAAGAAATCAATGGCAGTTTTGTAATTTAAAAGAAGTTAAAAGCCTTTTTATTATGTTGTAAATGGACTTTGGGTGTGTTTCTAAAGTCCATTTCATATATGACATTTTTATAATTTGAGCTCCTATATTGGATATAATAGTGAATCCTACACGTTTTGTCTGTGTGTTGTGTCATATAAGAAACTTCCGTGTTTGCTTGCATGAAAGACAGAGACCCGCATGGAGTTGGGCTCCTATTGTCTTTGCTTTTTCTGTATAATATCGGTAACATATAATACATATATTTTCCTACAAAAATACATATATTAAAAGGAAGAAGAAGAAAAAAAAGGCCCCTTGGAGAATGGGCCTAGGGCAGTTGCACTGCTTGCCCTTGTCCAGCGCCGGCACTGTTCAAGTGGGAGAGTTTTTGGGCTAAAATCCCAAATTTTAGGTTTTGGCCCCTTGCATTGGAGATGGCCCTATGAATGCAGGAGGACAGCGAAAAGAAAAGTGGTAAAAAGACAGAGGTTTATTGTACTACTGTAAAAATAAAAAAAAAATAAAAAAAACGGGGTACAGTTATTGATTCTGAGGAGACTCTCACCTCTTTTTGGGGTGACACAAAGTACCTTTACCAGCTTGGTTCGTGCATGTGCATAAATAGAAATGTAATTGAACTTCTGTTCTTTTTTTGGTAATGAAATGTAATTAAATTTGGTGGAGTGAACATGTGACCGAGTTTTATTCTTCTTTTTCTTGGCTAAACAGTCGGGTTTTGTGTTGGTCTTACCATATAACATGGAATTTGGTTGAATATTACAAAATGGATGGGAATTTTATGTTAAAGCCACTTTATCTTAAAAAAACAAAAACAAAAAAACAAAAAAACAAACAAAAACAACCAGACCATCTTGTGAGAGCTGCAGTCCTAGTTCTTCTCAAATGCTAACTGGTCAAGGTAGTTGGTTGTGAGTGGTAACCTACTCTGTGAACTTTTTTGTGTCCTTTTTTTTTAACTTATTAAAATTCAGCAATGGAGAAAATTTTCGCAGTGCTATAGATAGTTGCAACTTACGAGTCAGCCCAACACGAAACACTCGTTGCAGCTGAAAAAAAAACATTTGAAAATAATTTATCGGTTCTCTGCCTCCTTCCTCAGTCTCTGTTACAAGGTCACAAGACTCGCAACAGAACCTCGGTTTCTCGGGCAAAGAACAGAGCATTTCTGATCAGATTTTCCATTCAAGGTCAGTTTTTCTCATCTGGGTTTTTCTCAGAATACAATTTTGTCATCTGGGTCCCTGCATTGCTTGTATTTGATTCCTCTTACAAGCATTGCGTTTTTTTTTCCCATTGTATAAAAGAGAGAGCTTTTATTTTTGGGTAAAAAAAGGAGAGAGCTTTAGCTAGATCTTTTATCGAAAAGGTGAAAAATGCCAATTTTTGTGTACAGTATCATAAAAAGTATGTGTTGTTTGGTTATTGATGATTGATTGGTCATTCATTTTGCAGGATGTTTAGGTCCTTTGAGTTTGAGCTGCATTTGCTGTTCTCTATTGTTAAAGTCCTTCTCTTTGATCTCTCTCACTTCACTGTGATCCATCAAACCCTCTTAGATTCTTTTTCTTGTTAGGTTGATTATCCAAAGCAAATCCCATTTCTGAAACCCCAAATAAAGCAGAATGTCATAGGAAATCCAGTCCAACCCAACTACCTAATCTATTTTACTGTTTATAGACCACCCAAATTATAGATTCCTGATCTCCTATTCTAGAGGAAATCGCTTCCTGTAGTCGAAAATGTTGTTTAAATTGCGGTTCAAGAGAAAGGGATTCATGCTTCTTTAACATCACTGTTCCATTGAGATCACCCAAGTCTCCAAATTTTGTCAATTTAGATCAACCCATCTCCTCAAATTTTCTGAAAAATGTCAGCTTCCAATTTAAGGACTCCTTTAAACCCTCCATCATCAGTATCCTCATCCTCATTGAAGCTTCCTGATTTCAAACAATCTGTGAAGCTGAAGTATGTGAAGCTTGGCTACCATTACCTCATCACCCATGGGATGTACCTGTTCCTATCCCCTCTATTTGTTCTCACTGTGGCACAGCTCTCTACATTTTCACTCCAAGATCTTCATGACCTTTGGGACCATCTCAGGTTCAATCTCATATCTGTTGTCCTTTGCTCAACTCTTTTGGTCTTCTTATTGACCCTTTATTTCCTTACTCGTCCACGCCCCGTTTACCTTGTTGATTTCTCATGCTATAAGCCGGAGGATGCCCGAAAATGCTCAAGACAAATATTCATGGATAGGTCTCATTTTATAGGAACATTCACTGGGGAGAACCTCGAGTTTCAACGAAAAATTCTTGAGAGATCAGGTCTTGGGGAGTCAACCTACCTCCCCGAAGCTGTTATACAGGTTCCTCCTAATCCATGTATGGCAGAGGCCAGAAAAGAAGCTGAGATGGTAATGTTTGGTGCCCTTGACCAGCTCTTTGAGAAAACTTCTATAAAACCAAAAGACATTGGTATTCTGATTGTAAATTGTAGCTTGTTTAATCCAACACCATCTTTGTCAGCTATGGTTATCAATCATTATAAGCTACGAGGGAATATTATTAGTTATAATCTTGGTGGGATGGGATGTAGTGCTGGCTTGATCTCGATTGATCTTGCTAAAGATCTTCTTCGAGTCCACCCCAATACCTATGCTTTGGTCATTAGCATGGAAAACATCACTTTGAATTGGTATTTTGGGAATGATAGATCAATGCTTGTTTCAAACTGCTTGTTTAGAATGGGAGGAGCTGCAATATTGCTTTCAAACAATGGGTCAGACAGACGTCGATCCAAGTACCAACTGGTTCATACTGTTCGAACCCACAAAGGTGCTGACGACAAGTGCTTCTCATGCGTAACCCAAAAAGAGGATTTTGCAGGGAAAATTGGAGTTTCTCTGTCAAAAGATCTTATGGCAGTTGCTGGAGATGCTTTGAAGACCAACATCACTACCTTGGGTCCTCTTGTGTTACCTATGTCTGAACAGTTGCTCTTCTTTGCCACACTTGTTGGGAGAAAGCTTTTCAAGATGAAGGTGAAGCCTTACATCCCTGATTTTAAATTAGCTTTTGAACATTTCTGCATTCATGCCGGAGGAAGAGCTGTGCTGGATGAATTGGAGAAGAACTTGCAGCTTTCGGATCGCCACATGGAGCCGTCAAGGATGACACTTTACAGATTTGGCAACACTTCAAGCAGTTCTCTTTGGTATGAATTGGCTTATACAGAAGCCACGGGGAGGATGAAGAAGGGAGACAGAACTTGGCAGATTGCGTTCGGGTCTGGCTTCAAGTGCAACAGTGCAGTTTGGAAGGCTTTGAGAACTGTGAATCCAGCAAAAGAGAAGAATCCATGGATGGATGAGATCCACCAGTTCCCAGTGGATGTTCCAAAGGTCTCAGCCCTCTAATTCCGGTGGCAGTTTCCCATTTCTTCTAGCAATATAAAATATATTAGGGGTAGCTAGTTTTCTCTTTCACTGCTACAATCTTCATGTTTGGCTTTAATGGAGTTACTGTTTGGCTTTAGTTATTAGGAGAGGAGATAGATGGTGTTAGTGTTTGGTTTACAGTGTATCCATGTGGTTTTGACTTGTGATTATATGCCTAATTAATCGGCTGTTTGTTTTATTATGGTATTTGTCTTGTAGGTTTGAGTGTTTTATGCTGTTTGGTGATCCATAAACTGGGATTAATATCCAATCAGAAGGATTATTCCTAATCATCATATATTCTTCTTGGGTGATAGATGTTTCTTGGCTCCTTTCTACATTTTCCTCTGCTACCTATGTTTTGTGGATCCATTAACTGAGCTCATGTCACGAGAGATTTGTCTCCATATTAGACACTTCTTTGACTGACACAATAACAACTAAATTCTTTTTGTTTTTTATACATCACTATAAATTGTGTGTTACACACGCCTTTGATGGTTCCCCACATAGTTGGAGCCAAACTATAATTTTCTAGTTTAATACGCTTGTGTTATCTTTCACTTCATGTATAATGTTTTAGTATTTTAAAGTACTCATAATTAAGTACAAAGATGACATTGTGAGAGTCCAAATAGTCTTGCCTTTAGAAAATAAAGTGTTACATAAGGCCTCAAATCTTTTATGAAGATTACGCTATTATCTTTGTTTTTCACATTTGGGTTTCATATGGTTTTCTGACTAAGTACCTCGATGAAAGAGTTACTTGGTTTTTGGCTTAGGCAGAGCCTTTTCTTCTCTATTTTTTTCGGAAAACATTGCAACCATTTATTATTGGAAGGGTTAGTGATTTTCAACATGACACTACTCAAATATTTTGCGAAATTAACAAAATTGAAGAATTAGACAACAGATTAGGGTCGCATCAATCACAAATAACCTAACTATGACACTACAAATCTCTTCAACTAAATTTCTAATGAAAAAGAAAAAAAACCGAACGAGTGCAATTATCTTATTTTCTCCAACTTTTGAGGATTGGGAAGAAACGGAAAAACAAAGAAAAGAAACGGAGTTGTGATTATGAATCATATAGTTTACAAAAGACTTTCATTTAATAACCATAACAGACCAAACAAAGCACCTCTAATTTCTAAACTCTAACCATTACCAAAAAAATGAAAAAATATATTCTTTGATTGCTCCCAATAGAAGTAACAGCATGCCAACCCACAAGGGACATTATCAATGAATAAAATGTATCTGAAAATGTACACAGGAGTTCCATTTTCCCAAGAGGAGTTGACAATACATGGAAACCACAAGAATACTAGTCCTTGGTGGACTTGTTGATGAGAGACTTGTGAATGTGAGGGATCACGCCACCACCGGCTATTGTTCCTTTGATCAGGGTGTCGAGTTCTTCGTCACCACGAATTGCAAGCTGCAAGTGTCTGGGTGTTATACGCTTCACCTTTAAATCTTTGCTTGCATTACCTGCAAGCTCCAACACTTCTGCAGTCAGATACTCCAAGATAGCGGCAGAGTATACAGCAGCTGTTGCACCAACTCTTCCATTAGCTGAAACCCTTGACTTCAAAAGACGGTGAATTCGACCAACTGGGAACTGCAGGAATACGTATTCAAATATCAGAGATAGGGAACATAGTGGGCATATATACCCAAAAACAACTAAATAAAATCCATTGTGAATGGGAGGAATTAAAGAACTACAAAAACATCTAAAAGAACCAATTTATCAACCCGTGGAAAGTCCACGATACACTCATGCTTATACACAAGTTCATGAGACTATACTTGAAACCCAAATTATCATCTAGGGTAATTAATTTACAGCAGCACCTCACCCAGGTTAATGACACATCTGATTAAATTGATCTCATCATTAAAAAGAAAGGCATTGCAGGATAGATTGAAACAGGGACCAAGGTTCCAATTGTGGACTCAAGATAATGAATAAACAATGAACACAGATGACCCGATATCAAATCGTCCTTTTATATGTTTTGGTCATAAATGTGATTGGATTAGGGCAACTACTAGATCAAGAATACATCAGCTGAGTAAGTTAAGTCTTTTATTGATTCCCCTTATACCCATCTAAGTTGGGTAAGCTATTCCTTCACCACTCTGGGTCACTTTCTTTAAAGGAGCCCAGCCTTCACTCACATACAAAGAAAATATCCTAATCTAAGTTTAGTAGACCAGGATTTGACAGCAAAAAGATAATGTTGATGCCTAACCTTCTTGACCAATTATAACCTTATCAAGTTGGAAGAACCTATCCTACTCTCACCATCAGGAGAGTTGAAGCTAAAATTTCTAAAACAGCTGCAGTGAATACTATGCTCTGTTGCTTAACAGAAAAACTAAACAGACTAACTTCACGAAAGAGAACTGTAAAATCTCTGTGCCAGTGCAGAAACGTATTGAACCAAAATCAGCTGAGACAACAATTTACCTAAATATTTTATGCTTATCTGCCTACAGTTAGATGCACAGAGAAAACTCAAATTTGGATATCTTAAAGCACTAAATATAACATATGAGGGCCGTGGGTAAATAAGAAAAGCAGAGCAGAGCAGAATTTTATCCTCTCCATTACCATGATAGACCTCTTCTTCATGCCAAGCTCAGTACCATGATAATCCATCCATTCCCACGTAACTGAAATCCTATGAATTTGAAATTCAGTCACTTTTACAGCAAGCAAACTAATCATAACTGACCACAATTATCCCATGTATCCCATCAAGCACAATTTAGCAGATTGCTATGAGCTAGTGAGCTCTGAAATTTTGAAATCTCCACGACCCAACTATTCAATCTCTTTTTTTTCTTCCATTTCATTAATAATTTAGATTTTTCCAACCATAATTCTAATTCTATCCATAATAATTCGTATACACACCAAGAACCAACACAAATGAGAACACGCATTTTCTAAACAGAGCATATTTTGAAAAACGAAGATTTACCCATGAATGAAACACGAAGGAAAATCAACGAAATCGAACTGAAAACAAATATAGATGAAGAGAGAGAGAGAGAGAGAGAGAGAGAGAGAGAGAGAGAGAGAGATAGAGAGAATTGTACCTGAAGGCCAGCTCGAGAAGAACGAGAGATAGGTTTCTTCTTGTCCTTGTCTTTGTCTTTGTTGATGGCTGGGCTTTTGCCCATTATCAAACCCTTCGCGCCTTTACCTGACATTTCTTTTTCTCGAGAAATTGAAAGAAAATGTGAATAACTCAATTTTCTTTCGAGACAGCAGCAAAAAGCCCAAAACGCGAACGCAGATAAAAACAGAGAGAATTTGCAGATGGAGGTCGAGAAAGATCGAATCTTTGAAGATTTCAGAGACTGGAGAGAGAGAGAGAGAGAGGGAGAGAGTCGGGCTATTTATAAGGAGCTTTTTACCGCTTAAAATACCCACCGACTTATGTTTAATCACGAACAAACCACTTTCTTACTTGGATTTGGATCGGGTCTTTTTGGTCTTTTGGATATGTGAGAACAATATGTATTGACTTTCAAAGAAAGTGGGTTTATAATAATTTTGGAAAATAATATACTGGTCTAGAATGTTAGAAGATGTCTCAAGTTATTCGAAACGTTGATATTATAGTTAACGCGTTACACTTCTTGTTAATTTAATTTCTATTACAAAATGACAAGCTGAGGCATAAAATCATGCCTTAACTCTCACTTCTCAGAGTAGGATAACTTGCTCATAAATTCATTCCATTCCGTCATCATCACTACTATATCATTATCCTATTGATGTGTTTTATTTTTAGTTAATTATGGGAACATACCCATTTTATTTTTATATATAGCTAGTTCATTCTTAATTATCAGATCATGATACGGGTGATTAAATATAAACACATGTATAAATCTGAGGCAAAGACGAATGGTTTTGCGTTGAAAAATATAAACAAGTTTAGGAACTTGGGAGGTTAAGATAATAGAGGGATCTGGTAATGCACATTTTCTTCAATTCTCTAGAAACAGTTAATAGGAGCAAAATTCAACTACATACTAACCAACCATGCTGAAAGGTACACATACAATCAAACCAAACTAATTGACCTTCCGCCCTCGAAGTTCTAGGAAAAAAATATATATCAAAGGGGTCCCCATGTCCCTTGATAAAACAATGTGTTGTCTTCTAATTCAAACCCTGCAAATTCAAAATTAAATCACAATTATTGATCATTAAAAGCCACGAAGAAATACAAAACGAAAATCTAATGAGTTAGTCAATTAACGCTGCATATTAATTTAAATATGTTGATTAACAATTTAACAACATAACATTCAGTACTTACTGTTGAAATTCAATGTTAACGAACTTAGCAGAAGAGTTGGCGATTGCAGAGAAGGCGGTGGTGGAGAGGGCCATGGTAGTATCTTTCCTTGAAGGCCGAGACACCGAAGAGAGAGCTCGATCCACAATCCTTATCTGAATCGTCTTCCCTGGAACGCAAGTTCCTAGCACCGGCGCACTAATGCACCTCACCAGATATTGCCTGCCGCAGGCCGCACCATTGTCCCATATTCCCTCCCCGGCTGACCCAAACAGGTTGCTCGACGGAAACTGCGAGGGGTCGCTTCCCCTGCACGCGGTGGCTGCATGGATGCAATGGAATGCAAGTTTAGGTATTAATCAAATATCCATGTTAATAGAAATATATCGACAGCTTGAAAATTCTGCAATAACAATGAAGATTTTAAACTAAATATATTTGATATTCGGAAAAATTATATGAAAGTTTCGAGTAAAATGTACTAAAGGAAGAAAAAAAAAACTGAAAAAGACTATGTAATAAAGATACATTAGGGTTTAGGGTTTTAGGTTTACGCAAATATGGGGGGCTGTAGTGGGCAGCAGAGCCAACATCAGCCTGAGAGGAACAAAAGAGCGCTGATAAAAACAGGAAGAGAAACAGCCATGGAAGGGAGATCGGAGAAGTTGACATGCCTGGATCAAAAAGTAAGAAGAAAATAATCTGATGGAATTAGTTAAACATTATATATATATAAACAATATCAATTAAAGATTCATTCAAAGTCAAAGGTTTGAAAATTAGGTTAATTTTAACTTGGGGTGCAGGCCAGTTACTTGGTAGCTCAGAGTAGGACACCGAAAAATAAGAATGTACGATCGTCTAAACAAGTAAAAACAGCAGAAAATATGTTCCGGTCCTAAGATGAGTAGCCTCCCCTCCTCTTAAACTTTTCTTCAACAAAAAAAACAGTAGAAACACAAACACAAACAGAAGTAAAAACAAAAAGGCAGATAGAAAGAGCAAGAAATAATAGATTAGTTAAGAAATCGGATTTAGTGGTTTTGGTACGTAGGTAGGGTGATCAAATGAGTTATGGTTGATCCAAAACCACCTTAATTAATCACCTTAAATAAGTGGAAGAAGAGTCCAAGAGGTGAGACAAGAGCACAATCTTAAATTCTTAATTAACAGCATAAAAATATAGTACAAATCTCAGCCGTCCATTGCCTACTACTGGACACCACCACACAGAAGAGTAGAGGACCCATGTACTTCCATGTGGACAAAGCTAGAGCTTAGCCGTCCCTCACATGCTCTTTGCTTACAAAGTCATTCACTGGCCAAGGCAAGTCATGTTGGTCGTTGGTTTGGTCGATATTCGCTTTTTATTCCGCAACCATTTTCTAATTTTTTATTATATATATCTCTTTTAATCAATGAATTAAAACACTTATATTTGATTCTTGGGATATTACCAACGTATTTTTCTTTCCAGTTAATCCAAATAATATTCTAACAATTTAATAACATTCCAATTTCTAATAAGAAGATGACACCCACAATAAAAATTTGTTTTAAATTAAATTATAATACTCGATTTGTGGTTTAGGTATCATTGAGCTCAATTTTTCCATTCAAACTTTCGGTTTAGATTGGATCGGTATAAAATAGAAATAAATAATTATCATACTAAACTGGATTATTCGTCTAGTCGGTATTCGATTTTTCAGCACAAATACCCACCCCAGCTCTCCTTGTATGTATTATACAAAGATCTAACGCGGTCTGGCATATTAGAATGGAAGGGGGAAGTACCTAAAACATATACAATGTATCTAAAGGAACCAAATATTGTAATATTAAGGTAACATATCTAAATTGATTTATGAGTGAAGGAGATTGCAACGCACGTACCTGGGCAAGTGCTGTGCGCAGCGAGAAGATGAATAGAGGCTGAAGCCTGATCGAGAGTGCAGGCAATGTAACTAGATATGGAGGAATTTATAGATGAAAGAAAAATAAAATAGATCACATCTTCTGAATAAGGTAGGCAATTCAATCGGAACGTTTCCTTGCAAGGGAGGGACTTCTCAGATGTGTACGTTAACGTTAAGATGCGTAGTCGTTTTAAAACGTAACTTACTCATTAATTCTTTTTTTATACGTCTAATAATGAATTCCGAATTTCCACACCAAATTTACTTTCTTTATTACTAAATTTGTATTAAGGGTTAAGGTAAGGGTGATCCATTCAATGCACCTTTGTACCTGAAAAAATCCCAACAAAGTTTTCTTATTTTATGCACTCTCTTTCGTTTTCATAAGTTTTTTTAACTTCAAAGTAAAATGACAAATTGTTATGCTTTCTCATGGGGTCGATGAACATGGCGTACGTAGTTACTTATTTGTACAAGTAGAAGCCAAAAAAAGATTCCAATTTCAATTTCACGTTTAATTTCTATAATCACTCTAACAAACGAGCAAAGTTGTCTTTTTTGAATACAATCGATATTTGATGTTGGGGAAGGGGAAATGAAACCTGGGACCCAAGAACCTAAGAGCATCTCCAACCGATATGTCAAAAGTACCACATAGACATTTACCGGTTAGAAATAACATCTCACATTACTCCAACCAAATTGTCAAAGCTAATGTGGAATGAAGGCTGGAGGTTCAACCATTACTTTTGACATTCCAAAAGCAAGATGTCAAATGAATATTTTATTATTTTTTAAAGACAGTTGGCTGTTACTTTCATTTATTATTTTCCTTTTTATTATTTTCTTCTTTATCTTGAATGATTTGACTATTACAAATTTTTTCTTTCTTTCTCTTTCCAATTTATTTCCTATCTTGAATGAACATTGAAATGTAATAAAATAATAATTTAATTTGACATATCGGGTGGAGTGTAAAACTGTGTAATTGTCAAATTGCCACATCAGTCATCAAATTTAAATTTGAAGTTTGGTATTTGACATCTCCCTTGGAGATGCTCAAGATCATGGGTAAATACTCTTAACCACTTGAGTTACAAGTCCCTTACGGAAAAAGTTGTCCATCTAATAGAAAATTCATGGAATTAGTCATAACATGAATTTGAACATAATGAAAAAAAAATAAAGGATATAGAGAAAAAAACACGAATAGAAAGACACAAAGAGAAGGCCGAAAAACACAAATAGAAAGGCACAAAGGGAAGGCCTTGATCCCATGAATTTAAACAGAATAGGAAGAGAAAAAAAAACACAAATAGAAAGGCGGTTACCATTTCTCTAATAAGTTCCAACAAACAAATGTACTTTGCCGACTCTATACTTTTTTTGTTATCCTAATATTTGGTTTTTAAGGAAAGAGGAGGAAGAGAGTAAATCACTTGCAACTCTTACCATAAATGAAAGGTTAATCTGCATCCCAACGAACGTGAGCCGCTGTAATATATGTTTCGGAGCTTTCAACAGACACAAAGTAAACAATAAAATTTGAAGTTGGTGGTACCAATTATCCTAGAATCTCTTTCTCTTTAATTGGATATTTGCATTGTGAAATTATCGTTTGCAATTTTAAAAGGAAAAAAAAAGAGAGAATCCATTTGGGTTGGAAGGCCGATTGTGTATTTGGCAACCTTTATAATTTAAGGGACACCAGAGCCTTGCATTTATTTTGTACTTTTGCAAATAGATACTCTCCAATTAATGCTTCTTGCCTCCCCTCTGAATTCTCTGTTCACTTCCTGTTGATTTTTACTTCCACCAGCTTCTTTCTTTGCTGTGTTCTCTCTGCAACTTTTCACAACGCTTAAATGTTTTGGTTGTGTTACTGTGATTCTTTATTCATTTTCTGCAAGTGAGCTCCCAAATTCTGTTATTTCTTGAAATTCATTGAGTTTGGAGAGTTGGGTTTGTGTTTTTCCTCATGGGTACTGCTTCTGCTGTGTGCCCATCTGGAATTACTTCCCATTACCGTGGAAAGTTTGGGGCTTTTCCTCAAAAAGTCGAATTCATTGGCTCTAATTTTCCACTTCATGTGGAATTTCCGAGAAGTAACTTGTACCCAAGTTCTGTTTCCACCACGACATCCAAGGTAATCACTGTTGCCTCCCTCATCTCTTGTGTACTTGCTTTAGAAACTGAGAAAAAGAAAGAGAAATAGCACCTGAACAAAATCTATGCTTTGTTTGAATGGGGTTAAATTATGTTTAAATTTGTGAGGTGCTTTGTTCTGTAAAGTTACAGGCCAATCATTCAATTTGGTATCTTTCTTGAATTGGGTGAGCGGCAATGTTTGTTTGTCACTATATTCGCTATTTTCAGTAACTATTTGTTTCTAAAACGGAAAAGCTTTATTGGTGAATGAGAACTTGGTTTCCAGGATGATGAGAGACAGAAAGGAAGAGGGGAAACTGCCGTCATCATCAAATATTTTTCTTTTAAGTTAAATTTATAGTCTACATCATGTCCCAAATGATTTTAACACTAAGCACTAAGCGCACATAGAGGTTCATCTAGATTCTAGATTGATAAATCCCTTAAAAAGATAGAATGTTAATATTATCCACTCCTGCATAGGCAGTTAATATCTGTTTATTATTATTATTTTTTCATGATGCAGGAAATAGTGTGTCCAAAATGTTCTCTGCCTGATAGTGGTGAATTTTTCTCGGAAGAAGTCTCAACACCCATTCTTGATTCGGTTGAAAATCCTATCCACCTGAAGAACTTGTCTCTTAAAGTGAGTTTTGAAGCATTTACATACTTTGCTTTTATGGTTATACTTAACTTTACAGCTTCTTTACTCACCACAAATTGATCAGTGCAGGAACTGAAACAGTTATCTGATGAAATCCGTTCAGAGTTGTCATCAATAATGTCAAAAAGAAGAAAGTCTTTTAAAGCTAGCTTGGGAGTAGTAGAGTTGACAGTGGCCATGCACCATGTTTTCCATGCTCCTGTGGACAAGATACTATGGGATGTTGTAGAACAAGTAAGATCATAACATCTATACCTTCTCCTTGTAGGGATACCTAATTTTTGGAGAGATGGTGCTGAATATGGATCACTTGTGGTATTGTTTCCATTTTGATGTTCAGAGTTAATACCAGAAAAACACATATAAAACAGGAAGCAAAGAAATCAATGGAAATCTTCAATTTATATTTAGTGATTGTATGACCTAAGTTTTAAAAAATTTCTCTTGTACTGGCAGACCTACGCTCATAAAATTCTAACAGGAAGACGGGACCTCATACATACAGTGCGACGAAATAATGGTCTTTCTGGTTCTACATCTCAATCCGAAAGTGAATATGATCCATTTGGGGCAGGGCATGGGTGCAGCAGTGTTTCTGCTGGACTTGGTAGTTGTCCGCTTCCATTCTGCTTCTTGTTTATTTTTTTCTTGTCACAAAATCACTTTCTTTGAGAAAAGTTCACGCTTTTATTCAACTTAACTTGAATTGAACACTTCTCTGGATATTCTGGTAATCATATATGTTCTTTTTATGTTGCTTTACATATTGATTTTCATGCTTGCGTCCAGCTTAATTTGCATTTTACACTTTCCTGAGTTTATGTAGCTCATGATAGTATGTTCTTTCCTTTCAGATTTTTTTCTTTTTTGGGGTTAATTTCAGATTTGTTTATTTGCTTGTTGTGCAGTTAGCATATAGGAGAAAATCTTTCAAGTTTGGTCAGCTAACTTAGATTTACAACTTTATTATTTTTTAACTGGACTGCAATTTATAATCTTTACAGGCATGGCAATTGCACGGGATATTAAAGGAAAGCGGGAACGTATTGTCACAGTCATCAGCAATGGGTCAACAGTAGCTGGTCAGGTCTATGAGGCAATGGGTAATGCAGGTTATTTGGACTCAAATATGGTAGTTATTTTAAATGACAGCAGGCACTCTTTACACCCAATGATTGAGGAGGGCCCCAAGACAACCATTAATGCTCTGTCTAGTACCCTAAGCAAGCTCCAGTCAAGTAAATCATTTCGGAAGTTTAGAGAAGTTGCTAAGGTATTTCCTCGGTTTTATGATCATACCTCTAGGACTAGAAGATTTTATGACACTGAAGCGTTATTTTGAGGACTTTCATAAATAGTTAGCTGTATTGGAATTATTGAAGTCCAGAGAACAGAGATGTATTTTTCATTCGCTGAAGTATTTATTTCTCTTCCACCCTTTTTTTTTTCAGGGTGTTACTAAAAGAATTGGTGGAGGTATGCATGAATTGGCAGCTAAAGTTGATGAGTATGCACGTGGTATGGTCGGTCCACTAGGATCAACTCTTTTTGAAGAGCTTGGATTGTATTACATTGGCCCTGTTGATGGACACAACATTGAAGACCTGATTTGCGTTCTACAGCAAGTGGCATCACTGAATTCAATGGGTCCTGTTTTGGTCCATGTAATAACAGAAGAAAATCGGGGACTGGAAAACAACCCGAAGAGTGGGGTGGCATACAGGCAGCAGGAAGGTATGTCTCTCATTTCCTTCTCTGATGTTCATTTCATTTCTGTGCAAAGTTCTGCAGTAACTTTTGGGATTCATGCGTTGATTTAGGTGTGATGTAGCCAAACTCATCCCATATTAGTTTGGTTTTATATTTCATCTAAGGCTGGCCTTGGTTCGGGCCTTTAGTGAGTATAAGAAATATCCAACTACAAAGATTAGTTCCCATTATCTCTCTGGTTTCCTGGCCTGACTCTTTCCTTTTTGTAGAGGATAAAAAGCCAAGTTGAATTGATACATATGTTGTTTTACATTCCAAACCTGCAGGTTTGAGTAATTCTGAGGATTTACCGTCCAAAGCTCGCCCTAGAACTTATAGCGACTGCTTTATGGAGGCTTTGGTTATGGAGGCAGAGAAAGACAAATATATTGTGACTGTTCATGCAGGAATGCATATGGAATCATCATTTCACCTATTCCGCGAAAAATTTCCTGACAAATTTTTTGATGTGGGAATGGCTGAGCAACATGCAGTTACTTTTTCTGCTGGTTTGTCACGTGGAGGATTAAAGCCATTTTGCATAATTCCTTCTGCATTTCTACAGAGAGCTTATGATCAGGTCTGTTTGATTGATCCCTTCTGCTTGTTGATAGTAATCATATATCTAACAAAATATTATTAATAATATCTTTATTTTGAGGAAAATGTTATTAAATTTATTTTCTTATGGCCTGTCTAGGTGGTTCATGATGTAGATCGGCAAAGAATTCCAGTGCGTTTTGTCATTACGAGTGCAGGATTGGTTGGATCTGATGGTCCCTTGCAGTGTGGGGCGTTTGATATAACATTTATGTCATGCTTACCAAATATGATTGTCATGGCACCGTCCAATGAGGTTGAGCTTGCCAACATGGTGGCCACTGCAGCCTACATTGATGATCGTCCAGTTTGCTTCCGATATCCTAGGGGAGCCGTAGTTGGGATGGAACATTCTATGTGCAGTGGGACCCCCATTGAGGTAATTGTTGCTATTTGTCCGTTGCTAGAAATAAGCGTACCATCATTACCAATAGGAATATTTAAAGGATAGAACTTGGTACATTTTCATGTACCATCATTACCAATAGGAATATTTAAAGGATAGAACTTGGTACATTTTCATATTACCTTCGTTCTTTTCACTTAGTAATGTTAGACGACTTAACTTGTTCTTATGCCTTTATATTGACTGCTTTGCACTGCTGAGCAGATTGGAAAGGGGAAAATTCTCACAGAGGGTAAAGATGTGGCATTGCTTGGATATGGATCAATGGTACGGAACTGCCTTAAGGCTCGGTCTCTTCTTTCAAAGCTTGGCATTGAGGTAACAGTTGCTGATGCAAGGTTCTGCAAGCCCTTAGACATCAACCTTCTTAGGCAGCTTTGTCAAAACCACTCATTTCTAATCACGGTCGAGGAAGGCTCTATTGGAGGATTTGGATCCCATGTTGCGCAGTTCTTTGCGCTTGATGGACAGCTTGATGGAAGCATTAAGGTAATATCTATTTTCAGCAACATGGTATGCAGCTTCCTTTGGAATTTTCTACATTATATATCTTATGCTGTTTCGGTTCGATAATAACTGTCAAAGGCAAGCTTAATGTTAACCCATTTTGACTTAAATTCTTCCTTTCTGTCTGAAATCGACTTTCCAGTGGCGACCAATTGTTTTACCGGACAACTACATTGAGCATGCATCCCCAAACGAACAGCTAGCTATTGCTGGGCTGACCGGACATCACATAGCTGCAACGGCGTTAAGTCTGCTTGGCCGAAATCGTGAAGCCCTCCACTTAATGTGCTAAGCACCTGCACTTCTCTGCCATTTGCACTGAGACTCTGCTGGTTAGCAGAAGAAAGGGAAAGACAGATAGAAGCTCAAGCAGCCTTAATTCTACCAATGTTTAGGAAATTTTTTCCCGTACCTATTTGTATATAAGTGCTTCTCACAAGTTCATGATATAATTGTACAGCGGCAATGTCACAATGGGGAAATGCATGTTTGCTGATATGCATTAAGAGTTATACTCTTCAGCCCAACTAAATATTTTATAAATTTAATATCATGTTCTTAGATCTACTGTAATAAATTGAAGATTTGCAATCATAGCTTAACAATGCTAAGGCCAGAGGATGGGTGGAGATTAGGGTGTAATTGTCAATGCTATAATAATTGTATATTTATTAATAAAATCATCACTCGTCTATGTTATAACAGATGGATCAGTAATACCATGACAGTGGTACATATCACGAACCCAAAAAATGAAACTCTCGAATTTAGAATGAAATGGTCCCAAAAGTGGCGATATGCATTTGTTTGTTTTTATTTTTTTAATACAACTTAGGTTCAAAGGGGCAGACTCACTGTCCTGACCAATTGACCTAACAAGCGTATAATGCAATCGCGTTTGTTTGTTACAAAAAGTGATTTAATTTTAATGTAGATCTCCATAAGATTCGCATGGGAAGCTAAGGGAGGTTAGACCCAACACGTGTGTGATGTAGTCTATATATGTTTTTGAGTGGCTAGTTTTTTCTTTTCTTCCTCTTTTGGTAGCATAGTGAAGTCCATTGGCTACAGTTGTATCCTTGACCCCAGTTCACCCCTATCCACCTAACAAAGTTACCGAAAGTGCTATTTCTGTAGATTGATATTCTCCATAAATTAGGTCATATGAATGACAAAGACTCCACTACTTGAATACTGTATTAGCAAAGTAACCTGAAAGAATTCCAGAAGATTCACAACCCATTATAAGGTCTAAACTGTTAGGACTCGCATATTTTAAATATGATTTTGTTCCCAATTGAATAAGTTCTTCTTCTTTATGATTGTGCATATTAAGTAGGGTAACTGTTCTCTAGCGTGCCTCGACTGATTGAATTTGAGCCCTCCATTACTGTACTATAAAGTTTTGCGTCTCAATATTTATAAGTTCACCAATAGTGCCAAGACATTAGTTAATTGAAATAGTTCAGTTGAAGCCCTTCATTACTGTACTATAAAGTTTTGAGTCTCAATATTTATAAGTTCACCAATAGTGCCAAGACATTAGTTAATTGAAATAGTTCAGTTGAAGCCGGACCTTCAAACTTGCGCTTATGATATAAGCCTACAAATTTGGACACCATTAAGTTGATTATTCACATGAATGTACACAGTGTAAATTTCAATCTTATAACATAAGTTTGGCAAGAAAACATTACTCCATAAGTGAGGTTTAAATTGGGCGCATTGAAGAATTGAATACAAAATTTTCACACACGACTCATGAATGGATTTGTTTTTTGGTCAAACATAGGTCAGTGGTCACTGTCAGTTTGGGTGGGAAAATCTGGGCCGATTACCATGCATATATTGCTTACCCAGTCAGTAAAAAGCAAACCCAAAGGACCAGCTTACCTTAAGCTCACCTCTGCTCAGCTCCTCAGCTGAGCTCACCCACATGGCAATGGCTGCCAGGCATTCTCAGCCGCAGGGTGTGTTTCCCTTTACCTTTTGGCAAATAATAATAAGATAATTTCAGGCTGCGGATGGTTCAGGGATAAAGAGAAGAAAACGACATCACTACCATTAATCAACGACACTCAATTTTCGAGCTGACTATTTAAGCGGCTCCGTGGGGGCATCAGGGTGCGGGGCCCATCCTTGCCCTCCAAATCAACGCAGAGTTCAGTGAGAGGTTGCCCACGTTCTTCAGCAATTCATGCTCACCTCAAAAACTAAATTGGTATTATTACTTTGTTCTTATTCTCTTATTGTTCTTCATTTCTTTGTTTGGGTGGTTGGTGATTACTCGACCAACATAACACGTGTTGGTGTGTTCATTCGTGACGAGACGACAGATTCTCCATTCCCATCGTCACATTCTTAGCTAGCGTTATCGATTCACTTATATTATAATATATATTTATTTTGTTAATATTGAATTCGAGATTTACGTTATATTAACTATTTTACTCACTTATATTATAACACATATAGAAATAATATCATGTGACGGTGTGATCATCACACCTAAATATTTTTCATTTATGACCAGATTCTCTGAGATGTATGCTAACAAATCATTCAGTGAATATTACATGAAAACAATCCAAACTCTAGCCTTCCCCTTTCCTAAGTAAGAAGATTTTAAAATTCCTAACTTGTTGTGCTATACTAAAAATGTATGCAGATGATGGTTGAGCCATAATTTAATTTTATTAATATTATACTCATGTTAGAACATGTGTACTAATTTATTAATATTATTCTCGAGATTTATAAGTTCATAACATATCAATCATGTCGTGTATTCATAATATAACACATGAAGTAGCAACTTAATAATCACATTTAAGTGTTTTCCATTCATGGCAAGATATTGACATGTATACTCGTGAACAGATCATGTGACCAACAAATTCCGCGTGGAAAAGTTTTGTCACCTTGTTAATATTACATGACAACAGTCCAAACTCTGGCCTTCCCTTTTGTTTAAAAGAAAGGGTTTAGGGGTTGCAAACTTAAATAGGTTATAATTCCAAACTTTGCAATATTAAAATGCGTAGATGATGGTTGAGCCATAATTTAATTGTTGTTCAGACTTCTCTAAATAACATGAAGAATTGAAGATGATCGATCCGAGATCCGAGATCCGTGTACAGTACAGTACGGTACAGAAAATCCTCAAACTCAAATCCGTAGAAAATCCAATGCACGCGAAGACAGCAAAAGTACAGAACACAACACAAAACGCTAAACATAAATGTAAGTTTACAAATCATCCATGAAGGCCGTCTGCCATCCACCAATGAGGGCCCTCCACGTAAGCATGCCCCTCCCACATTGAAATCAGGCCCCACTAAACCCGGGTGAGCCGATATTTAAGTACAATCCCCTGCTTCTCCCTCCACAATTCTCTCCCTCTTGTATCTGGAGAAACCAGACGGTTATTTTAAGGGTGGAGAGAGAAAAAAAAACCCAGAGAGACAAAAGAAAGCTAATAGTAAAAGAAACTTAACAGAGAGATTGAGGAGGGAGAGGGCGAGATTGTCCCTTGAACCTTTAAACAGAGTCTGTGACTTCCGGCAACCCCCCTGCCGGAATAACTCACTCTTCTGGCACCGGCAACGTCCTCCATTCCTTGTTACTTATAAACCCTCTTCATCGTCGTTCCGGTGCGTGGGCCCCACCATTTGTCTTCCCATGCATGCTCTGGGTTTTGCAAGTTTGAGAAAAATAAAAAATAAAACTACATTTCTTGTACTTTAACTTGATTGCATCGATTGCCCTGTGTATCATCTCTCTGAAGCGGAGCACTGTTGGTAACAAGTTGGTTTTGGGGATTTCTGGTTTACATTGCATGTTGTTGTTGTTGTTGTTGTTGATGCTTGTGTTTGTATTATATGAAAAGTACTTAACTATTTGAATTTTGAATCACATGCATCCCATTATTTGTACAGTCTTCTTCTTTAAAGAAAAGTATTGAAGCTATTTTATGGTTTCTTTCACAGTTGTGTCATGAGGCTCTCACACACTATAGCAATATTTATTATTATATTTTTCACCTAATGGCATTCATGTGACTTGCCAAAGTTTATTGATACTCGCCAATCAAAGAAACTTGCATGTAATGCAGTGTAAATTTGAACCTAACCCTTATAGCTAATTTCTTCCACCAGCGGCAATGGACAGCATCAGAAGTCCATTCAAGGGAATAATCCACGATGTCAAAGGAAGAGCAGCGTGCTACAAGGAAGACTGGATTGGAGGACTTTGCTCTGGTGTTAGGTAAAAATCACCATGTTCTCTTTCAGGGATTCCATAACCTTGATTAGTTTATTCATAATCTTCTCCAATCGTTTCAGGATATTAGCTCCAACTTTCTACATTTTCTTTGCTTCTGCACTTCCCGTTATCACCTTTGGGGAGCAATTGAGTAGGGATACAGGTATATCATCTGTTCCTTTTCGACTTTATCTTAAAAAGTTCAATTTTTTGAAGAAAGAGTTGAAGAGGTGCATGGTAACTATTGGTGATAAGAACTTAGTACCTAACGTTGTGTATCGATTTTTAATTCTTGCTTTTTCTAGTTGTGGATTTTAATGGAGGAAGCCTGAAATTTATGTTTGTATGATGGTAGATGGAACCTTAAGCACTGTGGAAACTTTGGCTTCTACTGCTCTATGTGGTATCATTCAATCATTATTTGGTGGGCAGCCTTTGCTGGTCTTAGGAGTTGCTGAACCCACTGTCATAATGTATAATTATTTGTACACTTTCAGTAAGGGAAGACCAGAGTTGGGGACCAAACTGTTTCTAGCTTGGACTGGCTGGTATGGGAATTAATCTCATCTTTTTTCCAGATTGCCAATGTTTCCTTTGTACTATGAGTACTATGAGCCAGAAAATATATGTTAATGACTTTTGTGTTTACTTATGTTACAGGGTTTGTGTCTGGACATCCCTGTTGCTCATTCTTCTGGCAATTTTCAATGCATGTAACATCATATCCAGATTTACTAGGATTGCAGGGGAACTTTTCGGCATGTTGATCTCTGTTCTTTTTATTCAAGAGGCCATCAAGGTTTGCATAGAGTTTCTTGACAAAACTAAACAAAACAAATTTCATCAGTTCTAGTGGATTGATTTTAACCCAAGTAAATGCCCATTGGCAGGGAGTAATTTCTGAATTCAGTATTCCAAAAGCTGAAAATCCAAAGCTGGAGGAGTTTCAATTCCAATGGCTCTACACCAATGGGTTGCTTGCTGTCATTTTCTGCTTCGGTGTCATTTCCACTTCCCTTAAGAGCAGAAAAGCAAGATCATGGTGGTATGGCACAGGTAATGAATTGAATTATTTTTTATAGTGATTTTATAATTTTATGAAATATTATTCTATTGCACCAGATCTGGTTTTGGCTATTCTTATTTGGCTCTTTTCGGGTGGCGGATACAGGGTGGCTCCGAAGTCTTATTGCAGATTATGGGGTTCCCCTAATGGTCTTGGTGTGGACAGCACTGTCTTATGTTGTACCTGGTAAAGTTCCACATGGAGTTCCTAGGAGGCTTGTTTGTCCATTTCCCTGGGACTCTGCATCACTCTACCATTGGACCGTCACCAAGGTATAATTAGTTCTCTGATGGGTAAATTGTACATTTAAGCCTTTTGCCTTTAACTGAGATCAATGGCTAATATAAAACATAATCTCTAAGCCTGTCCATTTCCCATATTTAAATTGCAGGATATGCCAAAAGTCCCAGTCTTGTACATCTTTGCTGCCTTCATACCAGCTGTGATGATAGCAGGCCTGTACTTCTTTGACCACAGTGTAGCTTCTCAGCTGGCACAACAGAAGGAGTTTAATCTTCAAAAACCACCTGCTTACCACTACGATATGCTACTGCTGGGAATAATGGTATGTTTTCTGACTTTAATCTTTTTCTTCTATCTCTTGTTTTGTAATATATGTTTCTATCTAATTATGCCGCTATATTTTCATTGCTACAGACATTGATTTGTGGGTTGCTTGGGCTTCCTCCTTCAAATGGTGTTCTTCCACAGTCCCCCATGCACACTAAGAGCCTTGCTGTTCTAAGGAAGCAGGTAAGCTTAGGGTATCCTATAGGATTTCTCTTGATTCGTAGTGTTATTGTCATTTGTTTACACAATAGGACCAATCTGCAGGTGATTCGAAAGAAGATGGTAAAGAGTGCCAAGGAATGCATTAAACTAAAGGCAACCAACTCTGAGATGTTTGGAAGGATGGAAGCTGTGTTCATAGAAATGGACGGTGGCTCTCCTCCAAATGTAAGTGCTCAAGGCAGAGATATATATATATATATATATATATATCACTAATCTTCCATCATTTGTGCTAGTGCATTGTCTAATCAGAGTTTAGTTTTGTCTTGCAGCCTAAGGAGTTGCAGAACTTAAGGGAGGCTGTAATGAAATCTGATGATGGGGGAGAGTTGAAGGGAAAATTTGATCCAGAGAAACACATTGATGCTCATTTGCCTGTTCGGGTTAATGAGCAAAGAGTGAGTAACCTGTTGCAGTCACTCCTTGTGGGCGGCTCAGTATTTGCGATCTTTGTAATAAAAAAGATACCTACCTCAGTTCTTTGGGGATACTTTGCCTACATGGCGATCGATAGTCTGCACGGGAATCAGTTCTGGGAGAGGATCTTGCTGCTCTTCATCAGCCCTAGCCGGCGTTACAAGTAAGTCAGTTTAATAGTGGTTTAGAAGTTTTATTAAACTTTGAATCATAATCTTGATTCATCTTTAATTTCTGTCATTTTTCTTGGACAGAGTCTTGGAGGGTTCTCATGCTTCATTTGTGGAGTTAGTACCATTCAAGTACATTGTTGCATTTACGCTCTTCCAACTCGTATACTTTCTGATATGCTTTGGGGTGACATGGATACCTATAGCTGGAATATTGTTCCCACTGCCATTCTTCGTTCTCATAAGCATAAGGGAACAAGTGCTACCCAAGTTCTTTCATCCTGCCCATCTACAAGAACTGGATTCTTGTGAGTGGGAGGAAGTTCCCGGTGCTCCACAAGTATGTCTCGTTTCCTTTCATTGCTAATTAATTTGCAGAATGAATGTTTTGTTTTGGTTATTTTGATAAATGTATTTGAAGGATTTTAATTCATGGCCTATTGGACACTGTGTGAGCAGGAAAAAGTACCACCTGAACCCGGTAACGACGAGGGCACAGACTATGATGGTGAGATATTAGATGAGATGACAACAAGCAGAGGTGAACTAAAGCTTAGAACCAGCTTCAGTAGTGAAGACAGGCTCTCTCATGTAAGACTGTTAAAGAATGACCTTAATGCTTCTTTCCATATAATGACTCCTTAAAGTCAACTCTGTTTGTATTTGCCAATCCTGTATTATAAAACTTACCTCTCCAGAGATGAATAAAAAATTTGATTACAAGTTATCAATCGGTTCAACGCCATATTTACATGAAAATTTGTGCAGGTGCACCCGGAAGATGGCCGAATATGATGAGACAGTGGATGCTAATCAAATTATAGATTGATTGAGATCTAAGCTTGTGCTTTGCATGATGAGAGAAATGATGGTTAAGCTCCTCAGCAGAGGATTGTTGAAGGACAAGGATGCTTAGCTTGAAAAAGATAAGTTATGGATAGAGCAAAGCACATACAGAAAGTTTTTTTTTTAAAGGCAAAATTAAGGGACAAGGAGTAGAGAAGATGGGATAACAAAGGGTGTAATTTTTTTTCTTCTTCTTTTTGATGGAAGCCAAAGGGTGTACTAAAATTTTCACTTCTATTGGTTTTCCATTTTACAAATCTTCGTAGTTAAACCACAATTCCAGATTAGGTTCTTATCATTTACTATGGTTTTCTTCTTTTTCTTGTTGGCATTCCCTTAGCTTTTGCAGTGTGTTCGAGTTAAAATGAACCTGGTTAGAAAAGCTCGATACTTTATGGATTTACGGTTTACCTGATACAAGGTTTGGACCCAACAAAAAAAAAACCTGATACAAGGTTTGATTTGTATGAACACTAAATTATATATCAACTTTTGTAACAAAATTATAACAGAAATGTGCCTACCTAAGAAACTACATCCCGAAAAAAATTATGAATATTACTCTAGGAGATGACAGTTATAAGCATTGTCATCTGCTAAAACCTCCATCCCATTTCTGGCCTTTTCCATCATCAAATCCCAGCATCACCAACAACAAGAAGATAGTCACCATCTCTAACAAGCTGTATATCTTCAATTTCAGCTCCTTCTTTGGTTAAAACTTTGGTGGGACTAAAATGAAATTTTTTGGCACCAATGTCAAGTAGTTCTTGAAGGGACTCTGGCAGAAGCACAAGCTTTGCAGCAGTTTCACCTTTTTCCGGGCAGCTAAGAATCACTCTAGCCGGATAGCTTATCTTACTTAGGGTACTGGGAAAAATGCCTGAAGATGTAGCAAAGTCTTTCTCTCTCTCACCTGCATGTTTTGAAATTAACCTTGTCAAAACTTGGACACAATGAAATCAAAGTTCTTAATTGCTTTTTTGCTTTTTCTTTGTACCATTAACTCTCAGTCTCAAAATTTCATCACCAAGTGTGCCAAAAGTTCAAGGGTCAGTAAAAGGCCGCTACTTCTAGTAGGTCGAGTACTAATGCACTCATGCATTCACGTACGTGGTGAGAGAGTTTGCAAAGAGAAGAAAAATGGAATTTATAGCATCATCCTCCAAAGAAATTTCAGAGAAAAGTGAGATATATGTGTACCTGTATTGGCAGCTGACATGATCCCAAAAAGCGAATTACGGAAGTTTTTAGCTCTTCTCCAAGTATTTTCCGCTGATGATATTTCAGAGCTGGATGGCCTACTATCCCGGGCATAGGGAGGTAAGGCGGGCTCACTCCGGAACTTCCCATGGTGTGGTAGCACAGGATCTTTTGCCATTGAAACAATAGTTGGTTTCTTAATCTCTGATTTCTTCTGAAACAATTCTATTATTTCTTCATGTCCCTGATGCTCTGCCAAACCCCTAGGATTCCATCCGTAGCTATCCGGCTTCTCAGCATCCGCTCCTTTTTCTAAGAGGAACTTAACTATCTCAACATTTCCTTCACATACTGCTGTGTGAAGTGCTGTAGTCCCATTGCTCTTGGGCAGCGTTACATCACCTCCATGTTTGGCTATGTCTTTAAGAAGCTGTAAGTTGTTTTGTTCAACAGCAGCACAAGCAAAACTACCCACATTGCCAGAAGTTATATCTGCTCCATTGTCTAAAAGAAGTTTGATCAAAGATTCATGTTTCCCTGATATTGCTTCCCACAGAGGAACATTTCCTTCCGAATCTGCATGCAAAATAATGAACACTTAAATCCAGGCTAAAATTGATGCATGGCAGATTGTCAGCCATCAGAAAATTTCCTTACCTTCAGTGTTAGGATCTGCTCCAAATTCTAAAAGTAAGAGTGCGCAGTGCTCGCTTCCATTCGATGCTGCAATATGCTGTTGAAAGACAAAAGAAAAGGCATACAGAATAAGCTCCAAGTCTCACATGCAAAGGCCATATGGGACGAGTGTACATGTGCAGATATAAAGATAGGATATGAGCACCATAGCTGTTCTTCCATTATCATCCATCTCATTTGGATCTGAACCCCGCCTGAGCAAATGGTGCAGCAACAAATCATCACCCCTCTTTGCAGCAAAGCATAAACTAAGAGGCAAATCCATTCTACCCCGAGCCAGCATGTGCTCTATGTCCGCCAAGATTCCTTGCATCAGGGGATCCTCTATTTCTTTCAAATACTGTATCAACAACATGCATAAGAGACAGCAAACAACCAAAAGATTTTCTTCCTGATAATAAAGAATAACAAACAATGATCAATGTAAGAAATTTACATACCTGAAGAAAATTGTTCATGATAATTGTTCCATCTCCAACATTTGCCTGAACAATATTTAAGAAAGCTGTACGGTTCAAACGCAGAAGCTGACAGAGTCCTTTCGTACGAACTGTGACCATTTGAGGCCTGTAGCAAATCACGCCAATCTCACCAACAACGTCTCCTGTCTTTGCTTCACGAACAACCTGCAGTCATTGCACAACAAGTGCATCACTAGTAAGAAAACACCAATGTTAAGTTTAGCAAGACACCTGAACAAAGATTTATATTATTAAACTTGCCGGTTCTGCGCCATTCCTTTGCAAAATTAGTTCCTGTTAGCAAGTAACAAGAATCAGAAGCTATTTTCACTGAATAAAAAGACAAAATGAAAGAAAAGGAAAAAGGTGGCCTGTGATTCAAGTGCCAAAGAGTGTGAATAGCTTAGTTTCTTATTCTTACCACAGCACCAGTGACTACTATATACAAGTCAGTGGGTGCTTCATTCTGCAAAATTACATCTTCTTTTGGAGGAAAATACTCAGCCTTCATCTCGGAGACCTTAACCAAAAACATGGAAGTAAAACGAAGTGTATTACGTACATGTAAGATTACAGGAAACACAGGAAAAAAGCTTTATGCTGTATCCAAGCACCACCAACAAATATGAATTACTGAAAGCTTAAGAAGTACCAGTTGGAAAAGCAAGTCTCTTGATACCCCCTGGAACAAGTAGACACTGTCAACAAGTGGATAGAAGAGATAGTGTGAAATACTTGATCTAATGGCTTTAGGGAGTGCATCAAGAGTCTCTTGCTGCTGCAGCCCTTCTGAATTAGTTCTGTACTTCAAACACAAATGAGCAAGCATCTGCTCATGCAGTCGATCAGGTATTTGGTTTCGTTGCGCAAAACTTGTGGCAGCTTGAATAGTATCTCTCTGGGTCCAGACAAGCAAGTCCAAGATAATGGGAAATGAAAAGGGATATATGTTAGTTAGAACTTGAAAAGTGCTATACTTGTGAATCTGTCAGGACAATGCAGTTTATTTCTATATTTCCTAAGTAACAATTTACGAACTTTAGTAGTCAAAAGTATAATGTTAGTGCAAATACAAAAGCTTTTTCATTTTGGTTCAACCAAACCATGTCCTGGTAGGGGGATAGCTTCTTTCCTATAGCTCATGCAGAAGAAATTGAACTCTGATAAGTATTTTGTTATGAAACACGATAAATAGCTTTCGTACATAAAACAGAATAACTTCAGATGATTAAGAATTCACTTGTCCAATTTTGAGCCGTCAAGAAACCCACAGTCTACTGGATAACAGAAGAGTGTGTCAAACCAAACAAAGGTAAGAAAGAATGTACGTACAAATTGTCTAGTTCGAGCAGTCCCATGGACAATCAAGTTAGTCATGTTTCCAATCAAGTAAGCTTGCAGCCCAAGATTAAACAGCATATAGAAGATATCAAAAATCATCTCCTGTGAATTTACAGGATGCAAATCACCATAGCCAGTAGTTGTAAGGGTGATTATGGACCAGTACATTGAGGTCACATACCGATCCCACAAACTGATATCATAAAAGTTATCTGTGATAAGCCCAAGCCATGTCCTTCTTGGGTTACGATTATGTGCAGCAAGAAAATAGAAAAAGCAACCGGCACAATGAACTGTAAGGAGAGTAACCTACAAGCACAACAAAAGCCCGATGATCATGAGAAACATCAGTAATAGAAAATCACACCAGTATTTCATAAAAATGACTAGATATTAGTCAAAAGACACTCACGAAGATAAGCTTTAAGTATCGAACCCAGAAGTAGCTATAGTTCCTGTCTTTTTCCAATCTAGAATCCGAAGAAAAAAGCCAAAGAATGTGAGATCAGTTCCTGCAACATGCATAGATGAAGACGCTATAAACCAGCATTTCCATAAGTAGTACCTGGCAAACATTGCACTGACTCTTCGGAGACGCCATAGACGAAGGATATTGAAGTATCCATAGGTCTCAAGAGGAGGAGGCAAAACACTCTGAGCAAGTTCTGAAGGGATTGTGGAGATGATGTCAAAAGCCAACCAGGTTTTGGCATATCTCAGAGCAATTAGCTTGGGATTGTCAATGAGGAGATAAGAAGTCTTATCAAGGTAGGCCACAAAGAATGTCAAAATAATGTCAACGGCAAAAAATCCATTTACAACATTATCAGTAATGGCCAGGGGTCCTTTTGCTCTGTCCATAAATCCAAATTCAAAAGGGCACACCCAGGCCGTGTAGAAAACCAGGCATACCAGAAATGACTGCCAAAGTCTGCAAAATTAAGACCCAAAATGTAAACTTTATTAATGCAAGGATTTCAAAAACAAAATGTCACACTCAAAATGATACATAAAACCCATCAAGACACAGCATAAAAACCCCATGGACGATTGAAAACATCATAAAAGAAGAACCAAACTGGGCCATAAAAATTCTAGTTTTTCGTGATCTCATGCATTGTACAAATCAAATCAAATCAACCCATTTGAACACAGACATTGACATGAAAAACCAACAAGAAAATTTTGAAACTTGAATTGAATTGAGAGAGAGAGAGAGAGAGAGAGAGATAGAGTCTCTCACTGGTAATGAGAATGAAAGGGAGTGATAATGAAACGACGTAGCTTATGTCTGGGACGGTTTCTAGAAGTGGCACCAAGAGAAGGCAAAATGCCATCGTTAATGCTATACTGGCTGGTCTGGCTTACTTCATCCCTTGACATTTGCTCTGTCGTCTCTTTCTCTCTAATGCCATGCCCACACATGGCCATTGATATCGACATTGGCATCAAACCCTTCATCTTTACAACACCTTCACTGTGATCACAAGTCATCATCTTCCTCCTTTGCCTCTGAACTCTGCCCAACTATTCCTCTGTTTCTCTCTCTCCAACGTAATCCATAGTTAATCTCTGTCCTTGGTTTCACCAAAAAAAGAAAGAGAGAAACAAAGGAAGCTGTGCGCTCTCTTTGTTTTCTCTTTTCTCTTTTCCTCGTACGTAGACAAGCAATTTGTTTTTCTTATGTAAGATTGGTTTTTGAGGACCGATTTAAACTAACAGAACCAAAGAGCAGTGCCTGAGTGTGTCACTCGTAAAAACAGTGTTGAATTCAATCTTAACAAACCTACACGTTTCTTTGTCCTTATCTACGCAACTGACGCTTCCATTGGGTTCAAACTTGACAACCAAACAATCAATTTTTTCAGGAACACAATATAATTGACACATTGGCCTACATGTGGCAAACATGCACCTAGAAAAAAATATTACGTTCTATTGGGAAAAAAAAGGGTTAAATTGTTGTTAAAATTTCATGCATTTTGTGTTCGTTTGCAGATAAGCAGCGAGGACAAATTTGTTACAATAAACTACATACAAATGTCAAATGTGAGTTAGGCCGTGTCCGGCCCCTTGCATCTGAGTTCGAATTTCATTACCCGAATGTACTAATGTAAAATGGGATAAACAACCCTTAAATGTAGGAGTTGAATTGTGAAATAAGGCTGAGTCAGAAATATTGATGCATTGGATCCTTGCTTCCTTATATTCAGGTTTTGATATAACATGAGAGAGAGAGAGAGAGAGAGAGAGCAATGGTTAATAAGAGCAATGAGAATCTGAATTTTAGACCAATGCAAGAATGGGATATAATATTTAGTGTCATGTTCAACCTTCTTTTTTGTTCAAAGCATCATCACCCTGTAAATTTGAGCCCACCAATTAGTCTTTGCCTTTGGACAAGTTCTCTAGCTTAGCTTTAGTTACCTTCAGCCCTACATGAGCCACCCATGCATCGAATATAAAGTGTATAAATATGAACGATCTGAAATAAGAAATTTGGGTTTGAATTCAGTTCAAAATGCATGTTACTCGTTGGGATTTTATCAGATATGAATATAACTAACATATAATTTGATTATCTCAAAGAACGGTTGATTCCAAGTGCTGAAGAGAGAACACATGGAGGAGAAGAGATTCTAATTTCTAAACAAGTGGTGGGTTTGAAAGCGGAGAACGTGAAAAAATATTTTAGTGGGTGGGGAGGGTTTGAAAAAGGAAAAAAAAAACATTACTTTGATGTTTAAACACTTGAATAATATTATATGGAAGCCGGAGCCTAGCCTATTGGAAAATGCTCTTTATTTTGTAAATCAGTGTTCTCAAGTTCGAACGCCCATGACACATTAGCAGTGTGTGAGAAAACTTCATCCCTCTCTTAACTTTGGAAAGAAAAAAAAATTAAAATGGAAATATAAAATGACTTTGTTTTCAACATAAACATAGCACCGGCAAGAGATTTGTAGCTCAAGTGGTTGAGATTTTTATAAGAAACACGTGTAATATATGATTGGCTCTTATTTCTTTTTTTGTTGATTAAAAAATGAAATATTGCTGCTTCTCAAAATACTAATAATAATAATAATAATTCTAACTTAGGGCCTCATTAATCTTAAGATCCAATATCCAAGCTCCTCAACAATGCTTATTTGGTGGCCCATAAAACAATAGAGTAGCATTCGCTCTTCAGCCCGGCCCGACCCAGGAGCCCTTTCCTTTTCAGGTGGCCCGATACGAAACGACGACGTGTCGGTCATTGGAGTCGTCAATTCGTCATAGCCATAGCCACCACAACTTCGCTGCCCCTCAAAAACTCAACGATTTTTCGAGAAACTCTGCACAGAGAGAGAGAGAGAGAGAGAGAGAGAGAGAGAGAGAGAGAGAGAAGGCAACATGGCGTCGTTTCTGCAATCGTTGGTAGATCCAAGGAAGAATTGGTTCGCCCGTCAGCACATGAAGGCTGTCTCTCAACGCCTCCGCCATTACGGTTCGCCTCCTCGTTCACAAACCCTAATCTCTGTGTGTGTGTGTGTGTGTGTGTGTGTAAGTATGTATAGGCCGATTTGATTCAATTTGATTTATGCTGAATTGGGTATGAAAATTAGGGCTTCGATACGACGATCTGTACGATCCCTACTACGATTTGGACATCAAGGAGGCTTTGAATCGGCTACCAAGGGAGATAGTGGATGCTCGTAACCAGCGGCTCAAGCGCGCCATGGACCTCTCCATGAAGCACGAGTACCTTCCCGAACATCTTCAGGTGCCTTTTGCTTTTACCTCATTTCATTTCCTTTGAATTACTTTCCAAATCTAATTCGTAATGATTTGTGGCCTTAGATATTTGATTTCAATTTGGTTTCGTGTGATAATATAGAAAGGATGGTAGTAATTGCAAACAAAGGGTGTTCATTTCTAATGCTTATGATAGCATTTGCATTAAGATTTGCTATGAAATCCTTTTAGTGGATGTAGATTCTTGTATTTTGAATATGTATTTTTCCGTGCATATTGTAAATACCATTCTCAGCATATTCTCTTTTGTTGTTAAAATTTAACTCTAAATATTTGCCTTTCTTTATCTATTTTGCAGGCACAGCAAACACCATTCAGGAGCTACCTTCAGGAAATGCTGGCTCTTGTAAGTACCATTATGTTGCTCCTTTGCTACTTCTTTCTTGGGTTTTTCAGTTTGTGTTCGTTTAGTCAACTATGAAGCTCCTATTTACCAACCCTATTTGAGCATCTACCCAAAACATAGAAGTATGCCGGAGAGTGTTTTCTTTTTGAAGCAAACTTGATGGAAGGAATAGTTAGTATTCCATTTTCATTTGTTCACCATGTTAAGTTATTCGATATATGTTCAGTGTGCTACATGCATTTGTAATTTTGCAGTGAGACTCATATCGGTTCCCCTTTCTGTTATGGTTTTTGTTCTCTTACCACGTGTGAAACAGAAGATATAGAATAATGACTGTACAGATTAATTTGATGGATGTCCTACCGAAAAAACTTATGACATGTTGCACGAATGAGTTGTTGGTAAATGTTTAATTATGCTTTCTATTTTTCAGGTGAAGAGGGAGAAAGCAGAGCGTGAAGCTTTGGGAGCATTGCCACTCTATCAGCGCACCATTCCATAAGCATGTTATTGCCTCTTGTAGCTATTTTTTGTTGGAATGGTTCGTTGGACGAAATTATAGCAGTGTTTCTGGTAGATGTTTCCATTCCTTAAGGGAGATTGTTCTCTGTTCTAGAAACTTTTCCCAATTGTTGGCATTTGAGGACCTGAATTGGAACTTCCTGGATGGTTGTCATATTCTGGAAGTCCCGTGGTTTTTTCATAATAAATGTATGATCCAAATTTAACTTCTTTAATATGCTTGATTGCAATAAGCTGACTTTTTCTTTGAATGGATGCGAGATGGGTTCGAATTTTGCTATTTCACTAAGTAATTTTGACTGGTCTGCAAATCACCCTTTTTCTATTGGACTAGACTTGCTTGGCGGTTTTTACCGTTCTTAGTTAATAGAAATGGTGATTATGTTTTTCAAGGTATTTAAAAAGTTCATGTTGTAGCTAACGTTTTTCAACAAATTCCTACCTATAGAGAAAAGGAGGCAAGTATTTTTCTTTGATAGGATAGAAGAAGACCCACCTAACCTGTAGAGCAAATTTTAAAACCAAGGTTCGCGTGAAACCCATGTCATGTCAAATGCAAATTCCTATTTACATGATTTGGTGAATTGACATATACAATGTCATATCATGTTAGATTAATGCGTTAACAAAACTTAAGAGCGTGATGGGATTTAGAAACAAATGAAGAAAAAAAATTGACTCGTAAATGGTGGATGATTAACTTAGAGGTGTCAAATGGGTCGTGCGATGCTGGCTCGACTCATTTAAAATCGTGTCACTAAATTAATCGTGTCAAGCCACGATACATCTAATTAATCAGGCAATGCCATGCTAGCCCATTTATTAACTTCATTGAACTGAGCTCGGCCCAAAAAAAAATTACTTAGTTAGTCGGCCACCATTTTGAGCACTTCCGCCCATGGTGGCCAGCACAGACAAAAGGCCTCCCCAGGTCCCAAAAATCAACTCCAACAGTGAAGGCCAGCCTTGGCAAGGAGTGAGCTTCATCAGCCTGGACAAGCCCAAAGGCAAGACTTACTTGGGTTTGCTAATGTCGACATGACATCAGCGACCAATTTAAATACCCAAAAAAATTAAATAAATTACCAAAAAATTTAGAATTTTTTTATCATTATAAATACCTAGTCATATTCTTCACTTCTCATACCAAAACTCAATAAAAATTCATCTCCTCATATCTCATGTGAATAGTGTTTGCCTTTACTTACCATGGCAATGGGTGGAAAAGCAAAATTTTAAAAAGGTAAGGTAATCACTATTCACATGAATAGTGTCTGCCCTTACTTGCCCTTACCCTATGCCATGACACCATGGGTGGAAGTGCTCTTATGAGTAAGTTTTTTTCGTTTTTTTTTCTAATCTGAATTTTTTTTCATATATGAGACAATTTTATTTTCAACTCCCAATCATCAATAGAAAAGACAATATCTAACACTTCGTTGAAAACTGGCATGTCAAATAGGTCGAGTTGATTGAGCAAGGCACGAGTCCAGCCCATTTAAATGGGGCATGACACTGCCCAAGTATGATTATTGGTAGGCCGTGTCGAGATCAAAAAATTAAGTTCAGTGGATCAAGCCGACTCGCAACCTATCATGGGCTGTGCTTGGCCCGAGCCCGCTTAAAGCCCCACCCAGCCCACTTAACTTTTTTTTTTTAGGCCCATTCCAAAAATTCCTTGGAAACATGGATGTTTGGAAGGATAGAAGTTGTGTTCATAGAAATGAATTATGACTCTCCTCCAAATGTAAGTAATCAAGGCATATATATACAACTAATCTTCCATCATTTGTGTTGGTGTTTTTCCTAATCAGAGTTTGGTTTTGTCTTGCAACCTAAGGAGTTGCAGAACTTAAGGCTGTAATAAAATCTGATGATGGGGGAGACTTAAAGGGAAATTTTGATCCATAGAAACACATTAATGCTCATTTGCATGTTTGGGTTAATGCGCAAAGAGCGAGTAACCTATTGCAGTCACTCCTTGTGGGCAGCTCAGTATAGAGTTCGTTATTGGGGTTGGGGCGGGGGAAGATTTCCAATGTCAAGGCCTTCGCCCGCCTATTAGGCAGGGCCTAGACAGGATTGGCGAGCTGGAGTCACTCCTTGTGGGCAGCTCAGTATAGAGTTCGTTATTGGGGTTGGGGCGGGGGAAGATTTCCCATGTCAAGGCCTTCGCCCGCCTATTAGGCTGGGCCTAGACAGGATTGGCGAGCTGGATTGCCCATGGGCCTAAACGGTCCGGGAAATTTTTATTTATTTTTTAATACTAAGAATTTTATAACTTTTTATTACAAATTTTTATTCAACATTAAAATTATTAACTTGATTCATAACATATGTAAAGCAAAATAAGAATGTTATAAAACATGCTACATATTACATATAAAATAAGGTTAGGGAGTGCACTTAGATATAGAGCTATAGTTCAATGTATTTTATAAGTTTTTGTTACAAATTTTTAAACAACATTGAACAAATTAACTTAATTCATAACATGTGTAAACAAAATAAGAAGTTTATTAATTTATGCTTGTAGAGGCTTTTTCTTCCGGCAGCTGCAAATGGGTTGGGTTGCCGTAAGGAGCGAATTGATGAAATTATCCTCTGTGTCTGAGTTTAAAGATCAAGTCCCGAGAATGCTTTAAAATGATAGTGAAGCCTTAGGAAACACCTTAGTTACCTTCACCAACAAAAATAACAATAGCTTACATATAAATTCTTGGCTTGACATGAGAAGCTTATGGCATGAAAGCTAAGCATTCATGAGTTTAGCATGAGAGAGTGAAATGGCTGTGATTTCCTATGAAAAACAGAGTTTTTAAGGCATGGGGGAAGAGATTCTAAGAGGATTCGTTTAGGAGATAGGGGGAGAAAGATGAGAGCAATGGGTGGCTTAAGTGATTTTCCGGCAGCTTGACAAAGGTGCTGTCAAGTGCTGGAACAGTCTACCATAAGAGAAAAATGGGGGGAGAAGGATGAACAGAGCACGAATTTGCTAAGTTTTGAAGGTGAGAGGGGAAGCTTGCTCTCTGGATGTGGTTGTGGCTAGTGGTGAAGTATTGGGTGTTTTGGGTAATTTTTCAGCAGCCTGACAAAGCCATGTCATACTCTGTAATGGCTTGCCAGAAGATAAAATGGGAGGAAATTGAGGAATAAGGCACGACATTGCAAAGTTTCAGAGATAAGAGATTAAGCTCGCTCTCTAGATGTAGTTGTCTTTAGCTAGTGATGAAGTAGTAGGTGTGCTGGGTAGTTTTCAGCAGCTCGACGAAAACTCTGTCAAACTTTGGAAAATTTTACCAAAAGGGAAAATGGAGAGAGATGGAAGGATGGGGCTCGAAATTGCAGAGTTTCAAGGATGAGATATGAAGCTTGCTCTCTATATGTAGGTTGTGTGTTGGGTAGGAGATGGCCCTTTTTATAGCCGCTGGAAGCTACTCTTTTCCAAGAAAACCTAATGGTTTCTATCTAGTTTGGCCAAGCTTTTTCCTTCCTTTCTCCTCCCTTCCTTTGACTTATCCTATTTGGTGAAATTCTATCTGCCCAATTGCACAAAAACAAGGATTTTGTGAGCTCAATGCTCTTCCCGCAGCTGCCTCAGTGGAGAACTCCCATTTTCAGTCATCTTTCTTCTTTCTTTTCTCCCTTCTTCCATGGCTAGATCTGATGAGGGGAAAGAAATAGGTATGTACACTGGTTTGAATAGTGTTTTGCTCAATTATCCTTCGGTTTTTTGATGGCTTGTGTTAGGATTTGTCTTTGGCCATGTGGTGGAGATTCCCAGCAGCCTGCAGACATGAGTGGCTTTTGGCTTTTGTCATGGTTTTGTCTCCAACCATGTGCTGGAGACTTTTAGATAATTTGTTGGTTACTTGATTCATTCTTTAAGGTAATTGGTTAGTTCACTAAAGGGATTGGCCAACTTCTCAAAGTGATTGGCTATCTTTTCTAAGGTAATGGGCTATCTTTTCTAAGGTAATGAGATATTTTCTCTCCTTTATGCTTACCCACATATTTGGGCTCAAGAAATGAGCTTGAGTTTTGGGGCTCCCAAGTAGCCCAAAACTTCCATTTCTCAACTCATCAATGGGCCTCATGAAAACTCATAACCATCCATACCACAACCCACTCAGCAAGCCACAGGCATTCGCATGGCTTGGGCCCACTTAAGCTTGTAGCGTCACATGTTGCTTATTTGCTTGGCATGGCACGTGTACAAGCACATATGATGAACTCTTGCGTACCCAAGTTAGGTTTCTTCCCAAGTTAGGTGTCGTACTGGGCTAGAAATATATTTGGGCCCAACTTTGAATTTTTTGGGCCTCAACAATCCTACATATTACATTATTTTGATAAGTCTAAAATAAGGTTAGGGATTTAAAAAAGGCCTACTCGGGTTGGGCCATGAGTGAGCTGAGGGTTTCAAATTAAGCCCAAATAAAAAACGAGTTAGGCTCGAATTTGGCCCATAGGATCTCAAGCTACCCACTTCGGCTTATGAGCTTAAAGTCAAATGATGATCCCTAGCTCAATATATGCAATCGTTGTAATAAAAAAAAGATACCTACCTCAATTCTTTAGGGATACTTTGCCTACATGGCAATCAATAGTCTCCGGGGTAATTAGTTCTAGGAGACGACATTGCTGCTATTCATCAACCCTAGCCGGGGTTACAAGTAAGTCATTTCTAATAGTGGTTTAGAAGTTTCATTAAACTTAGACTGTGTATGTAATACCTTTAAATCATAATCTTGACCTATCTTCTATTTCTCTCATTTTCTTGGACGAAGTCTTGGCAGGTTCTCATGCTTCATTTGTGGAGTTAGTACCATTCAAGTACATTGTTTGTTTACGTTCTTCCAACTCGTATACTTTCTTATATGCTTTGAGGTGACATGAAAACCTATAGCTGGAATATTGTTCCCACTACCCTTCTTCCTTCCCATAAACATAAGGGAACATGTGCTACCAAGGGTCTTTCATCCTGCCCATCTACAAGAACTGGATTCTTGTGAGTAGGATGAAGTTCATGTTACTTGGGAAGTATGTCTCTTTTCCTCCCATTGCTAATTAATCTGCAGAATGAATGTTTTGTTTCTGTTATTTTGATAATTGTGTTTGAATGATTTTTATTCATGGCCTGTTGTAACGTGTGAGCAGGAAAAAGTACCACCTGAACCCGATAACGACGAGGGCGCATACAATTTCTATGATGGTGAGATATTAGATGAGATGACAACAAGCAGAGGTGAACTAAAGCTTATAACCAGCTTCACATGCTCTTCCATGGAAGAGTGTTAGAGATTGACGTTAATGCTTCTTTCCATAGAGATGGAGTGTTAAGAGTCAACTCCGTTTGTATATGCAGATATCATGTATTATAAAACTTACCTCTCCAGAGATGAATAAACAATCTGATTACAACGCCATATTCACGTGCAAACTTGTGCAGTTGCACCCATATATAATGCTTTGGCCCAAGCATATAAATTGTACTTTTACATTTGAATTTTGTAATAAAAAGTATGAAAATATTATAATCTTTTACTATTAATTTAATACACTAACACGAGTTTTAAAAAATTCAAGCTAAATGGGTTAAAGATTGACCCGATTAATTACATGGATTGTGGCCTAGCACAATTTTAAATGGATCGAGCCATCCATTTGACACCTCTACTCTAGATTCTATATTGACTATTATATCCCTCCTTATATAAACTTAAATTATGAGGTATAATCTTTATGGCTCCCTATATTTTTAATTTTTTACACACCCCAAAAAAATAAATCAATTGACTTATCTTTCTCCCTGGGACCGGATTGTAACACAGTAAAGTTTCAAATTTAACTTAATAACCTTGACTTATCTTTAAGTATCATTGATCCGTCATTAGGCATGTGTTTAATCAACCCTAGATCTCCAACAGGTCCATCATAACCTCTTATCAAAGTATGTTTTTGATATGATGTCATTTCCTTTGATTGATTCAAAGAAAATTTCAAAATAATACATCTAACTAGCTATTGGGCCACGTCTGTTTCCAATTCAAATTACGAATTTTTTGTCTGACTAGATGGATGGATGGATGAACGTTTGGTTGTAATTATGACATTTCTTTTAATACAACTGGTTCATAATTGATTTTTTTTCCCCCCTTAATTCAAGAAAGATGAGAAGAAGCAAAAAATGTAGTTTTTTTTTTTTAAATCAAAAGTTTAAAGGGAGGATAGGCTAACCCATTCTAGGGTTGGGACATACTAAAGTCTTTTTGAGGACTTATATAGGAGTCCTAGTTCCCTTTTTGATTTTTACAGATTATCCACAAATAAGAATTGTCGGCAGCGAAACTCGAATTTAAGTCTGGATAACGAAAAAAATAATCTTTACCAACTCAACTAAACCTTGCTTGCAAGAAAAAAAACAGGTGTAGTTGAAGATACGAAATCTAAATGTAGATAACAACAAAGAAGGGAAGGTGAAAGGTCATTTATAAGTATGCGATACTAGAAAAGCTGTCAGAAGAGAGACATTTGTCAATGTCTGCCCACTTACCAGATGTGGAGCATTCAATGCAATGCATTTGCAATGCCTCGGCCTTTTCTTACCTATCATTTCATAGTCCCTTTCAAAACTAGATAGATTCATCTACGTCCACTCATTAACCATGCAATGTCATATGTCTCCCCATAAAAATGTCCATCCATGTGCCGAAGCCCTCCTTGTTTCTAACGTTAACATGTTACCATAATTCTCACTATTGCGTTGTATTGACCACTATTATATATATATTCACACCTCATGAATGAATCCATGAACAAGTTAAGTGGATTTGGTGTACGTGGAGCATGGATGATGTGATCGTTGATGGCATGTTTACTAACGTAAAAGGGCATAATGCGACGGTTGTGATGAAGATGGCTGTGCAAAGATGAGACTGTATCTTAACCCATCAATATTTTAACTTTTTTGTTTTTGTCAAACTTTGTCACAAGTGTTTTTGTTATCTTAAAAAGCGATTTAAATCCTTTTAAATGCGTTATCAAGTAGACGTTGAGACAGTATATACACTCTACCTCATTTAAGATTTTCTCGGTGCATGAATTAATGGTACTCTTGATCTTGAAGTTATACATCTTACTATTCAACATTCCATGTGATACCATGATCCCCATGCTTTCAATTGAATTGTGTTCTTGCATATGCAATAATAAACCATCCTCCTCATTGTCCCTTGGGCTCTCTCTCTCTCTCTCTCTCTCTCTCTCTCAATGAGCTACCATGTTAGCAAAAACTCCTCTTTCTCCTGCTATAGTCATTAACTCATATAAAATTGGCAAAAAGTCCATTATTATTATGATTTTCATATCATTGAGCAGAAGTGGGGTTGTGTCACATCTGAATGCTCAATTATTAGTTCAAAACAAACAACCATGTGCCGTACATACGCTATCCATTGAAGATTCAGTTCATATTGTAAAGTTGCTTTACTCCAATTAAATTCAGGATATCCTATCTTTTCGCATCTCTCTCCGTTGCTGGCTCTATCTCTTTATATCAATGTTCATGAAAAACCGAGAGCGCGGCATTGCTCATGAAAGTACTTGCATGCAATCTTATTCACCGTTGGATTATATTCACTCACTCCCAAGCTGATCCCATTGCTTCACTGGGTGTTTTTCAAGTAGGGGTCTACATATCTATGATTTTATCTTGAGACAACTTCATTAGTGCTCACACGTGGACAGTTCACCCACTGTCCGATCTGTCCAATAAAAAGTGCATAGGTTAGTATGTCCTTTTCGATGTAAGCTAAAGAAAGCGCACCCATTATAATTTAAAATTGATATGAGAAACTAAACAAGCTCACAGATCAACCATATCTATGCGGTGATCATTCGCTTTCTCTTCTATTAAGGAATTTTTAAAATAATTTTATTTGAAGGACACTTTTTAGAATTTATTACAAACCAAAAAAAAACAAAAAATTTCAACGATCCAAATCGTTTAACTTTTAAGTTCATATTCATATATCATCCTTGTAAAAAATTAGATAAATCGAAAACCGTTTCGACAAGTATTTGTGCTCAACAAAATCAATAAACACGATACTTCAAGAAAACAGTAAAATTATAATCATTTAATTGAGTGGTCAAATAATATCGAATTCAAGTAATTTTTTCCAGAAATGATCTTTGAATAAATATCTATAAAATAAATTATTCAGATCAGTGAAAGCTCCAGTAGACCATCCAACTTGATGCAGTGTCATTATCATATAATATAATATATATCATGGGTCAAATTATTCCACTTCAAGTGCACGTGCAACCATGAGCCCTAAAAGTCTATCTTCGTTTTCTTCTGCCAATTCCTGCCTAATTGAGCAAAAGAAACATAAAATTATAAAATTCTATTTTTATGTTAATATTGATCAACGATTTAATTAGTACTTAATCAAAGACTTTACAAACAAACAAGTGACGTTGACACCGAATCATGCATTTGGCTCCGGACCCAAATGACATAGAAATAGTTGTTTTGGGAAAAAGGGGTGGTGTTTTTTTGTGGTGGAAATTGTGAAGGGGGAAGAGGGTGATGATGTGGCTTTCATGTCAATCGGTAGGATAATTTGGCATTTTATTCAAGGGCTGATGTTTGAAGTTCCTACTTTCTATATGCTTGTCACATGTTTGGGAAAACAGCCAAATTGTTTAGAATGAGACTTTTGGACCCATTAAGTCTTCCTTCCTAGCTCAATTTAAACCTTAATTCTTCATTATTGTGGTTGTTTGGAAAGATTAAGGATTGATTATTTTAAAGCTTAAACTTCATCCCATCCATAAGTTGCATTTGATATGGTAGGTAGCTTGGGATAAAGATAGTCATCTCTATCTCATTATGACAAGTAAAACTTCTTAATCACAAAATATATGCAAACGATTATGTGAGATTTTCTCATTTATGAAGGACTTGTCATTCTCAACTTCGTCCTCGTATCTGATTGAGAACTTCTAAGGATATAATAACTCAAGGCAAATTACAAAATCATTAGAATACATCATAACTTATGAGAACAAAAACTTAAAATCAAAGTTAATTTATACCTATTCCAAATTTATGTACAATGTGTTTATTGATTTTTTTTTTTATACAAATGAAATAGATAACTCAATTAGGAAAGCTAAGGAGTCGAAAATTAGATTAATAGGGGAAGACTTTCCACACAAAAATTAAGGTTAGACAAAAATGGTTTATTAATATTATTTTTTTTCCTTGGGAAATTACTTAGAATAAGAAATTAATATTGTATTAGAAATTAGGTGGTTGGTGATCAATCATATAACTTTGGGCCAGGGAGAGTTGAGAAAAGTCCAAAAAGTACAGGGATACGGGTCCCTTGATATCCGGCCCGGCCCTGGTCGTCCACATGCAACCGATTGTAGGCGCTGAGGCTGAGGATCAGAACCGGCCCACTTCATTATTTTATTTATTTTAATCATTTTAATTTTTTTAAAGCCTAAAATGGCCCACATGTTTCTTAGATGTCAAGCCCAGAACCCGGCCAGTATCATGGGGTGCTGTCATCCTACGCATATCAGACTAGGGGTCGGATTGGATTTTCAGGATCAATCTTGTGGGTCCCTCCAGCACCCCTCTGATCACTGTGGTGCTATCCCTACATCCCTCGTGATGTGTTTTTCTTGGAGGCTTTCGCCGCCCTGCATAATTTGGTTTGGGTCTTTACAAGGGTATTTTGGTCTTTTTAACATGGATTATACAGACTTATCCAACAAATCGTCCAAATTATGAGAAATGAAACCAGATTTCTTCACATAATTATGATTATGTGAAATGACATGTGAACAACAAACACATCATTTGATTAGTAGATTTGGTGAAAAAACTGGTTACCTCTAGTATCTTACTGAAGAGTAAAAATTCAATTGGATTGTTCTTGTTATGTGACAATATTAAATGACAATAGATTCTAATAACAAATGATGCTTTTTTTTTACTATTTTCGTATGAGTTTAAATTTGATGATCAATTATATTTTTGAAATGCATGCTCTCTCTCTCTCTTAACTAATCTGTAATGGCACTTAACATTATCACGTGACACGAGCAACCTCGTTGAAGTTTTAGAATCATGACTTACATGAAATCATGGTTAAATGTTTGTCTACAACAACAACATCAAATGTTAAAAACATCTTCATCTTAATAAACAAAGAACAAAGGTCAGTTGGAGGGGTTGCACGTAATCCTAGTTAATTATTATTTAATAATACATATATAATTTGATCTCAAATCTTTATAGAGAATCCTTCTGCCAATTTTTATATCTCACGTATAAAAGATATGAAACACATGAAGAGAGCTCAATATATGCAAAGAAAAGAATGACGCATAATGGAATCTAGACAAATTATTAATGCTTTTTAATATTATTATTCTATATTCAACTAATAATTACCTCCTATCTATCTGACTCAGACAGATACTTCCATTGATTTACAACAATAATTGGGAATTTTAGAGCATAAGTTGCCATGATTCTCTCTATCAGTGCACATGCTCTGCTTAATTTTTTAACCCATTAAAGAACCTTCATAGTGTGACATGTTACATTCTGGTAGTTTCGACCTAAATTCTTATTGCCAGATTATATTTGTAGTCTTTAATGGGTTGAAACAATTTTTATTTTATTTTAGTCCCGTCATTTCGATTTTGACAATTTTAATCATGTAATTTTGTTTAATTTTAAATCAAGTTCAAAGTGTAACCTTCGTCAATTTAGTTGGTGGAATTCAATGTGTTAATATGCAACTACCACATGTGAGGATACTTTTGTCACTATTAAGGTATTTGTAATTAACCCATAACGTAGTTATTTTGTCTATTTTTGTTTACAATTTTAGACCTCAAGAACTTGATTGCTACCTGAATAAAATTGCATGATTGAAGATTTGAAAATTAAAACGACAGTTACTAAATGAAAAATGAGTCAAATTATGATAACTGAAAAGGTAATGTCAGACTTATCGCATTTTTAACAAGAGAGCATCATTTTCTCTCATAAGCCTACCACACAAACATTAATAAATGACAGGCATGTGCTTTGGCCATCGCCGCACACAAAATAATCAAGGCCAAATCTGTCATTAACTCCAAAAACATTCCACCAATTGACAAATTCCCTTCACCAAAACAGGAAATTATCATAACTAAGGCCGATTATCAACTCATTAACAAACTTAATCTTCCTTTACGAAATGACGAAATTGGACCCTAAACAATCAGAAACATTCTGCAAAAGTGAAGTAAGACGGTGTCGTGGGGTTGCATGCTTGGCAGCAACCAAGGTTGGGGGGGAGAAACCATGTGACCTTAAACAGCTTTTGTCTTCAAACCACACCAGAGGACATATACATAGAGATTTTGGATCATCACAAAACAAATAAAAGTAAGTGAGAGAGAGAGAGAGAGAGAGAGAGAGTAAATACGTCATTTCAAAGGGGCCACGTGAAGACAGTGCCAGAAAGAAGAATGGCAAACTCGTTATATTTGCTCAAATCCAAGGGCTCTTTTGGATGTTGGCATGCATATAAACCCACCCTCTCCCTCTTTCCACTCTGCATTGCTCACCAGCTTACACATCAAACATTTGCTGATAACAGATTGAGAGTTTTTTCTGTAAACGATCACCAATATGAGAGGGGTTGCCTTATTTTTGTCGGTGCTATTGTGCGCCACTTGCCACTCTGCCCTGTCCCTCATCGATGGTAAGTTTATATTATTTATACAAATTAATGCATCTATTTACTCGTACATGTTTTTTTTTATTTATAAAAAAACCCAGATGTTAATTTGTATTTTTTTCAGTTGCTAATTATTAGTTTCCTCACCTTGCTCCTTAGTTATTTGCCTCTTTGGCCTCATAATATTTGGTGCATAGTTGGCTAGTATATGTATGAAGGTTTTGTGAAAATGACCAAAATGACCTCATCCTTGTGCACATAAGTTCATATCGTGGTTCTTCTCTTGATCCTCATAGAGGAATTAGGGTGGCTGGAATTTAAGTTTTTCAGGTCATCAGCTAGCAAGCAGCTCAAGTTTCAGCAAGTTTGCAATAATAATATAAGCGATAGAAAAATTTGAATTTCTTGAGGGGTAAATGTGTAATTTCGACTTATCATCATCAATATTTGCTCATTCGTCAGACGGTGACAGGCTTTTGCTTGTTTTGTCTGGGTTTCTTCTGTGGAGAGATTTGGACCGGTGTGATAAATAAATATTCTGTGACACTGGTACATAAGATATTTACTATAGCTTTGCAGAGTGTACAGAGAAATCACATGGGTGCCAAGTGGTACACCCATAGAAACACCCACTAGATAGGTACCCAAAAATTCAAAGATATCATCAAATTTATTAGACCTTTTATCCATTTAACAGTAAAACCCCAATTTTGCTCATCATGCCTCCACAAGCGGTTACAAATTTTCCACAAACAGACAAATTGCACATTTTGAGCCCAACATGCCTTAATCTATCATATACTTCCACTGAGAGAGTAACGAGGGGTTATAGCGAGGGTTATAACGAGTCCTTAATAGCCATTCGATCAATTATAGAGTTATTATTGGACGATAGAATTGAACCTCTTAACACACAACCTCAACATAAGCCCCCTATAGTTTCATGTACACTCATTACTTGTATAATGTCACATGTAATCCAATAATTTCATTGCAGCATATTTTTTTCTTATAATTTATATTTTTCTATGAACCCAAATTCATGCAGGTTATTTGGAGAATGGGAATTTTGAGGAGGCCCCTAAGCCATCAGACATCAGGGGCACAGAAGTGATAGGGCGCTATGCCATACCAAAATGGGAAATTTCTGGGTTTGTTGAGTACATTAAGTCAGGCCAGAAGCAAGGGGACATGTTGCTGGTTGTGCCTGAGGGGGCCTATGCAGTTAGGCTTGGAAATGAAGCCTCAATTAAGCAGAGGATCAAAGTGACCAAGGGCCTATACTATTCTATCACTTTTAGTGCAGCCAGGACCTGTGCTCAAGAGGAGCGTTTGAACATCTCTGTGGCACCAGACTCTGGGGTGCTGCCAATACAGACGGTGTATAGCAGCAATGGCTGGGATTCTTATGCCTGGGCATTTCAATCTGACTATGAGCAAATTGAGCTTGTTCTGCATAACCCTGGTGTCGAGGAGGATCCAGCTTGCGGCCCTCTCATCGATGCGATTGCCATTCGAACTCTGTACCCTCCTCGAGCAACCAACAGTAAGTTTTTCTTTATCATATATTTCACATGTTATGTTTTTCAAATTTCAATCGTTTAGGTTGACTGTCTAACAATATAATATAATATATAACATGATAATATGTTTTTCAAATTTCAATCGTTTAGGTTGACAGTCTAACAATATAATATAATATATAACACGATAATATCCAATCGTAAGTACATTTCCAAGTCGGTATAGAAGACAAACACCACTTGCAAGATCATGGGTTTTTAATTTTGATTTTGAAATTAGTTAAATATAGATCATCTAGTTGGACCACTCTATTTCATACATGTGAGGAGCTGTTTCACCCCATATAGGCTGCGGGGTGTGCAATTATTTGATGACACATGTTCTCTTTAGGCATACATCACCTCTCTCTCTCTCTCTCTGCCTCTGCCTCATCAATAGTAAAAATTTAATACCCTTGAAACTTTAGTGATTCTTGGAGGACAGAACAAATAGATGAGAATTAGGTTAACTATTTTCTGTTCGCAATCACTGTATGTAGATCTCTTGCTTTAAATTTTCATTTAATTTCAATGTCCTGGCCCACGGACACTGCTTCTTTATTAGTTGGTTCCAGTTATGACTTTGGGGCTAACCACCAGTCAAGTTGAGGGGCTTCAAGCTAGCAATTTGAACTTCTTCTTAGAGTACCAAATATTTGTTATTACTGATTGTATACAAATGTGTGTTCATCTTCTTTCACATATTTAACGAGTGAGATAAACACATAATTGTATACAACTGGTTACACCTAAAATTTTCTTCACAAATAAGACGATCATGTGAATTGTTCATGTGTCTCTGTTTGAGTCCCACACTAAATTCTACATACATCAAGAATTTGTGTAACCAAACTCTTTGAAAGCAAATATCATCGATGAATTAATGAAGCGTCGTGCAGTGCCTAATATTTAGGTCACATTGTCTTTGGACATCACAGCTTTTCATGACCTTTTTCCTCATTTTGTATTAGAACTGTGGGTCTTTCTTGTCTCTCCTCTTCATAAATAAAAGAAAACAATCCCCCAGTCCTAAGTTTGACACCCATGTAAATAAACTGTCCTCCGTGAAATTTGAACGCGAAACTTCATTCAACAACTTAGAAATGAATGCCACTAGACTAAACGGTCATTGATGATAACATCATCTACTTGGATTGCAGAGAACTTGTTGAAAAATGCCGGTTTCGAAGAAGGGCCATACGTGTTCCCAAACGCATCCTGGGGAGTCCTAATCCCACCAAACATAGAAGACGACCACTCTCCATTACCAGGCTGGATGGTGGAGTCTCTGAAAGCAGTGAAGTACATAGACTCAAACCATTTCTCAGTGCCAGAGGGCAAAAGAGCAGTTGAGCTTGTAGCAGGAAAAGAAAGCGCCATAGCCCAAGTTGCCAGAACCATCCCCGGCAAGACCTACGTGCTCTCATTCTCCGTGGGAGACGCAAGCAACTCCTGTGAGGGCTCCATGATCGTGGAGGCATTTGCAGGCAGAGACACAGTCAAAGTGCCCTACGAGTCCAAGGGCAAAGGAGGGTTCAAGAGAGCGGTGCTCAAATTCGTGGCTGTTTCTACCAGGACACGTGTCATGTTCCTGAGCACGTATTACACCATGAGGAGCGATGACTTCTCTTCTCTGTGTGGACCTGTGCTTGATGATGTGAAGTTGTTGAGCCTCAAAAACCCTAGACAATGAGGACCCAGAAATTAAGTGGTGATGGAAATTGGGTTGGAGGGTTTTAGATTTTATATGAATTAAATGTGAGGGGGTTGATGAGGCCCATATATGATGAGACCCAATGAGGTCCTTTAATTTGGGTTGTATGAATGAACCAATTTGGTTCATGGTTATGAGTGCTTTTGTTTGTAAGAGAAGCTAGAGGCGGGGAGTAGTGTGAGTTTAATTAGCATAATCCGAAATGGGAAGATAGTGTATAATAAAATAGTTTGATTTTTGTTGAATAGTTATGTACTTCATGAGCAAAATAAATGAGATGATAATGTTATTACTTATTTGCAGCACAAAAAAGGATTCAACAACATTGCTACTCTGCTCCTCAGTTTTACTTCACAAGTCCAAACCGTTTTAGAGGTCTGTTCGTCCTTACAAACACAGAGTACTGGTTGATCAATGGTGGCCATCGATGGCTTGGCACACGCTAATCTCTTAAATTTTAAATATTTATAAGACATCATATTCCCTAAATATACAATCATATCGTAAAAATGGATCAAAACTAGCAAACGTACAATCATATCGTAAAAATGGATCAAAACTAGCAAACGATGATGAAAACTCGTTGCGCATTCGATGCCTATTGTCAGGATATGCACATTTAGGTTGGGAATTTAAATCGCCCAACTGATCGAACCATTATAAGTTAATTCGGTTTATAATTTGAATTTTAGAAACCGATGTTTTGACTAAACTGAAGCAAGATACATATATGATCAAATTTTTGAATCTTGATCTTGAAGTCTTTCCTCGAGTAAATTCACATGTTCCTAAATTTTTATTTACCCTCACAACTTCGCATTATCATGAATGAGTTTCACTCTTCTATGTGAGAAAGCAAAGATAAATTATTTTTATTGAGAAAAATTTAAAATTCAATCGGGGAAAATGTTACGGGCTAAGCCAGCCCATGATGAGTCCTTCTTTAGCAACTTCGGGAAAGGGAAGGGTAGCCCAAAGTTCGGGTAAGGCCAACCCAATAGCCCGACTCATACTTACAAAACGGGTCGGATACAACCCAGTCCAGCACACCGTCACACGAGGCCTGCTACGTGTAAAGCGTGAACTCATCGTGCTTAGACAATCGGACGGTCCAGAAAGCTTCCAAAACGGGTTGGCTACAACCCAGTCCAGCACACCGTCACACGAGGCCTGCTACGTGTAAAGCGTGAACTCATTCTGCTTAGACAATCGGACGGTCCAGAAAGCTTCCAAAACGGGTTGGCTACAACCCAGTCCAGCACACCGTCAAACGAGGCCTGCTACGTGTAAAGCGTGAACTCATAGTGCTTAGACAATCGGACGGTCCAGAAAGCTGCGTTACTTTGAAGCTAGCTAAGAATTAGAAAACACTAGGGTCTCTCCGAAGGCTCCTACTATATAAACCCTCAACAAATCTCAATCGTTCCCTCTCTCGCTCTCACTCGTTTGCTCTCTGCGCCACTCACATTAGCAAGACTCAAATGGTAAATCTTCGCATCTTTCGTCTCAAAATTTTTATTTTGCATCTTTTGATCTTCATTTTGTGTGTTTGGTTGCTGTCAAAACTGATTTTTTAAAAGTAATTAAATTTTGTTTTAAATACAATATTTGTGTGAAAACTTGCAGGCTTTGCCGAATCAGCAGACCGTGGATTACCCGAGCTTCAAGCTCGTAATCGTTGGCGATGGTGGAACAGGTTTGCCTCTTCTTTTCTCTATGGATTCAGTTTCGTTCATGATCTGTTTGGTTTCAGTGAAAAATTTCCTGTGTTCTTCGCTTTGTCTTTGTTTGTACAAATCGGTTCGTTACTGAGCTCAAATGGAGCTAAATGCAAACTCTGTGGCCTGAACAACGTGATGTTTGATTTTAATTTTGGTTATCAAGCTTTCTGTGAAATAGTTCAAAATTAAAACTTTATGCAAGCGTGACCTAAATGATATAAACTTTGGATTTGAGTGATCGGGAGTTGGCTTTGAATTTCATGCACTCGACTATAATCTTGTATAATGTTTCTGTAGGGCGGTTCCTAGTAATATGGATTGGCCTTACTGCAAATTGGTTAGAGCAATCGAAATGAACTGTAATAAGGCTGAGTCTAAGTGTACAACTAAACCTTTTAACCTTCCCTAGAAATTTTATATTGGGGCTCCCGTTCTAGAACCTTGTTACAATTATTCAAATCTAAATGCAGCCTGAAACTTCTTTCGGATATTTTATTCAGTCAGAGCTCGAGGTGTGCAAGCACAAAATTTTCCTTTGAAATTGATACTATAATAGTGAAATTAGGGTTTTGGTACTGGTGATTGTATACATTTTTCCTTTGGCTTTGCTGTTTTCAGATTCTGGTTATTGTTTATAATTTACATGATATGGTTCAGTTCTTGGTTTATGATGCCATTGTTTTTTCCATAACTGAGTGAGTTTTATGTCAATGCAGGAAAAACTACCTTTGTGAAGAGACATCTTACTGGTGAATTTGAGAAGAAATACGAACGTAAGTGTCTTGTAAAGCATTAGTACTTTTTGAGTTTTCTATGCTTACTAAACTTTGTTGACCGTTAGCTTGCCATTTTGTTAGTAATCTCCCTTCCAAATTAAGAAGAATAAATGTGTGAAGAAAGATTAATCGTTTATAAGATTTTGATGTATTGGACTCATTCTTGCTCATTTTTAATGGACAGCAACTATTGGCGTGGAGGTCCATCCATTGGACTTTTTCACCAACTGTGGAAAAATTAGATTCTATTGCTGGGACACAGCCGGGCAAGAGAAATTTGGTGGTCTTAGAGATGGATACTAGTGAGTGTTTTCTTTTAAAAATTTATGGCTGAACTTTTCTTTTGAAATCTTTTATTTTGTATGCATTTTGCTTTAACTGTATTGAGCATAATTGTTCTGATATCTACATGCTTGTCATCATTATTTGTTAAAACTCAATATTACGTTTGTCATTTGAATGGCTGTATGACATTATTCAAAATTCTTTGCCGATTCGAATGACTGTACTCTTTGTTGAACTCCCATATTGTGCAAATCATTTTGACGTATGTAGCATTAGATTTCATTTGTCTCCCACAGTAACTACTTGGTTTACCTCTGCTTTCCTGTCTAATTGATTTATGTAGGTTGTTTTAGGCCATCATTTATGATGATTACACTCCCCAAATTACATATGATTTATGTAGGTTGTATTAGATTTCATTTGATAACTGCTTATTACTCTTTCTGGGCAACTTTGTTCTAAATTACATTTTTGTGCAGCATCCATGGACAATGTGCAATTATCATGTTTGATGTTACTGCTCGATTGACATACAAGAATGTTCCAACTTGGCATCGGGATCTTTGCAGGTCTGCATGGAAATTTTTCTTTATTTGTAGTTGCATTGATTTCACTTGATGAGTTTTTGAGGGGTGTATTAACTCTAATGGGTACTTGTGCTGTGAATTCCAGGGTCTGTGAGAACATTCCAATTGTTCTTTGTGGAAACAAGGTTGATGTGAAGAACAGGCAGGTCAAGGCAAAGCAGGTTACTTTCCACAGGAAGAAGAATCTGCAGTACTATGAGATATCAGCAAAGAGCAACTATAACTTTGAGAAGCCTTTCCTATACCTTGCCAGAAAGCTTGCTGGGTAAAATCTTTTGGTTCCAAATAGATATATTTTTCTTTAAACTATTGCAAATAGATATATAAGTTACTCAAGTGCTTTGTTTGTTGCAGGGATCCTAATTTGCATTTTGTTGAGTCACCTGCCTTGGCTCCTCCAGAAGTACACATTGATCTGGCTGCACAACAACAGTAAGCCTCCCCTTACAAAATTGCTTTCTCTCTCTCTCTCTCTCTCTCTCACACACACACACACACACACACACAAACACACACACACACACACACACACACACACACACACAAACGTACCCTGATCGCTCTCCCACTCATCACACACACATGTTATGTAGTGAAAAAACGTACCCTGATCGCTCTCCCACTCATCACACGCACATGTTATGTAGTGAAAAAGGAATAGAGTTGTAGGAAAATTCTTGCCAGTTTATGATTGGACTTGATGCATTTCATTTTTTCTTTTCTTCATTACCATACATTTCTTTTTTCCCTTGATAATACAGGCACGAAGCCGAGCTCGCTGCAGCTGCCAGCCAGCCCCTTCCTGATGATGACGATGACACATTCGAGTAGATGTGGGGAATTGTTGTCTTGGTGAAAGTTATTAATATTTGTGGGTCCTTGGACCATTTTTTCTAAGAAACTTGTGGTATTGCTGTTTGTAAGTGATAATTTTCGTGGTCATGAGGATGTGAATTTGAGGATGCCATGTTTTCATGTATGATTTTATGTTGAATTGGCTCCCTATCAGCCCTTTTCCCCATTTCTTGTCCAGTCCATTATATGTGATGCCGTTAATTCTATTCGCCTATTAGTATTTTTATATTCTATCACAATCTCCACGGAGCTGTTCATCAATCCCCATGATGTGTAGCTTTTTATAATTTTTCATCTTTTGGGTTCGGTACTGCATTCATGTTCATATAGCTTGGGTGTATGGCAATGTTGCCTTTGTGTATTTTCTGCATGAACCCGAACCCAGTTGAAACCAGAGGTTTAACGAGATAATGGAAAGAGAAGAAAGCACGCCAAATGCTTCTGAGCCTGTCGTATCATGAATAACGTTCTTTGGTCCAGAAAAGTTTGTTTTCTGGTCTTGCATAACTCCCACGTGTCTCGAGTGCCCGGTAAGAGAATTAACGACTTTGAAAATGGAGAAAGATAAAGTTGGTATAAACATGGCGCATCTCATTTTAATCCTTTCAAATTTAGGACACTCTCAAAACAAATCCCAAATTTTGAATTATCATAACTTAGAGTTGGATCTGCCTACTATTTGATTTATAGTAATTTAAATTATCGAATTGTCAATAAGAAAATATACAATAACAAATTATGGAGAAGTATTAAAGTTGGGGGGTAGGGAACTTGCACATAAGTACCATGAGCATTTGAACTCAAGACCATTTGGTAGCACACTAAAGATCTGATTTGGGCCAATATAACTAACACCCAGTTGGTGGGAAGCATTATATTTATTACGCCATTTAGTAAGATGAATATAAACAAGGACACGTAAATGTGGGTTAGACAAGTTGGTTAAGTATGTGCCCACCCTCTTGCACTCGAGTTTGAACCCCCTCCCCTCTATTAAGCCGGTTGGTTAACGTAATGTGTCCATCCCCTTACACTCGAGTCCGAATCTCCTCCTATATATTAAGATGATTTAGAATGTTCCATTGTAAAAACAAAAAAACAAAAAATTGTACATGTTCTAAATATTGGATTTGTATTGGGCTACAGATTTTGTGATCGAGACCGTATAGCCAGGTTTTGTTGGGCTTTTAAGACCTTTGGGCGATAATCGCTAATTCAGCGGATTGCGAACATAGAGCATACGACAATGGCCATACTAGGTGCCACGTGTAGGGACAAAATTCAAGCGGAAAATTCAAGCGGGACTGTGATCCAACGGTGTAAAAAATAGCGTCCAACAAAAGTCGAACCCCGTGTTAAGGGGTCGGTTACACTGCAGTATAAAACCCTTAAGTCCCTCACCTTCTTCGTTTACACTGTGCTTCCTCAGAATTCCACAAACACCTTGATCGCTATCCTCCGAGCCTCAAAACCGTTCACATTTTGCAGCTCTCTTCGCTCTCGCTATGGTAGCCTGTCTCTCTCTCTCTCTCGCTATATGTATATGTGTATATGTTCTAGGCAGGCAGCTAGGGTTTTATTCTGATCGTAAACGCTCATTGTTGTATTTGATACAGGCTCTTCCGAATCAGCAAAACTGTCGATTACCCTAGCTTCAAGCTTGTTATCGTCGGCGATGGTGGAACTGGTTCGTCTTTTTGCTTCTCTCTGTCTTTAGCGCCCAAACTGGGAATTCAGGGCTTTCTTCTTTGTTGTTTCGTTCATCCGGATCCAAGATTTTATTGAAGCCCTAACATATTGTTGCTCTTGAAGCGTATTTGGTCTATTTATTTTGTTCGTTCTTGTTTTTGTCTTTTCAAAATAGTAACAGAGTGTTTTGATTGGGTGTAGGCAAGACCACGTTTGTGAAACGCCATCTCACTGGAGAGTTTGAGAAGAAATACGAACGTAAGGAGTTCAATTCTGTTTATATCTCTGTGTCCCTCTGTGTGTGAAATTTCGTTGTTAATTTTCGTGATTTTTTATTTTTTTTTAAATTGCAGCAACTATTGGTGTTGAAGTTCATCCGTTGGACTTCTTCACAAACTGTGGGAAGATCAGGTTCTACTGTTGGGACACCGCTGGTCAGGAGAAGTTTGGTGGACTCAGAGATGGTTATTAGTATGTCCACTTATCACAAACGCCTATTTTAATTGAACCCCACTCATGTTTTACTGTAATCTATATTTATTTAGTGCCCTTGTGACATTGTGGCCATTTGTAGTGTTTGTGTTTTGTTGGTACCTGTGATTATTATATTTGGAATGTCATGATGGGAATGGTTTGATTATGCCTAAGTCATCATATTTTTTTGTTCTTATTTTATTTTGGGTTTGTTCTTCTTATTTCTAACTTGTTTTAATTAAAACATGCATGTTCTGGGTTAGCAAAGCTTACTTAAGAAAGCTTGAATAGGTCATTTATTTATCTTTCTTATTATGTCTAGGAGGATGTATGTTTTTTGTTTTTTTTTTTTTTTTTTTTTTTACTATAAAATTAAGGGATTTGTGTATCATTCCCTTGTGTCATTGCATCTCCGTTTTCGCCCTGTTTGAACAGGCTCAGGTCTATTCTTCGTGCTGATATTGTTTGATGGACAGTATCATTGCATCTCGGTTCTTGCCCTGTTTGACACTCATGATCTGTTTCTTTTCTTGATTTTCAGTATTCATGGGCAGTGTGCAATCATCATGTTTGATGTTACTGCTCGTTTGACATACAAAAATGTCCCCACATGGCACCGTGATCTCTGCAGGTGAGTTACTTGAGATATATAATTTTTTTCTATTTTTTAATATTCTGTATCGACAGTGATGTTGGTCTTCTACCCTTTTTTCTATTTCCTAATGCGGTTCCCCCTTTCCAGTTTTCCTAACTCGAATTTCTTCTAACATGGCATTCCTATTGTCTTCTAGGGTGTGTGAGAACATTCCCATTGTTCTGTGCGGAAACAAGGTGGATGTGAAAAATAGGCAGGTAAAAGCAAAGCAGGTTACCTTTCACAGGAAGAAAAATCTCCAGTACTACGAGATTTCTGCAAAGAGCAACTACAACTTTGAGAAACCTTTCTTGTATCTTGCCAGAAAGCTTGCAGGGTAAGTTCTTGATCACTTTATTGCAGTAAATCATTGTTCTCTGGGCTCTGTTAACTCTCTCATGCTGTGAAATTTAATGGTCTATCGGTCTCTGCAGAGAGACTGAGCTGCGTTTTGTTGAATCACCTGCTCTTGCTCCTCCAGAAGTTCAGATTGACATGGCTGTCCAAGCAAAGTAAGTGATAGGTCCACTTTGAGAATTTGTTAATAATTTTTTTTTTCTCATGTTCAACCTATATATTAAGAAGGAATCATAATGAGCAATTGTTAGCACTGTTTGTGCTAATTATTCTGAGTTCTTGATTACCAATCGACTGTATGGTGTTTTTCAGGCATGAACAAGAATTGGCACAGGCAGCTGCACAACCACTTCCAGATGACGATGATGATCTGTTTGAGTAGTGCGTTTCTATGTTTCTGGGTTTTGTTTAGGCTGTTTGATGTGATCGGTGACGTGGGTTTCGGTTGTCAAGAAATTTATGACTTTACAATCTTTCTCTGGTTTTCTCCTTTAGATATTAGGGTTGGTTGTTGCCATGGGTACATGTGAAGAGCCGAGAGACATCTCTTGTTAGTAGGTCTTATGTGGGATTTACATTTTAACCCGTTATATTGAATGCTAATTCTCTACGGTGCTGGCTTACACTAGACTAATGCGAATAAAAACTAACATTTCATCGATATGAAAGAAAGGAAAGAAAGAAGCATCAATTGTCATTACAAACTCGCAGACCCCATGATTCCCAGGTTTTCAATAAAAACTGCACCCAAACATCCATTTTGTTTGCCAATTGGTGCTTAGTTTAGTGGTAACAACACTATAGCTTAGGTTCGAAACTCGATAACACCCCCTCCCCCTTCCTGACTTAGACAAAGTAAAAAACATTGTCAAACTCTTTGCCGTTTTAGTCGTAGTTTAACTAAGTAATATTCTATTTGGAGGGTTTTTTGGTCTTTTGCCAGCATTTAGAGCATCCAGGGGGGTTGTATTTTTGAGAGTATAAAAATACTTTTACATCCTCTTTACACCTTCGGATGTTGTAAATTTGGTTTTTGCTCCAATAGGGAAAATGCAAATCTAAAGATGTATAATTGATTTTGCTCACTTATGTCCACATTTTCTCACTTTTTCTCATGTATGTCCCACCTGCAAGGGATGTTAAAAATGATGTACATGTGCATCTAAATTTGCGTCTCACGATTATGATGCAAATTTACAATCGATTACACCTCCCCATTGCAGGTGATTTCGATAACAAATGATGTATATTTAACATACACTATACCAACCCCACTGGAGATGCTCTTATATGAAGTAAAACCCCAAAATGGTTACTTACATGGACAATTGGGTTAAAGATGACTCGAAAATGATTGATAATCTTTTCGGTCAAAGACATGAATAAAACCACCGTCCGTTATTTCTTTTTCATTCGGCAATTGAAATTCAAACTCACCCATGTTTGTTATCTCTTTGCCCCTTTCATCGTTTTGGCCATACAAAGTCTTTGGTTTAATAAAAAAAAGAAAATTATTCAATCAACCGTTAAAAAAATATCAAAATTTAATGAGCATGGCATGTTACCATGTTATAAATCTGACCACAGATTGGAATGAATCCACGGTCGAAATTATGTCAATATAGAATACGCAAAAATTCATATGCTATTTGAAACTTTTGTATATACTAATTTCAAACAAATGGATAACATTAATGATCGTATTTGCAATAAACAGTTGCAAGCTCTCATTATCCAAATAAAAAATATATATTGCTCAACACATTGATGCATATATCTCACAATTCAATATTACAAGAAGAATGAGACAGAAAAGGACTGAAGATCTGCAACAGCATTTTTCTAGTCTCAACTCTAACAACCATTCCAGAGCAATTTCCAAAAGGAAGACCTGGTGTCGAAGATACCGTGTTCATGGATATAACTGCAAGAGAAAGTTAAACTGGCCTTCCTTGAGAATTCCTTGAAGAATCCAAAATTTCTAATGCTAAAAGGAAGATCTAGTCCATTTAAAAGAATCTACACAGTAGATTGTTGCATTAAATAGTATCCCAAGTGAAACTTTTGTCAGCCTCCTCTTGTCATTACTCAATCCGTAAACATCTGCCAAAATACCAATGTGGTACACAAAGCATGTATGTACAAACCAATCCTTAAAACTTGAGCTTTATACAACATTATTTTGTTAACTTCGCTGAGGATTGAGAATTACATTCAAAGAATTGTTGTACATACCTTGTCAAAAAATTATATTATGTAGGGCAAATACTTAGCCAATTTGAACTGATCCTTTTGTCTGAGCTGCAAAGCCGGCAATCACTTTAGCCACACCAGTGTTTGTCAATTGACAGGCTCTTTTGCCACGGAGCACTGTTGACCTTATCCAGTCTATTTATCATCAACTAATAACATGTGAAATTCCTTGACAATTTCCAAACAATTCATTGATGAGATAACTACAAATTGCTTTATTCCTTGAACAGTACATAGTGCTACTAGTTCTATTCAATTCACCAGGATACTTTTATAATGAGATAACTACAAATTGCTTTAATCACTCACACAAATCCTAAATCAATTGTAAAGTTCATAGTCACAGTAGTTTACATGTGTCCTGTGTTAGACATCACAAAGTAGTTTGGATAACTTACCTTCCACAACCATATCTCCATGTTATCAACAGGGAAAAAAGGTTCTACTTACAAATGTAAGACTTCGAATGTATTGCATTTAGAGATTTCTCTACTTTCTTTGTACAAGGATTTGTTTATTTATTTTTCCTTTGACTTCTCTCTAGTTATGCAAATTACCTCTCGCAGCCAACGGTCCACTTTTATTGTTTTCACTTTCAAATGTGATAATTTCAAAGATCAGAAACTTAAATTAAGTCTTCCAGATTATTGTTTTAAATAAAAGAACATTATACCCTTGGCGTACATAAATCAAATATAAACACAAACAACTATAAATGGTCCAGTTTTGAAGTCCAAACTGTAGCTTAATGAAACAAATGCATGCCAAATAGTTTGTATGAACTTTAAAGCCATTTAAATTCAAGTAATGCACAAGGTACTCACGGATAAAGAGTCTCAAATAAACAGATGGTACGGATCATATAAACACTACAATTTTCTATAAGATCAAAGAAGATACCGGAAACTTCAATTTTCTGGGCTTTCTGAATTAAAGAATATAAGGAAATGGTACTTCATTTGCATAAGTTATAATCTAAAGAATATAATACCTAATATATTATAGAAGTATTTAAAAAAAATGCAAAGTTAATAGACAATAAAGAGATATATCATCAGCAAAGAATTAGGTAAACTGCATCAAGCAAACTGGGAACCATTTCAAAGTTCACGTTCTGCTTTGGTAGAAGATGTGTCCACAATTCCCAGCAGACCCAAAATGAATCACATCAAAGAATCAGAGAAAATAATTGTACCATTTTCTGGCGGCATATTGTCATATACGAAGAAAATTCGAAATAAATAGTTCCATTGTATACGCCAAGATGACAAACCTCAGCATCATCTAAGCCTTTGGAAGCAAGGCAAGGCAAGGCAAGCAAGGCTCCAACCTTGGCCCTGAAAGTGCAGGGATTCATCAATAAGATTCATGAGATGGTACTCTGTATGCATTCACATGGTAACAACGAAACCAAACTATTTTAATGTAAATCCAAAGATATGCTTATTGAAAAAGAGTGGGATGGAATTAAACAGAAATAGTAGTGAGAAGGCATAAGCACAATGGCATCTCAACAACTACGCTTCATATTCCATGTGTTATGCAGTAAAAAAAACCAACAAATCTTGCACATACACATTGATACCATTTCAATCAACCAATCATTAATAAAAGAACATAAAAATGGATCATTATGGATTAGCTAGCAGTACATGCATCGGTGGTAAGAATATGATGATCCTTATTCCCGGATCAGAAACTTGGTTTTTCATTTCACCCTATCAAAAATCTAGAGTTCAGACAGAGAAATCCTTAAAAATTAAGCAACACCATATGGCAACAAATGCTCATCCTGTCATTGCCTGATACAGAACTAAACAAGTGTAACTGGGCTCCAGGAGACTAGATCCTGGATATGTGCAAGTTCTCTCTGGTTTAATACTCACTAAATACTGAAAAGAAATCAAAATTCTTCCACCAAAAAAGAGCTACAAACAACAAGCCTTCCAAAAGGAAAAAAATGGTAAAATATATTACAACAGCTGAAAGGACAGCACCATGGTGAACCTGGAAATATTCACATCTTTAGAAGGTAAAGTGCATAGTTTTCTAAATACAAAATTTTCATACTTAGATCACTGCACATGGACAACTAAGATGAGCTCAAAAAATGTAACAACACATCCTCTGCTTCTTACAATGGAGAAAAAACTGGTGAAGAGACATTATCAAGAACAGATGAAAATACAGCAGCATGGTGAACCTGGAAATATTCAATTCTCTATCAAATAAAGTACATAACTTCTTTAGTACAAATTTCTCATGTTTAATCAGTACAGATTGAACAATCAAGATAAGCACAACAAATCGTAACTATTTATCCTCTGATTCTTACAATGTACTAAAGGCAATAAACCCAAGTATTCAATATCCAAAAGATTAAAAGTTATCTAAGATGAAGGTTTGTTCCTGCAGAAATTAAGTTCCTTACTTCAATCAAATGCTCATCGTTTGAAATGTGCAGTGAAATACGGAGATTGTCAATAACGCTTCTTGTTCCCAAGTTAAGGATCCAGAAGCATGCATTGCCACCAGAGTACTGTGATAAGCATTCAACTCTAACCTATGGATTCCTGCTGGTACATCCTCTTCCAGAGGAACGGAAAAATTTTCTTGCGCATCTCCACAAAAAGAATCTGCATCACTAGAAAGGGTATCTGAATCTTGACTAGTACCTGCTAAATTATGACTGGAAAACTTATTTGAATTGCTACTAATAACACTACAACTACCCACAGAGCATGCATCACTATCACAATCATCAAGTTCTGAACTTCTTTCAACAGAAAGAGAAATAGCACCATTTAACTCTTCCCTCTCCTTTTCAACACATCCAGTTGTACGATTAATAAAGGAAGCCTGCACGTATTTTTCACCCAGATTTTCTCGCGGGTAAGCAACAGCATCTACCTTTTTGAGAAAGGAAGATGGGGACCCAGAAAAAATGTGTTGGCGCTCACACCCCTTCTCAATTGCTCTCCTCTTTCGTGAATATCCATCAATATAAAACGAGCAAAATGGCGAAGCTCTCTTCAATGATCTCGATGAGACATTATGGGAATCCTGATAACTGATGATGTCCTGAGGAGGTAAACAATCATTCACAGCTGGTAGCTTTATTCTTGCATTCAATTGTGGGACTTGTGAGCTAATACGATTATCAGAACCCTGTCAAAAGGAATGAAAAAGAAAATTAGTAAGCAAACAGACAAGTTCCACAGAAAACAAAATTCAGACACTCAATGTTCCTTGATAGAAACGAAATTTCAAAACAAAAATGATATCAATAAATTCAACTAGCACAAAAAATGATAAAATACAGAAAACCAAGATGAACCATATAGAAGTTTACCTTTCCAATCACAACCCATTTGTCATCTTTCCAAAATTGGCGCACCCGGATCCTATGTTTGTGCACTCTAAACTCCTCAGAAGATCCAAGTAGCCTAGTCAAGTAATAATTTTCATCCAAAACCTTCAACACCTTAGCCATTTTCCAGAAACCAACATCGAACACCTCAGCAACATCACCAACTGCCAAAATCTCCACACTTTGAACAGGTGGAGGGCAAGGCCTAATATCCTTCCTTGGAACTCTCTCCACAACTGCTTGACTATCCTTACCAGGAGACCGATCATACTTAACACTGTAGGTGTGCCCATTACCTGAGATAATCTCAGCACAACGCCATGCTACTGAAGTCACCTCCTTTTGGCTAAGTACCTCCACTTTATTCCCTTTCTTGAATCTCATGATGGCTATTAATATCACTAAACCTGTAACAAGAAATCAATATTTGGATCAGAAACAGAGCCTAAGAGTTCCGGAAAATCAATAACAACGATATTATGGTAAATCAACAGATACACATGTTAACTAAAAAATAGTAAACTTAGAAAGGGACAATCTCTTCGAGATGAAAGTGAAATACTTTACAAAACTGTAGTATGTTAACTGACATCAAACAAAACAAAACAAAAAGAAAAGAAAAGACTCAATCTATAGCCCAGGGTATCAAACTGAACCAATATAATAAAAACCCCCAAATCTTAATAAAAATTAGGACTTGGAGTTCTGGGCACGCAAACAACACCAAATCCTTTGACGAGATAATCCAAACGTATCCAATTTTACATAAAAGTTAAAAAACAAAGCATTGAGAACGTAAATTCGAAACCCTAGAAATCAAAAATTGGAACAGATTTGACTAACCTTGATTGAGATTTTGCAGAATTCGATCACTTTTTGAAGAAATTTGTTCTCGATTCTTTGCGTTTCTGTTTCAATTAGAGATTTCGAGTCTGTATGCTTGAGAATTGCGAGCCTTGAATTGGGAGGAAAATTGAAAAGTTAGGGTTCGCCCTTTGCCTGTTTGTGAGAATGGAAAAAAATATAAATTGTTTATGAATTTATATTTTGGTATTTGTTTTTCTTTTTGGCGTCGGTTTGAAGTTTACCTCAACCAGAACGCAGAGTGCGTAATGCGCATACCCTTGAGTTAACACCTAACTTTAGGAGATTTATTATTTTATTTATTATTTATTTCCTATCAGATTTAATTTTTCTTCTTAAAATGTTAACTTTACTTCGACCAAAAAATGTAAAAAAGAAATTGTCCAAACTTTTTGTAAAAAAATAATTTCAAAGAACTTGGTGGACAAGTTTGTGATACAAATTATAAAGTAGCATTGCATTAGGAAAAGGAAAAAGACACCGTATCCAACAAGGTTTTAATAAAGCATCTATTCTAAAAATTAAAAAAAAGGATAAAAAACTATAAATTTGATTTTAAAAATGAAAGTATAAATTTGTTTGAAATGAAGATCATGCATGTTTTTTGAAATGAAGGTTATGCATGCTTTTCATAATTAAAATTTAAAGTTGTAAAAAGAGTTTTATGTTTCAGTTATCAATTAGAGAGAGTGCTAGTGTAATTAGCAGGAAAAAAAGGTTTAAAAAAAAAAATTAAGTTGTCCATGTTTGAGCGTTTGGTGCAATAAACAAAACATTATAGAATTCTCACGCGCTTGAGAGACTGTTCGTAGTATTACTTTTATTTTCTCTCTATAACTAAAAACGACAACTAGGACATCCAGATTTAGTCATACAGATGATGAAAACAATTGAAAAAGGAAAAATTAGAAGTCCAAGATGACATTGACAACATTATAACCCATTTCGGCCAGCACATATGCTGCGTAATTAGCTTCATAAAACACATGGTTCAAGTGAAAGGTCTTGTTGTCAATGATTTTAGGTGAAAAAGCAACTGTACATCTGCTATAAATTAATTTTTGATAATTTGTTTAAAATCATTGCTTATGGTAGCACTTTTAGACAACTCCACTTTCTCTCTATCATTCTTTATCTTTTCATTGAATAACTTCCACAGAGGGGGTGGGCATTTGTGCCCAAAAAACCGAATATCAATCATACTGAACAATGTAAGCATATCAGGTTACATGTTATAATCTCCCCTTGGTTACATTTTTAAAATGAAAGCATATCAAGTTACACGTTACAAGCAGCAGAGATCAAATTCTGGCGAGAGAAGTTCAAGCTTCTTGGTTGATCTAAATAGTGATCTCAACGTAACGCTGTAGGTGAGATCTGCATCTGTTACATTGGAGTGTCTTTGAATAATCATGATGATTCGGAAAATAAATATTGCAGTAAAGGAGCAACCACTGCTATGCTCAAACTGTTCCCCAGCAATGCATAACTGCAACATAAAAGAAACGGACAACAAAGTACAAACATAAGCCGTGCTTAACAACCACTGTTATGCTTAACTGTGGTATGCCAATTGACATGCCAAATAAATTTCATCAAATAAAAGGCACCGTAATGTTCATTTTCTACTAATACACATGAAGCTGAAGCATTAGATAAAATAATGACATACCGTTGCCGAAGGCTTATTTGCTGTGGAAACTGAAAATCTTCTGGGAGAGAATGCAAATTAGCAACCTATGTCGGTTAAAGAAAAATCATAAATTAACAGATTAAAAACATGAAACCAAGAATAGAGGAGAAAACTAAAGAAGCTATGTAAAAGAAATCAGCACACCTCCCTAGGAGTAAAGTATCTAAGGCACTGCTCCTTCAGTGAAGATGCTTTATCCTCGTTATTTGGCTGCATATATATCACAATTTTGTAAATGTCAATCAGCAAAAAATTCAATGGATATTGATTCATGGTATAACCAGGAATTGAACTGTGGGGCACAAGAACTTGAGATGGTGGTCCAATCTAATAAGTGCACCTGAGTGCTTAAGTATCAACAATCTAACATGTGATTTATACTAATAAAATGTGTCATTTTTTATATTTGACTCAAAATCCCAATTTCAGGCAGTGAATGTAACTTGTTTCATGTCTAATTGATACTTTACCTGCAGAGTTGCTAAAAGGGAGCCTGTACCCTTCACATATCGATAATAACTTTTTGTAAAACAACAGCATCGCTTTGAATCAGGATAGACAATATCTGAGTAGTGTTAAGGATCCTCTCAGCGAGAGAAAGAGAGAGAGAGAGAGAGAGAGAGAGAGAGAGAGAGAGAGAGAGTTATTCAATAAAAATAGCATAAATGATGGTGTAAGACAAGGATGCATCCTTTTTTTTTCCCTTAAATTCTAGCAGAACAGGACTTATTTTCTGTCTAACTTTTGTACTGTAGGAGGAATAGGACATTTTCCTTATTGCATAAGCATCCATTTTCAATAACATTTCGGCGTTTCCACTCTTAGGGAGTTTCCGTGGATTCCAGACCTAGGATATTTCTGTTAAGAATTTATATTTACAATCAATAATGGACAGTAATAAAAGAAAAAAGGATACCCATGGCACTTCCCCACCTCTCTATCAAGCTCAATGGAACAGAGTACTGATCTAGGCCACCGCTACAATATTCATTCCCTTCATCCAAAACTTCATCACAATCTGTAGAAACAATAGTGGTGTCCACAAAATTGGACTCTGATTGGTCACTGCAATTCTTGAATTCAAGGAAGCTTTCTATAGACTCACAAGATTCAAGCAACCTATCCCAGCTCTCTTGTGGTTCATCAAGTTCACAGAATACTGTCTCCTCAGTATTTGTATGCCTAAATAATGGCCCTGGGGACTGAAGAAGCTGATTATTGAAAAGTTGACGCTGAAAGGTTGAAGGTTTCCTCTTTGCCTGCAGGATAAATGAAAATATATTTATAGATTAAAACTCTTGGAAAGGAGAAGAGCACGAGAGCTCCCAAATTTTCTGAATGACTAGGAACCAGAGAGAGAAGAGACTACCAGGCAAAAATAGCGTGGCCTGGAATATGGCACACCAAACTGTAACGGACTTAATATGAACTCCTGCGTAATAAAATTAGTTCTTCCCAATATCTCTATCATTTTCGTATGCGTATCAGATGTCTGCAACCAGGAAAAAGAAGGAAATCAAATAAAAACAAATCAATAGTTTTACCTATAATTAAGCTTAAACTTCCAGGAATAGACCTCAAATCCAACAACATTTTCCACAAATAACATTATTGGAGGTTGCGAAGTGTGTGGTATCAACTCAAGAATGTTGAGAAATGAAAAAGCCCGAGCATCACCAGATTGCTTTTGGAGACCTATCCATAAGTAGCTAGTGAAAATCTATGCAAATTAATGTCATATATCAGTAAATAGGACAATGATGATAAACTAACCTTGTCGTGTGTAAGGTTGACAAGGAGGAGAAAGAAGCCATGCATCCGCTCCATACCTGTCGAGATCGGCAGCAGTAAGGCTCTGGATATTACCCTACACGAACACAAATATTAATTAATTTATTTTTTTGGTACAATGTGAATTCAGGTAGTTCTACTAAATACCCTGTCTGAGAAGCTGAAAATCCAAACATCAATAATGGGAAGGCAAAAGCAGCTTTGAACCCCAATATTGGACGCATGACTACAGGTAGTCACTAGTCAGGACATTTTTGAACAAATGGTTTAAATCCAAACTGACCCAATATAGAGCAAGTTGGAAGACAAAGACCAAAAACCTCAAAAACTCCAAACTTTGAGCATCTAAGAGAATAAATGCAAGAAATATAAATTGGGTAACCACAAATATACAAACTTTTGATCCTTCAGTGGTCAAACAAACAACACAAATTTTACTTACATCTATATACTGTATAATAAAACAGCTTCAATTTGGACTCAAAAATTGAACTGCAAAAGAGGAAAGAACCTGATAGGGACGGTGGCCGAAATTGTGCTGGTAAACATCGTTAGCCGTGTCGTTGATGTCGAATGCTTCCACAACTTCGGCATTCACTCCAGCCTTCATCAGCGAGTACCTCTAACAATCACAAAGATACAAACTTGAGCAAATCGTTAAAGACTTCAAAAGTGGAAGCAAAATGGGTTTGGGGTATGTGGTTTTGCTAATTACCATGCCACCAATACCGCTGTAGAACTCGAGGACCCTCCATGGCTCGTCTCCCTGCTTGCCTAAACCCTTTTCCATTGCCTCCTTGACTGGTTGAGTTGAGCGACCTGTTGATCGTTATAAGCTTTCGAACACAAACGACATGCCGTTCGTTCTCATTTTTCAAGGTTGATTTTTTAACCATCTTTTTAAACATCACTTTTCAATTTTAGATCTCAACTCTGAAAAATAAGTGGATTTTTTTTCCACCAACATCTTTAAATGGAATTCTCATTTCACTAATTCATGCTCCCAACTCATTAGACTATTTGTTTAGCTTAATTATAAGATTGTGGATATCTAACAAGAAAGGATTTTAGTGTAATCCTTCACTCATGTCATTGTAAGAGTCTAAATATTGTCTACCCTCTCCCTTAAAAGAAAAAAAAATCTCAGTTTAAATGATAATGAGATAATTATTTTATTGATTAAGAAAGCACTAAAAGGTCGAGTGATTCAACATTTCGAACAATAAAAGTGTTCTTTATTTTAATACAAGTGATAGTCTAAATTACAAGATGAGAGAGGTTCCTCACACACAAACTACTAATGTGTCACAGGGTTTGAACCTAAGACTACTAGTCTGCAAGTCAATGTCATTTTCCACCCGACTAAACCAAATTGGCTCAAACAAAAAAAATGTATAACAAAAGTATGCGTATTAAAAGATGAGTTAACATAGTTTATTATAATTTCAAAGTATTGAAATGTGATAGATTTCAAATTATTCATTGATTATGTAACTTGTTAAGCTTTCATACTTTGACACACTCGTGACATCCATTCTTATAGTTCACATTTGGAGCATAAAGAATCTGTTATATATTTTAACAAGATTGGTTTTATGATAAATTGCAATTATTTATTGCCAATAAGGTTTAGCTCAATGGTCTTATTTTTGAACTTTTGTGACATTTTGACAGTGTGTGTGAGAGAAAACTCCTCCTGCTTATATATATATATAAACACACTTATTTACAAGGCGACACTTGATAAATTATGTCCCCTAATAGATACAAAGACTAGCATATGTACACTTTTAAGTATTTTAATTAAAAGCGAGCGATTTATAGTTTAAGTAGTCAAGAGCATTCATTATGCCGCACATGAACTCTTAGTTCTCCATCTTTCAATATCGATTATATAAAAATGTATTTTCATTAAGAACTTATGGGTGATAAAGTAAAAATAGACAGAAAAAAAAACGCATAGAAATTCATCAAAGAAAGATGCAATGCAATATGCAAATGTTTCCCTCATAAATGGAAAATAACATTTTTAAAAGGAAAAATGAAAAGGGACAACCCAGGCGCGAAGGACAATATTGTCCAGATCCCACTAACAAGAACAGGGACAGTCTAGTAATTTCCCTCCCAGCAGAAGCAGCTAGGCCCCTTATATATGTTGCGGCACTTAGGTATTTTTCGACAGACCTCACTCTCTCATCTCGTCGTCACTTTTATGTGGCTCAGCGTCTCTCAGGTGAACTCTCTAGGGTTTCATTGCTTCTTTTTCCAGTTATAACAGTTCATTTTCCCTCTATTTAGTCGGGTAAATCTAATGTTTACGTACATACAAATATATCGTAGTTATTTTTTATTTTATTTTAAATTTTCTTTAATTTATTGCTGTAGTTGTGAATTCGTAGTTGTAAATTTCGCTGAGAAATAAAGCAAAATATGTGTTTAGTTTAGCCTGATGCTGTAAATATAAAGTTTTACGCATGCATTTGTTTTTAGGGTTTGTGGGAAATTAGCTAGGGTTTAAGGTTTCGGAGCTTGATTTGGTATTTGGACAGTGTGTGGGTGAGGAAAACTGTGTTAGTGACGTGTTTGATTAAGGATTACCTTGACATTTTTTGATCTGATTCGCTTATTAAGCGCTTCTACTGGATCCATGACAATATTTAATCTAATTATTCCTGGTGTTGAACTTAATGGATGTCTGCATGTTTAGATTCTTACTGGTGTTAAGTGGTTTTAGTCGTGGATTACGTCTGGAACTGTGACAATTTCTATGTCCAGTTTGGTCGTTTTTTCTGACACCTTGAGTTCCAATTTACATGGAGAACATAGCATATTGTGCTGGGGTAATTGAGTAATAGTTCAATTTTTAGTTTTTATTTGTCAGTTTACTAATGACTTTGGTGATGACCTCAGTGATGTACGATTACTTCATTATATCAGTGGTTATATCAGCTTGAGTTTCATTTCTGGAAGACAAAAAATGACAAAGAAGAAGAACCCCTGGGTTTTTATGGATGTGTCCGTCGATGGCGATCCTGTCGAACGAATGGTTTTTGAGGTACTGTTTGTGAACTAAAATAACTACTGGATATATCTTCTTTCAGCATAATGAATGATGTGGTTCTTGCTGTTTGTCTCCTGCTCCTGCTATGTGACTATCCTTGCATTTCCTTTTGAGTTTGACCTTTAATATTTCCTTGGCAATTGTTTTGCAGCTTTTCTCTGATGTTGCTCCCAAAACTGCAGAAAATTTCCGTGCTCTATGTACAGGTAGTATATGCTGTAACTTTCATATAGCTCGTGTAATGACATATTCGTCTCTGATAACCAACTTGTGTTGTGCCCACGAATTCCTATATGGACATGAACACTCACCTAATCAATTTCTTGTAATGATTATAAGATTTCACTTTTTTTTCCCCTTTGTGGCCAGTGGAGGTAGTCAGTTTCAAGGAGTATTGTATCAGACTATAACCAGAAGGCTTGGTTTTCTGATATCTTATTGTTTTGTTGAATACTCAGGGGAAAAGGGGATCGGTCCAAAAAGTGGAAGACCATTGCACTACAAAGGGTCTTTTTTCCATCGCATTATAAAAGGTTATATAGCACAGGTATGCCTCCTTGCCTTACTTTTAGATTTGTCTTCATAGAGGGTTTTCTGGTTGAGCATGCCTTAGCAGTGGTTTGTCTTTTAGTCAGTTACCCTTGTTTATTCTGTAGGATACAGGGCTGATGGTCACGACTGCTTTTCTTGTGATATAGTTTTAAGGTTGTATTTACTAAGTTGTGTATCCTCAAAATTTTACTAAGCTTTGTCATGCTCAAACCAGTTCTGCATTCTCTTTTCCTTTTTACCTAGAGGGATTAATGACTCTTGTTTATTTTGCAGGGTGGCGATTTTATCAAAAGAGATGGTATGTATTATGTATTCTTATTTCTCTGCAGTCATTATGTTTAACATCCCATTTCTTCCATCATCTTGCATATTAAACCTAGACCAAAATCATGTTTCACATTGTCTGACTCTTAAATCATTCAATTAGATTTTCCTTTTCTTTAAGCAAAGGGTTTGATTAGATTACCAGTTCTTTGGAAATGCAATGAGTAGAAAATAGAGAACTGTTGATGAATATAGGTTTAAGTTAACAAATACTGATTTTCAAGAAATTCTATAAGAAATAAAGGGTTGATTACAGTCGGGTAAAACTTATTTTCATGCAATGATAGTAGATGAAAGAGCATACTATTTATCTGAAATGATGCTTATAATAGTGTTTGAAAAGTACAATTACCAAAAGAAGATGGCAGATTGCAATCTGTTTTAGATGAATGCTGTTAAATGGTAAATATAATTTCATTTAGGCTTTCGCATTGTGATTTGAACACCAATATTCATGGCTGATAATTATATTGATGTTTGTCGAGTAGGAAATTTATTGGAAAATACCAATGCTGTTTTATGCATCTTGGTGTTCTGAGTTGACAAAAGGCGTTGACTTTGTAATAATAATTGAAGATCAAGTTCTGATTGTGTCTATTAGGTCTTAAGTTTACTTCTTTCTCGTTAGCGGTAAAAGACTACGGCTCTGTTATGTTTGTGCAAATACCGTTTATCATATTTTCCTGAACTTTTGCTTTAGGGTTTAATTCATAAGTCCATGTTGGTTGAAACTATGATGGTTTTGGAAAATCAGGAGGGTCTTGCTTGAGCTAAAAATGAAGTGGTATAGAACTAGGTGGGAAGGAGATATCCAGAATAGCCTGTAACACAATCGTTTCCAACCATGATTCCCAAGGTCCCTGGATTGGGAAAGGGATCAATCCCTGGTGAGCTGACCTAGAGGCATAAATTGGATCTTGGGCTGTATAGCAATATGAGTTGTGATATCTTCATTGCTTTAAATCTATTGTTGTAAAAAAATTGCTGTAAATCAACTTTTTATTTTATTTTTTATGAGCAAAAGTTTAGTACATGAAAACTACCAAAGACAACATTATTTTGGTAATGCTGCTCATTTTATGCATTTAAGCCTAATGATGCCAAGGGTTGTTTGAGGTCCTCCTCAACATGACTTGAGTTTGAGTTTTACGTCTTTTATGTTTGTTCTGCAGGTACAGCTGGTGAAAGCATTTACGGTGAAAAGTTTCCAGGTAACAGTGTGATCATAGCATTTTCTTCACTTTCTCTCTATTTCTTCAATCTTTCTATAAGCCCAAATATATACACGTGTATATCAATACACTATGTTGACTTCACTCTTTGGTGTCTAAATATGTAGCCATTTTGCTGCCCAGTTAGTTTGGTAGTATTGAGTACTTATGATTGTGTCTAGTCACAAGCTTGTTTTAGTAGGGATTGTATTCATTGATAAAGAAAATGGTTGTTTATGAATGTGCCTAGTTCTTTCTGTTAGTATGTGTTTGTTTTGTTGTTTAGTTAAGTAATAGTTCAACATTATTTATTTTGGGAATGTTCCTGAGTAGTACTAAATATTAGTTGACATTTTGCTTCAGATGAGTTGCCTGTGCTAAAACACTCTGGACCTGGCATTCTATCTATGCCTGTTGCTGTTCGTGACTCTTTAGGTTCTCATTTCATTATCACCTTTGCGGCTAACCACAATCTTGACAGGTATGCTTTTTTGTTTGTATGTTAAATTTTTTTGTAAATAATTCGTACTGTTCCCTGTTTAGTCTGTAGTCTCATAAATGGTGGTAATTTCTGATTTCCTCAGTCAGTTCAATAGCTTGATCAGATGTTTTGGTTTCTTCAGTCTAATCACAGTTGTGTTTGTGTATCACTTTTCAGAAAGCATATAGTTTTTGGGAAGCTTGTTCAGGGGCATGAAGTCTTGAAAAAGATTGAAAATGCAGGTGATGAAGATGGGAATCCAACTGTATTAGTTAAAGTCATCAATTGTGGTGAACATAATGAAGGTAATGATTATGGGAGAACTAGTTTGGAGTATCTTACCTAATTTCTGAGCAATATGAAATAGTATTGGTATCTAAGAGCTATAAAAAGCCTGAGTTTTTCTGTAGTACCATACTTTTTAATATCGTTAATTGTTTTATTTGAATGTTTGTATGTGCAGACAAAAAGAAAATAAGTAAAGTGAAAGTGGGAAAGGATGCTTCTTCAGATGCTAATAGTCATGAAGTGAGGCGGAAGGGAAAGCACAAGAAATCTTCTAGAGATAGAAGGAAGAGGAGGAGAAGGAGATACGATTCAACATCTGAATCAGACAGTTCCTCTGATTCTGAATCGGAGTCATCCGAGCCAGATAGTGATTCTGATTCATATGTGTCCTCATCGACTGATGCTAGTTCTTCAAGTGATGACAGGCGTAAGAAAAGAAAGAGATCTTCTAAAAGAGACAAGCATAGACGTGGAAAAAGGCGGGATAAACGGCGTGACAGAAAGCGAAGGCGGCGGGATAAGAAATCTAAGACCAGATCAAGAAGGTTGTATGCTGAATATTTATTTATAATTCTAAAGTCCCTTTTCTGGTTCACCCATGACTGCTTAGACTTTTGTATAAACAATTTTTGTGTACTTACCACTTGAGCACTTGCTTATGTACAGCCACCGGTCCTTGTCCTGTGTTGTTAAAAGCGTTGTTACATTGGTTGATGTTGCCTGTTATGTGTCTTAGTTGTTAGCAGTGGAAGAGAGAGCTGTGTCTTAATTTACATTTTTGGATCATTGGGAGGGAGTAGTTGAAGGTAGGGCAGTGTATAGTTGGTCATGTGGATTCATTTTTGTTGGGTGAAACAAAACCGTTATATATTATTTTTCTAAATAGGAACACCTATTTGAAACATGGTACATGTTTTATTAAGTCTACAATCTGATGTTTTTAATTCTGTTCTTAAGGGCATCGGACGGTCTTACAGATACCGACAGTGAAATTGAAAGTGACAGTGACCATGAACATGAAGGCCTTGATGCCAAAAGGAAGGATCGAAAGTCTAAGGATACTTCTGAAAAAGCTGGTACTTTAACTAATTTCATTTGCTTCCATTATGCATTCTTAAATTGTGGCACTTCCGTTATGATAATTATTGTTGCTGTGCTTTCAATAACAGTTTCTTGTGTTTTATTTTTCCAGAATATATTTGATTAAGCTGCCATCAGTTTTTTACCTTAAGATCCTACTTGTTCATTTCCTTCAGTTGGTACTTTGTTTCTTTTAATTAGGGGGCTGGGGGGGGGTGGTGTTTGGGTTGGACAAGTAAGCAACAATAAGCTGTTAGTGTTTGGGTTGTTGCGATAGGGGTTTGGGGTTCACCATCTTATTAGTGAATGGGTCAAACTGATGCTTGAACTGTGATTTTTTTTATCATTTACCTAGCCCACCTGCATGGAGTACTCAAGACACTGTTTTTGCATTCTCTTACTAATTGATTTGGGTCTTATATTCAAGCTTTTCTGTATTTCTATTCATGCTTTTCTGTAATTTCTGCAGTTGGAAACCAATCCCCCAATGCCCTGGATGATGGTGCTGCGTCAGTTCACCATAAAAAGAGGGAGGAAGCAGAAGTGCTTGAGAAAGAAGGTGCATCGCCCAAGGAGAATGGAGAGAAGCGGAGCAATGGCCATGGAGCAGGTGTTAAATATGACAAAAGTGCAGATAGACAGCCTGACATAGTTGATGATCACCCAGGAAAATCTAGGTCTTCTTTCCATTCTTGTCACACCTCAGTTATTCTTTATGCTTACCGATTCTTCCAGATCTGGTATTTTATTAAAAGTTGATGAGCAGGAGCCGAAGCTTGAGTCCTAAGAGGGCCATGAGTAAGAGTATGAGTATTAGTCCCAGGAGGAGTCTGACTAAGAGCCCAAGCTTTAGTCCCAAACGGAGTGAAAGCAGGAGTTCAAGTGTTAGTAGAAGCCCTCCTCGGGCCCCTCAAAGGAGCAGGAGCATCAGCAGGAGTCCTGTTAGAAGTGATAGCAGTAGAAGCCCAGCCAGAGGTTTCAGCAGAAGTCCAGTGAGGGGCCGGAGGGGTAGGAGTCCAGTGAAAGCGCGGTCTCAAAGAATCATCAGGAGTCCTGTATCCCGCCCTAGACGAAGTGTAAGCAGGAGCCCACCAAGGAAAACATCGCATAAATCATTCAGCAGAAGCCCTGTAAAAGTTCCAAGAAGCATAAGCAGAAGTCCACCTAGAAAAGCACCGCATAAATCAATTAGCAGAAGTCCTGTCAGAGCTTCAAGCATAAGCAGAAGTCCACCTAGAAAATCGTTGCTTAAATCAGTTAGCAGAAGCCCTGTAAGAGATTCAAGAAGCATAAGCAGAAGCCCAGTGAGATCTTCTCGAAGGAGTGCAAGCAGAAGCTCTGGTAGGGTTCCTTCTAGGAAAAGCACTAGCCGCAGTCCGTTCAGAGCCCCGACTGGGAATAACCGTCGTAGCTATTCAAGGAGCCCTAGCCCAGTAGTGCGCAGGGTAAGGTCACCTCCATCACCAGATCGGGGGAGGAGCTTGTCCAGAAGTGTTTCACCTGATGGGTCACCGAAGCGCATTAGAAGAGGGCGGGGTTTCAGTCAGCGATACTCTTATGCACGGAGGTACAGAACCCCTTCTTTATCTCCTGTGAGATCTTATCGTTATGGTGGTGGTCGAAGTGATCGTGACAGGTAATTGCAAGTCCCTGTAATTTTAGCAAAGCTCTTTTACCATATTATGTAGTGTGGATCATGTGGTGATTAAGTGTCTACCCTGTTTTTGTATATGGCCGTTTGTGTTTCTAGATATTCAGGTTACAGAAGGTCCAGGTACTCCCCAAGGCGTTATAGAAGTCCACCAAGAAGAACACCTCCTAGGTATGTGATCTTGCCTCTTATATGCTTCTGCTTTATCTACTGCGCTTAACTAGATTTCGACAATGAGGCTGCTTATGTTGAGTTGCATGTTGGTAAAACTGTATAGAGTTGAGATCTTGTTTGGTGCTTTTACAAGATTAAAAAAATGACAAAATAGGTAAATGGATATGTGCAGTACAACTTCTTGGCAATTGGCCACAGAACTTTTTGATGCCATATACTTGTGTTTCTCCTTCATTGTTCTGTTTGTGGTGGATTATGCAACCCTTGACTGTGATTTCTTTTAACACTTATCTGCAGATACAGAAGCAGAAGAAGCAGAACTCCTGTATCACGCAGCCCCCGTTACCGCAGCCGATATAGTCGTAGCCGTAGCCCCATCAGGAGTCGTAGTCCCATTCGGAGCCGTAGTCGGTCTCCAGTGGAGGTGGCTAGATCACGTGCCTCTCCTCGGGTTGAGAGGGGAAGATCTCCTTCTAGAAGCAGGAGCCCATCAGAATCAAGGTCCTCTCCAGACTCCAAGTCTCCAATTCGAACGGGGAAAGCCAGGTCTAGATCATCATCGTCGGGAAGCCCAGACGGAAAGAAGGGCCTGGTTTCTTATGGTGACGGTTCCCCGGACTCGAGTTGAAAGATAATATTGTAGTAGCAAAAGGGGTTGCTTTATCCCGCTTTGTCTGGAGCGCCTAGTGATTGGTAGTTTTTACCGGCGTTATCGACTGTAGCGTAGATTATCAATAATTGGCACGTTTAAGCATACATGTTGAGAAGTGAATATTATGTGGGTCAATATGAGGCATGCGAAATTGTTGATGTGGTTTTGTTGTAGTAGATGGAATTTACCCATGAGAATTATGCAGCTTGCGCGAGATGTCATAATTCTATGTTTTTTTGTAATTCGAGATCATTTGATTTGATTTGATATACATTCCAAGGTCTTTTACATGATGGCTGTTTCAGGTTTCGTTGTGGGTGTTTTACTTTCGACTGTCGTTGACTGGTCAATTTCACTGACCTGGAGTTTTCTGTCTGAACTCCCATAAAATATTGAACATTGTTCACAAATTTCCCCTACTTTGGAAAAGTGGAATTTGTCAAAATCAATGTCTACAGTTTTTGTATTGGGCAAATGACTTGTAGTTCCAACTTCCAAGGATCAAACCGGCCAGTTATTAATGGAATTTCTTGTCGGCTTTCTGTAAAATACTATACTCCGATATGATCAATTTCGTTTATGATTTTAGGGCATGTTTAGTGTTTCTAAAAAACTTACAAGTGCTTTTGGGTTACAAGCCTGTTTAGGAGAAGCACTTGAATTTTCAATAAATTTTTTGACCTTCTTCTAATAATCGTACTTCTAAAAAAGCGTTGATGAACAAAAATGTTTCTTACAGAAACATTCCCAAACGAGACGTTAATTTAAACGTTGAGAGTAATTTTTTTTTTTTTTTTTTTTTTTTTTTTTTTTTTTGTTTGTAGAGAGAAAAGTTACCAGGACCAGCTCCAAACATAATGATTAGTTTGAATGAATCAAATACTTCCTTTCTTAGTGGAGATTATCCTATTAAAAAGATTCACCCGATGCGAAGGATAGTTGACCCGACCCAATACAACAAAAAATGTCAAAAATAAAAAAGAAAAATAAGAAAAAATGAGCCAAAATTCTCGCTCTCTCATTCTCACAGCGACACTCGCATAAAAATTGGCACAGAGAGAGTCAAAGAGTAACAAATTGTTTCTGTTTGTGACTCAGACGCTGCAAAAATGTGGAAGCGAGTGGCATCTTCTTCCTCAGCTCAGCTTCAAGCCCTCGCATCAGCCTCATGCAGATCCTCATCTCTCAATCTCACCCGTCGGTTCCTAATCTCTTCAGCGTCTTCCCCATCGTCGACGCCGTTGCCGAGATCCCCGCCTCCCTCCTCCCCCCACGCCACCGGCGCTTCCTCTTCTGGTGCGTCTCCATTTTCTTTGTCTTTCAGAGAATTAGAGATGAAAAAATAGTCAACTTTTTGTGTTCAAGTTCAACTTTTGCTAATGTTCTGATCCTGATTAGGTTAGTCACGTATTACTTTTTGTTCTTGTCTGTTTGGTTACTGGGAAAATGTAGGAGGATCGAGGCAAAATTAGTTATTGTTGGATTTCGAAAATCAAATGTAGAATTGGGTCTTAAGATTATGATTAAATTATTAATCAAAATCTAAAATTTCTCGCCGCCGGTCCTCCTGTTGGCTCTGTGGTACAATCACAGGTCAACAGGTCCTGGTTCTACTGGCCCGTTACCAGAAAATTTAGAATTTCTAATATTGAAACCCTAATCTTCAGTGTGGTCTGAAGAGTTGGAAGTTTTATACATAATGTGTTGATTATGTTCTTTTCGTGATATCAAGCTTTGAAGAAGAAGGTTGAGGATGTTATGCCCATTGCAACGGGTCACGAGCGTGAGGAGCTTGCGGCCGAGCTTGAGGTTAATGATTACTAATGTTGTTATTGCTATTTTTCTTTTTACGTTTTAAGAATATGAGAGTTGCTGAATTATAGGCTATTTGGTGGTTTGATCTCATTATATGTTTGTATGCAGGGAAGGAACGTTCTTGAAATCAATTATCCAGTTGGTCCTTTTGGTACCAAGGTAGTGGTTCTAATTTAACTCTTGCTTTTGTTTGGATTTCTTTCATTATAGTTAGTCTGTAAAGTGGGAAAGAACTTCAAGAATTTCTAATATGTTCTTGCTACTTCATTCACAAGTTTGTTTGATAACTGTGCTCTATGACACCATGAGTGGAAATTTGTATACAATTGAAGCATTTCTTAAAACAGAGAAGCAATTTTCTTTCACTCTTCATATTCAAAGATGTATGCCTTGCATGTGGCACAGTTTTCACATTATTTTTGGTGACAATAAGTTTACATCTTCTCCAATGCACTTCGTCTCTTTCATCTCCATTTCCTCAATAATTAACTGACTTTCCCCCTTCTGCGTAATCAAAATCATATTTATGAAGAAGGGGAAATGTTTAATGTTACCACCACATTTTGCATTTCACCCTTGTACGAGATGCACTTGCCATGAGCACCTAATTTAGTTGAAAAAAAAGGGACTAATCGTCTGGATCTTAGGTTGTTTCAAGCAGGTGGGATGGAAGTCTTTTGAATGTATACCTAATCTGGATAATTCCTAATAATTCGGGGATTCCCCGTCTCTTTGGTCAAGTAATTAAAAATATGCTTACCGGTCCTCTTCATGCATCCTACCTCTCATTTCCTTGTGTAAATATTCACATTGGATAAGAAAGTGTACACCATGTCTTCCATTAAACTGACAATACGTGGTCTTCAATCAACATTCTAATGTGACTAATCCTATTATATTTCTTGTAGGAAGCACCAGCGATAATTAAGTCCTACTATGACAAAAGAATAGTTGGATGCCCTGGTATTGAGGGAGGAGGTATAGTACTCCAACTTCGTTACATCTTTCCTCGTTCCTTCTCAACTAAGTCATTCCACAGTTACAGAGCTAACTGTAATTTATGAATATTGATGTCTGCAGAAGATGAGCATGATGTTGTGTGGTTTTGGCTGGAGAAAGGAAAGCCACATGAATGCCCTGTCTGTACTCAATATTTTAAGGTGACTGACTGAGCCTTATTCTTTCTTTATCTGTAATCTGAGGGATGGTAAAATGTTTACTTTGTAGTATTTTTTACATCTTAGTACTGGATAAACTTGAATGAATAGACTTCTCTAATTTATTTTAAATTTTGTTACAGTTGGAAGTGGTTGGCCCAGGAGGTCCTCCAGATGGTCATCATTGATCTGGCTAACAAGTTTCTTGCGAAAATAAAATTTTGATTAATGTGATGAGTAGGCAGTCTTTATACTGTGTAGCTTCAATAATTCTTTTTGGTTTGCTTACCGGTGATGCTTAGTTGAGAGATTGTGCCTGACGAGGCTCGAGTCGGTAATAATTTTGGTTTCATGGTCTGTTCATTAAAACTCGATTCTTTTGAGTCGCCAATAGTTTTGAATTGTGTCTTAAGATCAAATAATCGATGACAACATTTTTTTAAAGAAAACTTGATGGCTATATTTTGATCGTAATACCTTCGTTTACTTTCTATTTATCTATTCTAAGGCAATACCAGTAAAAAATGAAGGGTAAAGAGGAGTTATTTGGATGTGAAATTCTTTTCAGCCATTTAGATGAGAGCCATTGCCCATTGGATCGCTTAGTATTTGCTGCTTGTCTTTGTCCTTTGTATTTGGGGACTCGTGAAGCTCGATCCTCGATACAATGCTCCAAAATTGCTTGTTATGGGGACCCCTAAGACCAAAGATTTTGGAGATATTCCAAGAACCCTATTCAACTAAGCATTGGAATCATCTACATTTTTGTCTTGAAGTCTCAAACTTGGGTAAATCATTTTTCTTGGTAAGTTGGAATGCATAAGCCTTAACCCTGAAGACTCTTTAAGCATGCCAAGCCCTACTCTGAAACCAGTGCTGCAAACAATGTCGTCTGCCCGGGTTCGTGAGGTGATCAGGCAGTGCCTCTCTGAGGCGCAGTCATCAGACTTTCATGAAGCGGAGCAAAAAGCTCTTCAGACCCTAGTTTCCATCACCAAGGTCAGTCCCCTAAACAGGAACTTGCTTGCACTAACAGAAGGAGCCATCCCTGCCTTACTTACCCTCTCAAAATCTTCCTCCGACATCATTCAGATTCTCTCATTGTCTATCCTCTTCAACCTCTCCCTCAACCCTGATCTAAAGCAATCTCTTGCAGATATCGAAACCATTCACCACCTGAATTCCATAATTGCCACCTTGAACTCAGAAGAGTCTGGCAGAGTTGCTTCGTCTCTGGTTTGTAGTTTAGCAATGCTTGACAAGAACAAGGCCAAGTTTGGGGTGGCAGGCACCATCCAGTTGCTTGTCAAGGCCATTGCCGGTCCCCGCTGTCCTGCTGCTCATCACCTCCTTAGCTCTCTAGCCGAGCTTGTCCGGTTCCACGGGAACTGCACACTGGCAGTGAGAGAAGGAGCTGTTCAAGCTCTTATCCAAGTGGTGGAGAGCACCGATGGCGAGGATCTAGCTGGAATTTCTCTTCTGGTTCTAGCCCTTCTTGCAAGGTTCGATGAAGGATTGAATGCTCTGAGAAAAACTGACCAGATTGTGAGTAAGATGGTAGATGTGTTGAAGGGGAGGTGCATGCTGAGCAAGGAGGGTGCAGCTGAAATCCTACTTCTCCTGTTTGAGGAAAGTGAGGGCTGTGTGAGAGATGCTTTGAGGCTGCCGGACTTCTCAACTTTGATAGCTGATCTTTCAGTCAGAGGATCGGCTCGAGCTCGAGAGAAGGCGGCTTTGCTGCTGAAGAAGATCATGGATGCTGACTTGGATTCTTATGTGGATGGAAACCCCATGTTTTCCCAGTGGTAGTAACCGGTAGCAGAGAGAGAGAGACAGCTATTATTAGTTTTGGAGTTTATGTTATGTCCCTTTGTTCAGACTTTGTTTTACAGAAAGTGCTTGATAATGTGAGAGACCTCTCTCTCTCTCTCTCTCTCTCATAACATTAATCTCAAAAAGTTCCCCTTCCAAAACTAAAAAGTCTATACAGGGAGGGAGCAAAAGCATCAAACTTAAATCTAGAATAATTAGAAAACAGTGAAAAATAGAGGAAATATCAAGAATATTGATTAATTCCAGAAACACCAGAAGAAAATAAGAAATAGTTCAGGTAAAATTATATAACAAAAAAATGGTTGGACTTCATAGTTCCTAATCATAACAGTAAGGCGTGACCCTAATACCGCCACACGGTGTAATTAAGGTAATCGAAATGTCATGTTAATTAATCCTGACAGACGACCTGCTTAAGTTCAAGTTCAACTATTTTCTGTTCATGTGCATATAAGAAAAACTCAGAAAATTGCTACATGAAGAAACAAAAAGTGAAGAAAAGTGAATACATCATCTTCATACAAATACAATACCAATTGCTAAAAACCTTTGGTGTATCAAAATTAGCTATTCGTGTGTTTGGTGCACCTTCAAACATCTTATTCATCTACCAAAGACACAGAGAATGACTCTGAGACTGGATGATCCAGATCATATAGATTCCTCCCATACACTTTTAAACTGGTCAACCCAATTTTCGTTTAAAAAAAAATTATTATTCTAGTCACTAAAACTAGTAAATTCCTCTGGAAAAAAAAAGGAGTAAAACATAATATGGACAGTATAATCATGATATGAAATATCTAATCTATCTTCAACTTTTTAAGAACCATAATTTCTACACGTTTTTGGTGTAAATTCATCAAAGTCAAATATTTATCTTAATATCTGACCCAAAAAAATATTTATCGTAGTATCGATATCTTTGTCAATATCCAAAACCCACAAATTTTCTGTCGATATTGCTAATACCCTTGAATGATTTACTTCATACATTCCCACCCCGATTTTTAACTCTTTTTATTTTAAATTATTTTTCTTAAAATGGTTGATGCCTTGGAATTTTAGAATTTAAACTTGGTTGTCTTCTGGTGTTAAGCTGTCATAAAAAAAAAGTCCCATGCAAATGCTTTTATGTGAATACAAACCATTTGGAGCTCCCCATGTCCTCCTGTCAAAGACAAACTTTCCATGTTTGCTTTGATCCCTTTTGATCATCACCTCTTTCTGTTTAATATTCCACTAAAAATATTTAATTTTTTTTTTCACCTCTAACTATGATGTGCTCTACTTTGTGATTGGGAGAGGGAGACCAAAACGGCTGAAAGGCATCCTTGGAAATACCGTTAAGAGCGGTTGGAATACCCGCCAAATGTCCAAAACTGCATGTAGCAGTTGGGCACCTAAGACAGAAAAAGAACACATTGTTTAGCAACAACAAATCAAATTACGAGTTCAAATGAAACCAAAGATTATACATCACAGTGACAGCTTTTCGTGAGAAACAAAACCCCAATCCTCTAACATAAAAGCACAACTTGATTGGTGCTAAATCCACAAGTTTCACCACATAGCTCGATCTAGAGCACATTTTGTGTAGTGTTAGGGTGTGGCACATAAATTTTAGAGTGAGAAAAGGAAAGCAAAATGAGCAACAGCACCTATCCACCTCTGCCTAGCAACCTCCTACCGGATCCTGCTAATCCGGACTGGATGAACAAAGCTGACAACGCGTGGCAGCTGACAGCCGCGACGCTGGTTGGCCTCCAGAGTGTCCCGGGGCTCATAATCCTATACGGTGGTGCAGTGAAGAAGAAATGGGCTGTGAATTCAGCTTTCATGGCACTCTATGCATTTGCTTGTGTTCTTGTTTGTTGGGTTGGGTGGGGATATCATATGTCATTTGGGGAAACTCTGATTAAGGCAGTTCCATTTTGGGGGAGAGCTGATGTGGCATTGAACCAAAAGTATCTTCTGGAGCAGGCATTTAGTGGGAAGTTCCCAAATGCTACAATGGTGTATTTCCAATTTGTGTTTGCAGCAATTACTTTGATTTTGATTGCTGGGGCCCTCTTGGGTAGGATGAACTTTTATGCTTGGATGCTGTTTGTGCCTTTGTGGTTGACCTTTTCGTACACCATTGGAGCATTTAGTATCTGGAGTCCTAACGGTTTCCTCTTCAAGAAAGGACTGATAGATTATTCTGGTGGGTTTGTGATCCATTTGTCTTCTGGAGTTGCTGGTTTCACAGCAGCCTATTGGGTAGGAAAAACCTTCTTCCTCATTCATCTTGGTTTTCTTTCTTTCAATTGCTAATCTGTTATATGAAGAACATTATGTAGCAAAATTACTTTCTCTTCAAGTTTGAAGTCTCCCTTATGTTTCACATAACACCATTGTATAAAAAAAAGTTTCAGTTCATTTCTACATTTGCTGGAAAATATGATGATCATGTGGAATCTAATTCGATGATGCAGGTTGGTCCTCGTTCCAACAAGGACAGGGAAAGATTCCCTCCCAACAACATTCTTCTTATGTTGACTGGTGCAGGACTGCTCTGGATGGGCTGGACAGGGTTCAATGGAGGAGACCCTTATGTAGTCAGTGTTGATGCTTCCTTGGCTGTCTTGAATACTCATGTATGCACTGCTACCAGTTTGCTCACTTGGCTCATGCTTGACCTCATTTTTTTCCGCAAGCCTTCGGTCATCGGGGCAGTTCAAGGCATGATCACTGGTTTGGTTTGCATCACCCCAGCTGCTGGTAAGTTCACAAAGCTACAAAACCAGCACACGTCTAAGCATATAAAAAATTAGTACCAATTACTAACGGCCATTGTCCCTAATTTTAGTGGCAAGGAAGAAAATTCATGATTAATCTACAATACCAAATTAAAAGTTTAAATGTATGACTTCTATATAGAAAAAAGGAGAAGAATGATAGATATATTAATGATATCCTTCGTTGCACTTTCAATCTCATGCAGGAGTTGTGCAAGGATGGGCAGCCATACTAATGGGGCTATTTTCTGGCTCAATTCCTTGGTTCACCATGATGGTTGTCCACAAGAAATCTGCGCTCCTTCAAAAAGTTGATGACACAATGGCTGTTCTGCACACTCATGCCATCGCCGGCGCCCTTGGTGGAATCCTCACCGGTCTCTTTGCCCATCCAAGGCTCTGCTTCCTGTTCACTACCTCATATGGACAGTATGTTGGCCTATTCTATGGTTTTAAAATGGGAGTTGTCCATACCGGGTTTCGTCAACTGGGAATTCAACTTCTTGGGATATTTTACGTTGTCATACTAAATGTTCTAGTTACCAGCCTTATATGTGTTTTGATCCAATTCATCGTGCCTCTAAGAATGTCCGATGCGGATATGGAGATCGGTGATGAAGCAGCTCATGGGGAAGAAGCTTATGCCATCTGGGGTCAAGGTGAAAAGCTTGAAAATTCTAGGTATGGATATGATATTCAGTCATCAACCAAAAGTAGACATGCTGCTGGCCAAATTGAGATGGCCTAACTTTTCCATTTTGTACTTGAGACATTGCCAGATTCTGATTGAGCTCCTATCTCTCTCTCTCTCTCTCTCTCTCCCTTTTCTGGATGTGTAAATTAATAATTTTGCAGTAATTCCTGTAACATGCTCTAAATTTCCTCAGGAAAATTTCAATAAAACAATCCAATTTTAAATTGAACACTTGATCAACAAGGCCATATTGAATGAGTTTTTTTATTTAAACCCCACAATTTCTTTGTTCACCCCAATACTTAAATTATTAAACTCTTAAGTTTTATATTGTGTAAAAAGACAAAAAAGTCATTCAACTTAATACTTAACACTAGTACATCTATGCTCATGTTAAGAAGCTTTGATCTCCTTTTATTCAGGAAGCAACTAGAAGATGGTATTTGAAGTTGCTCTTTTGATATCCCTTCATGGACTATCTAATAAGCAATGATCTTATCTTTGGAAACTACCTCAGTGCTTTGAGAATCAGCTTTAGACACTGTTTCAAAGGTTTCTTTGATTTCTTCTTTCACCAACATTCAACTCTTCTGGAGCCAATTCAGAAACTTTGAGCTCCCTGGGCTCTTCCTTGTGCAAGATTGTCTCTTCTATTGACCTCGCAACAAATAAATCTCCCCATCATTTTCATCTTTTTTTTTTTTTTTTTTTTTTTTTTTTTTTTTTTTTTTTTTTTTTTTGGGGGATTTTTATTTTTTTATTTTTTTTTTGATGGGTGTGTATTTAGAGGTAGTTTGGGAAGATAGTGAGGTTTTCTTAGAAATTGTGAAAATTTGAATTAAAAGTTGGGGTGAACTTAGAATATAGGGTGAACAAAGAAAAGTGCGGGGTTTAAATAGAAAAACTCTATTGAATTGTGCATTTGTTGGCCAACTGAAAAAGAAACAGAGTTGTGTTGATAAAAAAGAAAAGAAAAAAGGAACAGAGTTGATCATCTGGCTATTACATATCTTATTTAGTTAAATCATACCACTATATATACTCTTTATCATAACATCACTGTCAACACCACAGCTATCATCATCATTTCTCTCTTATTTAAAACTTCCCAGACATAAAATTGGCATTGAGAATCATATATGCTAAAATTTAACATCAAATTATACTTTCATCTGAACCAAATAAAAAAAGAAAATGATGACAAGTTAAGCCCATTAATTAGAATTTTTTAAAAGCTATATATCTGCATATAAGTTCAGCTGAAAAGAAAACTATATGCTATTTTGTTTCTGGTAAATAAATAATGCATCATTCAACACCAAACAAAGAGAACAAACACAGGGAGAGCTCCAAGAAAAAATCCAAGTTAGAATGCAGCAATTAGAAACAACCAGCCACAGCCTAAAAAAGCAACAGGCTACAAAGCAGCAAAGGGAGCAGACCAAGCAAGAAACAAAACAAACTGCCAACCAAGAAGAAAATGCTTATAACAGCACCCAAAAGCTGGACCTCATTAGGAGGAAGAACCAAAACAAAAATTGTTACTATGAAGCCCGTGAGGCATAGCTCAGTTGGTTAAGCATTTTCACTTCTACTTCAGTCATGTGGTTAGAGGTTCGAAATCCCAAGACACCCAATGAATATTTGCATGAACCCCGTTTGTAGTGTTCAATTTAGTTTTTCAAACCTAGGCAACCCAGGCATCAAGACTAAGTATAGTCCGGTAACTTCGGGCCCAGCAGAACCGCAGAAGCAACAGGCCAGGCCCTACATACATATAGTTGTTTTTTGTACGGAAAACATTTTAAGCCCTATATCACATGAGTACCTAGCTGGGCACCTTGTTCAGCAAGCACACTGAAACCTGTTTCTACTTCTGTATATGTATTATATATATTATAGTTGTCACAAACTGGCATTTGGCACAAGAATTTAAACCCTATCATTTATAAAAATACCACCTTAATGAACAAGGAACCTGTAGAGTGGAGAATATGTGGGATGTGTAAATTATATAAAAATTCAGAAAATGCCCGACAAACCGAAATATTATTCGTTAAGAATCGTTAACTTTTAGTCTAATCTCCATTTCGAGGCATTAATTAGGTCACAATATTGAATTGTTTAGGCTTTGATGCAGAGTAAAGGAATCACAGTATGTGATTTATAGGTTAAATAACCAGAAAGCATGAGTGCAAAATCTGTCTGAGCCCCATCCCATGATTATTCCAAAGGCAAAGAAGATTGCGAGTCACTTTTTGTGTATTAAACCAAAGTTGCTCTCCTTGCACACAAATACAATAACCATTGATTCTGCTTTCAATGAGTGTGAGTTGACAACTTAAAAGGGACATCTCAAAGTTACATAAAACAAAGCACAAAAACTTTAGGACTTTTCTTTGTCCTAAATTCCTATTAGAGACCATATAATTTAGCTGGATGATGAAGACATGTACATTACACCTAAGACGTTAATTTGGGAACAAAAAAAGAGAAGTCATCAATCTTTTTCCTTCAAGCAGACAAACTCTCTTTTTCATTTTCAAAGTAAGAGTAAATACGCGCTCTTGAGTTACTTCGAGTAGTGAGGGACCAATGAGTAAATAGGTTAAGATTAAGATAGGTTGAGAGTTGGAATTTAACTCTTTTCAATATAACCATAAATAGTTCAAGGAAATTAACATGAAATGGGGATTTGATCGAGAGAGTCTTGTTTGTATAAAATCAATATATACTTATATTTATTATATCTAAATTATATCTAAATACAAAGTAATAGAAATAAAATAGAATTATCTTTGAATCGGATATCTGCAAAAGAAATATTAGCTCAATTTTTACTCTTGTAAATTTAAAAAAAGAAGAAAAAAAGTGGAGAAATATACTTACAATTGCAAGAGGCCTATGAGTCTATGACGCATGAGAGTTGGCATCACATACACGTCGACAGATAGAGGTGTGGGAAACAAATTAAATGCCATTTGTCAACTAGGTGAATTTAAAACATTATAAGATTAAAAATAGAGAATTTTTAAGCCTTTTATTTAATGAAAATGTAAATTTATTTTTCTAAGGAGATTCTATTCCATGGTTCCTAAATTACTTATGTGCCCTATGTACGTATTCTTTTTTGGGGGGTGGGGAAGAAAAAGCAGAAAAGGTGTTTGCATTTGTTCTCAAGTCTTTTTGTTGGTGCTGAATTTGTTTTTAGTCATTGGATGAGAATTTAAAATGTCTTATTAAACTTGTGTAAAAAAAAAAGAAAGTCTTATTAAAATTGTTTATGGATTAATATATACTCCAAGTGAATTAACATAATTTTTGGGTTTTTCTATTTAAACTCCATAGTTTTCTTTATTCGCCCTAATACTTCAATTATTAAGTTTTTAAGTTTTATTATATAAAAAAAAAAAAAAAAAAAAAAAAAAAAAAAAAAAAAAGGACATCAACTTAATACTTAACCCTAATACATCTATACACACAACCCATCACTCTTCATATTAAGTTTTAGAAAAAAATACAAACTCCTCTACACTCTATTACTAGATTACTATTTTTTTTCAATCCAAGAAACCTATTATACTCTCATATTCTCTTCGCAAAACCCTAAATACTGTATAAAAATAGTGGCTTGTGGGTCGTCAATTAAGTTTGACAATAGTGTTTTTCTCCTTAAGTAATGTGAGGTTGAGGTGAATGGTGAGGGGCAAGCTAGTGGGGTGTGGGGTGTGAGGTGTGCTGCTGGGTGTGTATTTAGGGGTAGTTTGGAAAGATAGTGGGGTTTTATTAAAAATTATGAAAATTTAAGTTAGAAGTTAAGGTGAACAAAGAGAAGTGTGATGTTTAAATATAAAAACTCTAATTTTTTTAGTTAAAAATAGAAATGAGAAATAGAGATGGAGAAGTTCATTCTCTTCTTTCTTCCTTCTTTTCGTAATGTCCTCTTTGTTTCTCTGTTTTGAACTGTAAACCTACTAAAGTTTTTATCTTTCTTAATTTTCTAAAGTGGGAAAGTTGAATTTAGCTAACATTATGTTTATGAAAATTACAAAAAAGAAAAAGAAAAAAAAAATCTCTTACAGTATGAGCCAGGTTAAAAGAAGTGGACATGGGAAGGGCATTTTGGTCTGGGCATTTAGGAAAAACCTGTAAGAAAATGATTAGTTTTCAGACCTTGTGGGTGGGTTTCCATCTGTGTGTGCTTGTGGCTGGTTTTTGAGGTATGATTCGTGTGAACAAACAAAATAAAAGGAGTGAGAAGGAGAGTGACAGAAAGTTGTGGGAAAGAAAGAAAGGCAAAAACAGAGGAGAAAGGGGAAAGCCCATATTCTTTTGGGTTTAGTCCCATACCAGGTTGGTACAAAAAAAGCTTAAACCTCACCTTTTCTTTTTCACTGGCAATATTCAGTTTATATATTTTTCTTAGATCCTTTTGTGAACATTTCAACTTCTGTTTTTGTTTAATGGGTATCTGTCACTCATCAGCCATTTATATAAAATGCCATTTTGATTTTCTTTTGGAGGAAAAAAAATGGAACTTTCTTTCTTCTTCCAGGAAGAAATGTGATTTGTGGTTGTATTCTTGGGTTGCTGTAGTTGAAGTGCTTTACTTTGCCCGCTGGCCACTAGCAAAGATTCTCTCTTTCAATCTTTGTGAGCTTTGCAATCTCAAAGTCTTCGATAGTTCATTTTCTGCATTGATGTGCTTTCATCTATCGTCACTTATTTGCTCATAAAGCCTACTAGCTTTTCCTGTCCCGTCTTTACTTGGGTGCCTTTCCCTTTCTGATATATATTTTTAAGAGCAGTGTATAGCCGGTGTAAGGAGTGACATACAGATTCATGGGTTTTATTACATATTCAGCCCCCTATATGGGTATAAATAGATATGGTCAATATTGGTTTTCCTCATTGCAGGAAGTCACCTTAGGTGTGTGCATATCGTATATTTTCAGGTGGAAGGGATGAGCTGCAATACCTCCAATACTGGTTCTGGTTAGTCGTTTTCCTATGCTGGTGTCTATATTATTTGTATATGGAGTAAAGTTATTTATAAGGACTACTTATTGTTGGTTCATGCCCATATCTTGATCATTAGGCCTGCTGGTTTTATGTTTTAAAAGTTGTTGCTTCAATATGTCAGGTAGTAGAACTCCTAGAAGGACGTTTGAGTTTGGAAGGACCCATGTGGTCAGGCCCAAAGGGAACCACCAAGCGACTATAGTTTGGCTACATGGCCTTGGAGATAAGGGCTCAAGGTATTAATGCTATTCTTTTGCAGACAATAAAAATTTTCTATTGTGATTTAAGAACGGGTGCTTGTGATAATTTGTCTCTGTTTTTGGGTGAAACTTGTTCCCGTTAAACCAATTCATCAGTGGAATTGAAATTCCTATGCATGATTAAATTGTAGCTTTCCATTTCAGATATATACATGCAATACAGCTGTTATGTTTTACTCAGCAGGGTTTGTGGACGTGCATGGATCAGTAGTTATGATGTTAAGAATGTGGAGTTTTATAATCACCTACTTGAACCTGATATTCTCTCTTTATATGAAACATATGGTTTGGGTTGGTTGATTCCTTTCCCTTTTAAACGAGCATATGCCTGAAGAGCATGGTGGACTTGTTTGTTTCCACATAAAAGACAAAAGAAGGGGAATTGGAGAATGTCAATGTCTTTCTCCTGATCTAGCAAAATCTGTTATTTAACTAAGTCCTTGATTCTGTTGCATTTTAGAAGATTCTATTTCTGATCGAATTGATGGGGGACCGCAATACTTCCATGAACCAAAAGACAATGTGATCGGTTGTCTTTTCCTTCGTCTTCTTCAAATTGATGTTGGGGAGGTCATGAATCGAGTATTTGAATATTCCAAGGCCTACAATAGGGGACCACTTCTTCACTAGCTTAGTTGCCCTTTCAAATGTATCAAATTGAAATATACTATTCATTAATAATTTATATAGTACAGATGCAGGACTAATTAATCACCATTATTCCTTTAGTGAAAGAGGATTGAACCATTTTGAGCTAAAACAGATATATCCAAATAGCATCAAACTTGTACAATTATCGATTAGGTTTATGCTTAACCTTGATTATACGTGCTCCCCAAATTAGATTTGATATGCTACTAAGAAGTGTTTCTTAAATGATACTGTAATTATTTTCAAGCTTGAAGTGTGCTACCAATCTTCTAGCCGTTGGACTCAAAGTATTGTGTTATTAGTTTGGTTAATCATTAGTAACTAAGCTGGATTATTTCCACTTTGTGCTTTGTTTTGCAGCTGGTCCCAGCTTTTGGAAACCCTTCCTCTTCCAAATGTAAGGGTGGCTTTAAGTTTCATTTGTCATTATGCACATGCATATTCAACATTCATCACCAGCAGCCTTAAACCTTCTATTTAGAGAATATACTACTAAGTTTGTTTAATAGTATTTATTGGCTGTTTCTGTTTATATTATTATACAGATTAAGTGGATTTGTCCTACTGCTCCTTCTCGTCCTGTAGCATTATTTGGTGGATTTCCTTGCACTGCCTGTAAGATTTATTGCTATATTTTCTGTATTTATCTTCGTGCTGAAAACCATCATGAAATTCTAGATTATCTGTGAGCTTTATCACATGGACATTGATTGCCTAAAGATACATGTCATCCAGTAACTAGGGTAACAGTTTGGTTTATATTTCTTTTCATATTGTATGTGTAAAACATAGTCTAAAGTGTTTGAGTGATTTATTACAGGGTTTGACATGGGGGACATTTCAGAAGATGCTCCTGATGATATGGAGGGGTTAGATGCCTCAGCAGCGCATGTTGCAAATCTTTTGTCAACAGAGCCTGCTGATAGTAAGTTCCTTTTCTTGAAAGCTCTTAAAACTCTAGTATCTTAGTTATATTTGTTAGAAAAATTTCCAGTTAAAGGATTTATAAATAAGATATTGGGGCATTGATTTATCTTGGTAGAGATAGAAAAGAAAATATAAAGAGGTCTGGGATTGTAGACCTGTACTCAGATTTCAAACTATGTTTACCTTGTTAGAATGAAGATATAGAATGACATAGTCAAATTTCTCTGCAGATTCCATCTTCCCCTGCTCCTCTACTGAACTATAGTGAACTTATTTAATCTTGTTCATACAGCTTTCCTGAATCATGACTTAACTAAGGAAAAATGTATACTGATCGGTTCTCCCTAATATCTTCTGTGTTTTTCTCATCATGTTTATTTAGTTTTGTTTGTATTATTGAATTAGTTCATTGCATAATTTCATTTTACCAATCGAATTATGTACTCTCACGTGATCTTCACCTTTACTATTGAAATATCTCTGACTTATCAAGGTTGTCAGGACTAGCAAAGATATATGCATTCAATAATATGGTAACTTTTCACATAGAATTAGACTGGAGGAAACTGGTTGTTTCTCAGTTATTACCATAAAAATCTATGGGGAGGATAATTAATGATGTTACATTAAAGTTGGAGATCAGATATTCTTGTAAAATGATTAACTGCGTAAAATAATGTGTTATTCAGGTAATTGCTTTTGTAGGAATCACAGATGCTTTATGTAACTCGTGTGAATTGTACTATTGTGAACAGTAAAACTCGGTGTTGGGGGCTTCAGTATGGGTGCTGCAACTGCCCTCTACTCTGCCACGTGCCGTGTTTTAGGGCAATATGGGAATGGAAATCCATACCCAGTTAACCTAAGTGCAATTGTTGGTCTAAGTGGATGGCTTCCATGTTCAAGGTTCAGCTTCTGTCGTGTGCACTGACATAAATTTGCTTATGCACAACACATAAGCACAAGCTATTAACAGTCAGTTCATCTCAGTAGTTCTTTGCTTTTTTGCTCTATCTGTAGAACTTTGAGGAACCGGATGGAAGCGTCGAATGAGGCTGCAAGGCGTGCAGCATCCTTGCCCACTTTGCTATGTCATGGCTTAGGTAGAAATATTCTTCTCATAAATGGTACTTATAGATTCAATTTCTTCCTTGGAGGCTCTCTCCACCCACCTCCCATCCCCAAAAATCATATAGAAGAAGTTGCAAGTTACTGATTGTTCAGGTTGTTTGGTTAAAATTGTAATTCCCAAGTTTATAGGCACAAATGTATGTGTGATGCCTTCATTCTTCATTGCAGGCGATGATGTGGTCGCATATGGACATGGAGAGAAATCTGCACAGGTCTTAAGTTCAGCAGGATTTCGAAATCTAATGTTTAGAACATACAACGGGTATGTGATTCTGCCTTCATTCGGGACGTACATTTTGTTCTTTTCAATATCAATTTCAAGAATGCATGGTTGTCAATGCAGGCTGGGGCACTATACAATCCCTGAAGAGACTGATGACGTTTGTACTTGGCTAACTGCAAGTTTGGGGCTCGAGGGATCCCGATCATACTAAGATCGGTGAATGGCGAGGTGACACGGGAAATACAAATGAGGAGATTATTATAAAAGACGATTAGAAGAGGCATACTAGAATAGGTTGTGGTATTGGGTATATTATACATACGGTAGTGGCATTTCTTATAGCTTCTATTGCCGTATAATCTCCCTTCTCCTTTCTGTTGCTTTCTTTTTCTTCAAATAATGTCCTAGCTGAGGCTCACTCGTGTACTTGGGCGCTGGTTGCTATGAGATTTGTATGGGCGCTCTCGGTTCGGGTGGGGTATGGGAGCTAGATAGTCTCTTTCTCCGCATCCACCAAATTTTGTTGTTTTGATAATAAAGTGATTGAATATATTTCTCCGTGCATCACCCTAGCATTTGAATTGGTTGTTGGTGCATGTAAACTGGAAGATGATGAAAGTTTTAGCCTTCGCACTTCTGTACAGTTTCAGCCTTCAACACAAGTGCTTCATTTTCCAAAGCCAATTAGAGTGGTTGTAAGTTGGGCCTAAAGTTAAAATATATGATATTTTGCTTGGTCCATAGGCCTGGATTAACCGATGGATTCTCCAGATCCATAAGACTAGCCTGGATTACCACTCAAATTAACCCTTCCCAGCCCTCAAGTCCACAACCCAAATCTATTTGAATATCATGAGCAATTCCCTCTAAATTACAGAAACGGTAACTAAAAGCATGAGCAAAACACAAACTATATGGTTTACAAGCCACTTCTTGCTAAAACACGTTGTCTCATTCTTCCCTTTTCCCACCTAAACATATTCTCCCTAATTTTAGTAGTTTTTAAGAGGAAAAAGAAAAAGAAATGTAATAATGTCGAACCAATCATATCGAAGTATAGGAGATCCTAATAATTGATGAGGGCCAAAGTATTTATTGAATAAAACATAAGTTATACTATAAGATTGTCATTTGCTTGCCCAAAGATGCATATTTAATAATGGCGTGTCAGCTGATCTGATATACAAGATAGTGGCAACACAGTGGAGAGGGAAGCAACGACTATAATCCAATAACCATGAAAATGTTCCCAAACTTAAATTACAAAAAAAATAAATAATAAAAAAACAATTTTCCCAGAATTGGGACAATTTCAGTGTAGCCATAGCCTCTAACCATAGAGGATTTAACCCAATTGAACAATTGAAAGATTTAATATAACAGAGAAATGCTAATCATGAGAAAGAAGATGACAATGTTGTGTTTCCAATTTTCTGCAATAACCTTCAGAAATTCAGCCACTTGGTACACCCACCTATATACCAATAAATGACTACTGTGATCATTATACATATACGGAATAAAATTATATATGATATCTTAAGACGTTTCCATATTCAAACCTGACAACGATTCAACCCACATAACGTTTCAACAAATGTTCTCTGGGGCCAAGTGCGAAAAGTAAACACCAGTGACACCTTGAAGTAAACTGAAACAAGAAACATGTGAAGATTAGCATTATTGATGACAACTTTAGAACTATGTATTAATAGCATGTGTTAGAATGATGAGGACTCACCGTGGACTCCATAAATGTTGATCATTTCTTTCTACCCTTATCTTGAAGATTACTCATGTTCTGAATGATACTACTGCCTTTGGAACCAATACAAGGGGTAAGGGGTGGGAACGAAGGGACAGCCTTCAATATGAACTTGCGGCCACTTCTCAAGGCCCCTGAAGAGCTTGCACCAAGCTCGTGATTGTGGCTGTGAGGAGGAGAAACCCGCTTCTTATTGGGCGAACTTACTTTCAATGACCTAATCGGAGTAGAAGAGTCCTTCAGTATCTCAGGGGTGTCATCTTGCAGAATGTCATAAAGTCCATTTTCAAAGTCAAGACCTTGGCAAGATTTCGTCCCACCTAACCGAGTCATTGGGGTGACTGGTGAACTACGCCTATGAAGAGAACTATCAGATGACAGACCGTGACTTCCAGGGCACAGCTGAACTTGTGAAGCATTTGTCCAGTCACTTGTTTTGGATGATGCTGAAGACACCATGGCCATTGAGCAAAGATCTGACATTGGAGTAATATGGCATGTAGTGGGGGCTGCATCGCATCTTGGTGAAAAAGTGTCCGCTATTCCAATGTTATCATAATCCACACGCCAATTGTAAGAACCTAAATCTGATAATTCTTTACTTGTTTCCAAAAGAATGTCACTGCTCTCTGAATGTCTCAGAGGGGATCTTGTAGATTTTTCATAAGATGATATGATGGTAAGATCAGATTCGGGTGATGGAAGGTAACTTGTAGGAAGGCATGGGGATTTCGGTATATTATTTGCATGGCTAGACAATAAATAAAATGAACAATAAAGAATTAATCAGGGATCAGATTATGATTTAGCATTTCAGGATAATTGGGACTTTTTTGAAACAAAGGAAAATTGGGACTTTAAAGTCAACGAATCTTACTCTGAGCACTGAAATGATGGCGCCAATGGAGTGACGTTGTGAGAATCGTACAACTCAGTAGACAAAATATCTTTCTTTGTTGCCACCATTTCCAGCTTCTCATCAAATGTGCTCTCTATTCTTTCCTTCCCAGCTTTGTCACTAACGTTGTCTTTACCCACACCATGCTCTATTGGAATATACTCTATAGGAAAGGAGATTGATTTACAGTGTTAAGTTACAAATAGAGATTTAATTGATAACCTTTTTCACACGATTTTTCTAGTTTACTTTCACAAGCCCATCTTTTTGAGGCATTATAGACAAAAGTAACTTCTAAAATACAAGTACATCATATACTATATTCCATTGTCAGACAATTTTCTGTGTTTTGTTTCTAGATTGTCTATCAAGACGATGATCAAGTGAAATCATGTTTTAACAAATTGACAACACAACATACCAGACTATCTGGCAAGAAGACACTATTCTAAAGTTCTATATACTATGAATCGAATATTCTTTGTTGTCCCTAGTACAAAGGGTAAAGCAACAGACTTCATCACGTGGAATTAAGAAACACATTTTCTTGGTTTAGAGTCTAACCTCCCTTCCTGCCATAAACATTTTTACATCCATCACACCGGCATCCACTGGAGCATCCAACATTTGCCTTTAAAATGAAGCAACTCAAGAGTTTAGGATGAATTGAAAAGGAAAAGATAAGATACACTGTGGCATAGAAATATAGAAACAAAATTCAAGACCTGATAGCATTCACAATATTTTTTAAGACACATTGACTTTTTGCAATTGCACCCTCTTTTGTGTCTTGCCGAGGATGGCGTGAATTGAATTTCTTCTTCCTGTCATGAGCAAATACAATCATCAAGTTTCTAAAGAAAGGTATACAATCAGAATCAATATTATATTGGAAGGGTTTAGTACCACAATATTTTTGGAAACTCACATGCTGTACAATCTTGGGAGCAAATGCAAGTGGATTACGAGATTCAATATGTTGCCTTGTCTCAAGAACTGTATCTTCATAATCGGTTATATTGAAGCATCCTTGGCAAGCACAAGATTCGGCACAATAGACTCCAGCAGCAAAACAATCACAATAACTGCACAGAAATGTATTAAAATGTGACAAATAAATACACACTTACGAATTTCCTAGGACACAAAGTAGATCAACTTACAGTTTCAAGCATTTGGTCTTCTTACAGTTGCAACGTTTGGTACCATCACTATCTTTAGTGCTTGATGTTTTTTTCCTGTATGGTCATACACGAACACATTTGAACCACAGACAATATGAAGAATGAATCCTACCACACTAAATGAAAGACCATGTCTCTGACCTTTTCTTTTTTGGACTAGATTGCTTGCACTCCTCATAATCGTCAACATTCTCAGCATCAAATCCCCTCTTCTCATGTGTAGGCACATGACGCTCAAATACCACAGTGTGAGGAGACTGGGGAACGGCAGAACTTGCAGCAATTGAAGTCTCAGATTCATCCCTGTCTTCAGGACCAGCTGAGTCTTTCTCAACCATATTCAATGAAATTGAACGGCACCTCACATTATCTGGTAAATGGGAGCTCATAACAGATGCTGATTTCATAACTTGCACACCAATGTAGTGATCTGCTAATTTTATGCTTCTTGTTGTACCACGAACCAGTGGTGCAGCATTGACTATGCTGTTTAGATGCAAGCCAATACCTGATGGCTTGGGAACAGTTGAAGGAGAGTTTCCACCAAAACGGGGTGGCAATGGGGTGCCCATCTGTCTCTTGGAAGTTGCCTTTAAGTCCGCATAAGATAATTTCACCAACTTCGATTCTCCCGTGCCGGAAGGTGGTTCTGAATAGTTAACCTCCTGTATAGAACTCAAAGAACAGTCTCTTTTTCCAGTGGCACAAGGAGGAGCCTCTTCAAACTGAAGGCAACGTCTATGCATGCCACCTTGTTCACTTCTGGCCTACATTGACCTTGCAGTTACTCTACTATGAAAAGTAAATAAATCCTAGCAGGATACAATAACCAAAAAGAAAAGGCCAGCTACTTTTGCAGGCATGTGCTTGCACTACACTAAAGGAATAATACTTCCAGCAAATAAAGGAAAAGATAAAGGAAGAGGAAGAAATCATGCTAGCTAGAAACATATCTTCGTATCTTTAACTTGGTTAATTATAAAGAAAAGATGTGCTCAAAGGAAAATGTGATTCTCGATTCCCAAAAAGGGGTACATTGGAGATTGCTCATTGTGCTTTAGAATTCAGATGTAATGGCATACCTTAGGAGCATGCAATATCATGTTCCCAATCATTCCTTTGGATATTGCACCAACATTCTCAGCAGAATTTTCATATACCTGAACAATCTGCAAACGTCCAGGAGGAGATTGAGGGGTATGATCACAATCATCCTCATGTTTACCTCCTCTATCCTGTAACTTAAAAGTTGGATTGATTGTAAGAACATGTGGAACAATCACATAATTTCTCCACAAATAATAGTGCAGTTCTTTCACTGTTTTTATTTTTATAATGTAAAGCCAAGAATCTGCAATTACCTGATCATGCAAATGTTGGCGATATTCTCTCTTGTAAGCATTATTGACGGATAAACCAGATTCAATATTTGGGCATTCATCATATTGCAACTCCCCATCACTTTGCTCTATAATTTTCACAGGCTTTGCATCAAATGTTTGCTTTCCTTCAAGGTCCTCTTTAGCCTGCTCTGATGGTGCCTTAGCTTCTGTCCCTAAGTCTGTTCCAGTATTATGTTTGTTGTCATATAAAGTAGTTTCCTTTGAGCCAGTGAATGTTTCCGGCACATTGTTTGATTGTTTCAAACATGGACTGGCTGATTGAGTAGAGTCTACACAGTCTACTTCTGAGGGATCAGCTAAGTATTCATCCACACCCTCTGAGGAGCTGCATTGCTGAGATTCCACACGAATCTTAGTCTCACAGTCCTGAGAATCAGTAATCAATCTCATATGCAATTGGGTAATTTTGGGATCAACTGGACCATCAAGGAATTTCTTGGCTTCATCCTGTGTTTTACGCTTTTCTGCACTGGATAATGGTTGATATTGAGGCCTGATCAATCACAAATTTGTAAGTCAACAAAGAGACGTCTACAAAAAACGGAACTAAAAATTCAAGAAATCTTGGACCTTTTTAGGAAACTTGTATCCCGGTGTGAATTTATACGCGGTGATGTGAACACAAGAGGAGGAGAGTTGAGTCCAGGGAACCCTTGTGCTAAATGTGAAGCCTTCACAGGTTGTATTGGTGATAGATTGTTTATGTAACTGAAAACTGGTGAGTCCTGAATCAAAGGAAAAAAATACATGAACAAATTCTCATTTCACAAACAAGTTTGACAAACTCCAAATGACTCAACTCAAGGTTTGATCAACAATCACTCAGCAGAAAGCCGATTGCACACTGAAAGACCCTAAAATCACAAATTGAACTTCTCCAGACACCACTAAACTCCCAATTTCAAAGTCCCAAAACCCTAAGTCCACCGACTATCAAGCACCAACCCCACCAACCTCAACCCACAAAAATTAAACTAAAACCCATATCCGTCAATTAACCAATGCACAAAAAACAAAAAAAACCCAAAAAAGAGTAGGTAAAGATCTACAATTAGCATAATATGGAAGCAACAGACCATAATCCAAAAAGAGAAGGATCGAAATTTGTAAGTAAAATTGAGAAAACGCAATTTACTTGAACTGGAGGAGAATCTGAGGAAGACGTGGTGTTGGCTTTGATTTTTCTAATTTCAGGTGAATCCATGGCGTGAACCCGTAGACTTAACCCAAACCCTAACCCTAAAATCCTCCGGCTGCATTTTCTTTTTCCCCACTTTACTAACTTCTTCTGAAACCGATGGTGAGAAAATTGGAGACTGAGAAATCGAGTTTTTACAATTTTTTTTTATAAGTTTTGTAAATTTGTTTTTCTCGCTTAAAAAGAAAATAAAAAGAGAGAGACGTTTAGGCAGAAGCGGCGGGATTTAAAAACCAAAGCGGGAATTGTGATTTAATGTGGACTGGAGGCAACTGGGCTGGGCTGGGCTGGGCTGGCCCTGGCCCAAAATTATGAATTTAAGATTTGAAAATTTGATAGATATTATATGGATTTATTATGTGCCTACAAACTAGGCTCCACTCATTATCAAATCCAATTTACATAACGTTTACTATATTTGCGTAGATATTTAATTAATTGAATAAAAAATTTTGAAATTGTCAAGAATGAACCCAACTTTGTCTCATGATTCGTTCTTTTAAAAAAAAGATTTTAAAACTCTTCTAAGGTTTGTTAAACAAAAAAACACAGATTTACATTTTGAGTTTTGCTATAAATAAATATATGTGTTTAAGATATATATGCTCCTTGAGTTTCAAATTTATTTTAGTTGTATGGTGATAGAAAGATAAGAATTATTTGATGTCTCCAAGGCTGTAACTTTTGATACTCATCAATTTAGTTATGTAATGATAAGTATTTGTATTCTATCACAATAAAAAGGTTTTTATTTTATTCTATGAAATATAAGCTACAAAGGTTGTTGCCCTACATGCCTTAGGTCAAGATCGAGTCGCTTCGGATTTGACTATTCAGTTGGAATCAGGGCCGGCTCTTGGTCAGGGCAACTAGGGCCAACGCCCGGAGCCCACAATTGAGAGAGGCAAAAAAAAAAAGAGTATATATATAAAAAAAAAAAAAAAAAAAAAAAAAAAAAAAAAAAAAAAAAAAAAAAAATGAAAAAAAAAAAAAAAAAAAAAAATAAAAGGAGGCATGTGTGATAATTATTGAGAGTCTTACTTGGTAGTATAAAACAATAATAAATAGGGAGTTTCACTAAAACACCCAAAATGGAGGTTGAAATTATAAAAAAACCCAACACCCAAAACACTTTATAAACTCACCCAAAACCCATCATTACACACACTCAAAACCCATTTATAAACACACCCAAAAAGTTGACTTTGGGGTTGATTTTGGGTGTGTTTCTATGTTTAAATAGTACTTGAGTTTTTTTATAAATACATGTCTAGGATTGGGTTTATTTATAAATTTGTATAATAAATAAAGGCACACACATATGCAAACAAATCTAGAAGGAAAGCGAGTTTACATTATTGTCTTCCCAAGAACCAGACGGAGACTCTTGAAATTAATTGAATTTTATTTTTGTTCTCTTCGAAATTGAGTGCGAAAACAAAGCCATTTTGAGTTGGAAACTGAGGGCCCGTTCGGTAATGTTTTTAGAGCTTGTTTTCTGTTTTTGTTTCCTGTTTTTCACAAAAACACGTTCGGTGCATCGTTTTCGTTTTCCCTCACAAAACGTTTTCTGAAAACAAATCTGACTTTGTGAACAAAAGTTGAAAATGAAAAAAAGTTGTTTTCAGTGATTTCATTTTCAGTGTTTTCCGAAGACACAAGAATGCATCCCATCAACAACTCTAGCTCTCTCTCTTGACAACCAATAAACCCACCAACAGGAACAACACCCATCTTCTCTGACCCAAAATAAACAAATCTGCAAATTAAGAAAAAAAAATACAGAGGAAGAAGAAGAAAAAAAAACAGAGACAAGAAGAAGAACCACCACATACCCAACTCAACCACCATCATCACCCAATCAAACCATCACAGCCATGGAAGGAAGGAGGAGTGGGTGTGGCTTGGGAAGGAAAGGAATAAGAAAAGAGGAAGAAAAGGAGAAAAAAGAAACGGCCTGGGGAAGGAAAGGAAGAAGAAAAGGGGAAGAAAGTAGGAAAGAGGAAGAAAAAGAGAAAAAGAAGCAGCCATGTGAAGGAAAAGAAGAAGAAAAAAGGAGGAAAGAGAGAAAAGGAGAAAAAGAAGAAAAAGAAAAAAGGAAAAAAAAGGAGATAAGGTAGTTTTTGAGCTTAATTTTTTTTCATTGTTTACAATAATTTTAGCCTCTAAAAATATCAGAATTAAAAAAATTAGAACTAAAATTAGCAAAAATACACCTGAAAAACAATTGTACTACCAGACACGTTTTCATTGTTTTTGTTTTCTAAAGATGTTTTCTAATTAATCTACCAGACGCATTTTCATTTCCTGAAAATGCAAATTTGTTTTCTTGTTTTCATTCTCTGAAAATATTCTCAGAAAACATTCTCCGAAAACGTTACCAGACGGGCCCTGATTGTTCTCTTTGAAATTGGGAACATTAGCACCAGAGCACAACATACAATACCCAAAATACAAGTTTTGCTGTTCTTTCTAAATTAAAATTATTAAAATCTTATTTGCTGACTATCATAGCTCAAGATAGACTAAATGGACTAGCAATATTATGCATTAAAAGAGATATGTTGGAAAACATTAAATATGATAATATAATTGATGATTTTGCTTCTAAAACTTCAACAAGAAGACATCTTAAAGAATAATACTAGTCTTACCACATTTTTTATACCACAATTTTATACCACATGATGTGGCGGCTAATATGTACATACCACATCATGTAAAATACTAGTTTCTGTTTTTCTAATTTTATTTATTAAAATACACTTCATTCATTTAATTGATATGTCATATGATATGGACATGCCACATCATGTGGTATAGAAATGTGGGATACTAAAGTGGTAAGTATAGCATTATTCCATTTTAAATGATCTTTTGTGATTGGGATTTCATTACTATTTTTATTTAGTAGGTGCATATGAAAGTGAAGCATGGGGACACACATGCAAGTTAATTTGTTGTTGAATGTAATGTTTTCAATCGGGTACTCTTTTTCCTTCGTTTGGGGTTTTGTTCACATTAGGTTTTCCTTAAAAAAGGTTTCAATGAGGGCCAAAGTGTTGTATATATTATCAATTTTTGTACTCTCATAATTTTAGTAAAATTTTAATTGATATAAAATTGTAATTTTATTTATTTATTTATTTATAAAGGGCACATTCTTAGACTCTGGCCCAAGGCCTTAAATCAACCAGGGCCAGCCCTGGTTGGAATGATTTTCTTTATAAGTTCTTGTCATTTCATGAGTGAGAATTTGACATATAGCTGGAGATGCTTTACAAAGGATGTTATTTTGAGCTCCCCAAACAACATCTAGAAGTGTTCGGAATTTATATTCCTAAAACTTGAAAGTGAGGTTGCATGCAACATATTCAATCTTTCCTTTCAGAATTAATAACCACACAAAAAAACCAAAAAACAAAACAAAACAAAAGGTTGACTAATGAGCCAGCCAACCTGCATTAATTATGCGGCCGCAAGAAATATTGTATTAATTGGAAACCCAAATACTAGCTAAGCTCCTCCTAGCTGTCTTCATCTACACCTCTTGCTTATGACTTACTTCATGATCAGCTTTGAACCTTCATCTGTAAATGGCCATGTTTCTTCTTCCTCTTATAATTTACTTAACATCATTCTCTATTTTCTTTCCATCTCCATCTCATGCAGCAGACACACTCACACCTTCAGACACTTTGAGAGACAATCAAACCCTGATCTCAGCCGGAGGAGTTTTCGAGCTCGGCTTCTTCAGCGATTTAATTTCAGGAAACCACTATCTGGGAATTTGGTTCAAAGCTGATGCTGCCAAGGTTGTTTGGGTTGGTAACCGCGAAGCCGCCATATTAGATTCCTCCGGTGTGCTCCAAATTCGATCAGGAAATCTGCTTCTCTCCGACCGGCGGCAGCTGCAAGTCATAGTCAACTCAGCAAATGTTGCCTCCTCCCCCAACACAACCGCAACACTTCTTGACACCGGAAACTTTGTTCTTAAAGAAGTAGATACAGGCATGTTCTGAAATTTCGATAATATCTTGGATACTTCTCTTTTTAGCAACTACCCCTATTAGATACAACAATATATATATATTTTTTCTTACATTGATATTTACTACTTTTGATGTCTACAGATACTGTTATATGGCAAAGTTTCGATGTACCAAGTGATACATATCTTCCTGGGATGAAACTAGGGTTGTTTGGCCAAAACACAACCCAACCAAGCTTTCACTTTCTGGTTTCTTGGGTAAGCCCCCAAAACCCTGCTCGTGGCCTCTTCACTTTAACCCTGGATCAGGCCAACTCCACAAAGGTGGTGGTTTGGAGAGGAGATGGACGCCATATGGATATCGCTTTCTGGGACGGGCACAACCTAAGGTTCATTTTTGACAACACAAGTAGCAAAAATGACTACAATTTTAGCTACCACCCCATTGGAGAAGATGCCTACTACACTTTTAGCAAGGGAAGATACGATCTCATGTGGTTTGTGATGGCTTCAACTGGAGATTTGGACCAGTTTTTCTTATTGGATGGAAATATTTGGTCTATAAGTCATCGTTTGTGTGAAGACTTCGCTGGGGGTAATACTGGAAAGTGCTTGAGTTCATTGCCATCTATATGTGAGAATGGTGATAGCTTTTCTGTGATGAATGGTTCGTTGCCATCTACGTTTAATAGTGGTGGCTGGATTAATATGGGAACTAGCGATTGTGAAACTTTGTGCAAGAGCAATTGTTCTTGTACTGCATTTGTTTCGGTTCAGAATGGTCAACAAGTTTGCCAACTTTATTATCAGAGTAGAAAGGATCTTTTGAAGATTGTGGAGAAGGGGCCAGGTATTGTTTACATTCGTGGTGGTGCTACTTCTTCAAGTGGTAAGTACAAAATTATCCTATAGTTTTACGAATTCAAAGGCCCTATTGACTTTTGACTCGAAGGATGGTTTTGGTTTTAGACTCATTCCTTTTTAAAAAAAATCAAAACTCTTTTCGAGCCAACGGAGTGGACTTCGGTTTATAATCGAAATCTCTTCAAATCGTAATAAAAAAGGGTTTTAGTTTAGTCAACTTAAGATTCGAATGTTTGGTGTTTTATTATCTGCTTTGCCGGCGCATGTTATATATACTATCAAATTGTCACTTTTAAATCACAAATTTTGATAAAGATTTACTTGGATGAATAACTCACATTAGTCGAAGTAAAATGGAAGATTCCTATGTGTATTATATAGTTGCCACTAAGTTAATTAACAACCAAATATTTTTAAATAGTAAACGAATCAATTAAATACCTTTTTTTTTGTGCCATGGATCGATGGTGATTAATCAGTTATTGAATTTAAATTCTTATCTTGGTGCATAGTTTAGTCAGTAATAATGTTGTTTATAGGAAGGTCGTCCTAGCTGCTTTGGAATTCTTTGGTTTGCTTGTTTGACTTTATGTAATTGAATGTGTTTTTATACAAGACGACCATATAGATCATAATCTCACCAAATTAATCTGAAATCATATGCCTGTTCAATAGCTTAGCTGCAGTTTTATATAATATATAAAAGCCAGTTGGAGTTAATTATGATATGCTGGCAAATAAGAACCGGTCCAATCTGGAGAGATGTCAAACTGGATTAAGACTCACGACTTATTGCTTTAGGATAATTAAAAAAGACAGTCTATTTTCTTTTAAATTTTGGAACAATCTTTTATATATATATATATATATATATATATATAATATCATTAAGGCACATCTCATTCAGAGATTATCCTTGCAAAAAATCATGCAAATTGAAAATCATTAAGGTATCTCATTGAGATCGACAAAATTAATGAATTGTTGGTTGTAGCAAAGATTTAGGCAAATTTCGTGTTTTAGTTCCATCAATTTTGTTAGAGTTATTAGTCCTTTGTGTACAGCAAGAAATGTTAAATACTTACCAACAAAATGGTGGCATTGTTCAGATGGGAAGAATTGGAGACTCTGGTTGGCTATCGCAGTTCCCTTGGCTTCTCTCTTGGTTCTTATCCCAATCTTCTCATTCTGCTACCTGCGTTGCAGAAAGGGGCGCAAAGGTTTGAGTTTAGTTTGATTGTTTTGTTGCATTGCTGAATGTAATTGTTGTCATTAAATTGTTTTTTTTTCTTCCTTTGTGGCAAAAGGTTGGCATTAAAATTGGGGAGTGCTATTTCATCTCTTTGTTAGAATTTCAATTTTCCATAGAAGGAAATGCTTATAGCTCAAATGGTTAAGAGGGATTTACGCATGCAATCACGTGTTCAGTACTCTGAAAAAATTGTATTGTTTTTGTGTGTGTATTATATGTATAATAATAAAAGAAAATGTCAACGATTTTTTTCCCATGACTTTCCTAGTCATGTTTTTGCCACACCATAATACATTTCTTGGTCTAATTGACTATTTAATGTGACCAGATCAAGCAACCAGACATGAAGGGATTATCCATTCAGATCAAGTGAGATTATTCCAAATGGGCTCCACCAATGCGTCGCCAATTCAATATGATGAAGTTAGAATTGCAAATATGATGGAATTAGGCAGGCAGAAGGATCAAGAACTGCCCTTGTTTAGTTTCTCCACCATACAGACTGCAACAAATGACTTTGCCAAGGCTACCAAACTTGGTGAAGGTGGATTTGGGCCTGTCTATAAGGTAAGCCATCACTTCTGTGCTTTACATTATATTCGGATAATTATCATTTGACCAATTGTCAAGAATTATAATTAATAAGACTTCTTAACCATCAACATGTTTTATATATTTTGATAATTGCAGGGTTTGCTACCAGAAGGGCAGGAAATCGCAGTGAAAAGGTTGTCCGAAATTTCGAGGCAAGGGTTGGAGGAGTTCAAAAACGAAGTCTCAGTAATTTGTAAACTGCAACACAGGAATTTGGTTAGGCTTTTGGGATGCTGCATTGAAGGAGAAGAAAGTATACTGATTTATGAGTACATGCCAAACAAAAGCCTGGATTCTTTCATTTTTGGTTCGTAAGCTCTTGACATGTTCTATATATATGTTTCATATGTTGATCTTGTAAATCCTTTTTCCTATTTTAATTTTTCTTTTGTTACAAATCGGTGCAGATTCAACCAAACGGTCAATTTTGGATTGGAGAAGGCGCATGCACATCATCGAAGGGATTGCTCAAGGCCTTCTATATCTTCACAAATATTCAAGATTAAGGATCATTCACCGCGACTTAAAAACGAGCAATATTCTGTTGGATAGTGACATGAACCCAAAGATATCTGATTTTGGCATGGCAAGAATCTTCACGGACAATGACACTAAAGGAAAAACAAGCCGGGTTGTTGGTACATTGTAAGTAGATGTTCTGCAACATGTTCTTTTTAAGGTTCATACGCAATTGGTCTTCATATATATATGGTTTTCCCTTTTCAAATTCAGTTTCTAATGCATTTTAACCTCTAATTCTTAGTGGTTATATGTCTCCGGAGTATGCCATGGGCGGCCTCTTTTCTGAAAAATCAGATGTGTTTAGCTTTGGGGTAATCTTATTAGAGATCATAAGTGGCAAGAAGAACGTTGCCTTATTTGAGGTTGATAATCAGCTAAACTTACTTGGCAATGTAAGCAACTTATATAAACCCATGGAAATGTGTTCTTTAATTATAAATTTCTAATAACTATGATTTTTGAAACTGAGTTATTATTTCAGGCCTGGAATCTGTGGAAAGAAGGCAAGAGCATGGAATTGGTAGATTCAACATTGACTGCTTCTTGTTCAAGCCGTGAAGTTACCAGATGCCTTCAGATGGGACTTCTGTGTGTGCAAGAAAGAGCTACAGATCGACCAACCATGGCGGATGTTGTTTCGATGCTAAGCAATGAAACAATAGCCATGGTGCTTCCCAAAGAACCTGCATCATGGAGTCAGCTAAGTTCCAGTGATGCAGATTCGTCGTCGAGTAGGCAAAGACACCACTCTACATTTGATATGACGATTTCAGGAGTGCACGGAAGGTAGCGAGGCAATGTTTTTTCAGAAAAAAAAATTGTTCACTTACAATTATACTGCTGTTTGGTGTAGTCTGTAGAGTTTGTTCCACTTGTATCAAAGTTGTAATATATAGCAAATATTTCTACAGAAATCTAATTCAGCCTGTCAAAATAGATTTATCTGAGTTCTTCCTCTATATGACTTTCAATTTGTCAAGCCAAATTAAACAAACAAATTGATTAATTGTAACTTCGACCTAATGCTGTGCTAGACATATGAACCCTGATATCGTAGTGGTACAGGAAAAATGATTTCAGTCAGGCATTTCGTCGAACAGTCTTAAATCATAGGATTTCAAGAAAGCAAATCCCTCTCAGCCATTTCATCAAACACTTCCGGCATCCATAGGACCCCACCACATTGGCTCCTATCATTCTCACATCTTTGGTTCTTTTTTATTTCTTTTTCTTTTATCTGTTCAAAAGGTACAAACCACCAACTCGCCACTCGCGGGTTTCCCCGTGTGTTGCATGTCAATTAGGTTTGTTATTTTTCCAGGAAAATAGTTGGCTTGACAAGCATGGATTCACATGTGTATTCGTAGTGTTTTTTTCTTTTGGCCATAGTTTGGATGAGGATAGGGGAAACTCACACACACGAGTATCATGAGAGTTTGAACTTAGGACCACTTGAGAGCACACCAAAGGCCTGAACCAATCCAACTATAACACCCCATAATTAGTATGTGTATTCATAGTCGACATTTCGATTTTACTGCATATATAACTACATATGTTAAGCCTAGAAAAGGGATGCTCCAATTATATTATATCCTTTAAAACTACATAACCATTACCCTCGTTCAGTAGTCATATATGTATCAAACAAATCGAAGATTTTCGTAACATTTAAGATATTATACATATGAATGACTAAACAATTTGCAATTTGGTTGATTTCTTGCACATATGATATTTAAATGGTAATTTTGAAAATGAACCGGTTATGACATGTGTACACGGGGGGGATCAGAAAGTCCGCCTCATAGCATTGACCTAACTTATTTTATGTATATAGATATATCGTTCCTTTCAAAATAAATAGAATAGTTGACTAATGAACCTGCATATCAATCAGGAGAAACTTCCAAGAATAATGCAGGAAAACAAGAATAATGCAGGAGAAACTTCAATTAATATTGATTGGCTTTAAACCATCTCTCATCTGTAATGGCCATGTCTCTTCCTCTTCTTTGCTTGATATCATTCTTTAGCTTCTTTTTATTCTCATCTCATGCAACAGACACACTTGCATCTTCAGACAAATCTGGAGACGACCAAACCCTGGTCTCATCTGAGTGCAGCGATGGAGCTAATTTTTCTAAGATGACTGGTTCGCTGCCATCTACGAGTGGTGTTTCCGTTAGTAGTATTGGTATTTCTGATTGCCAAACTTTGTGCAAGACCAATTGTTCTTGTGCCGGATTCGCTTCTCTTCAGAATGAATCAACATGTCAACTTTATTATGGGAGAAAACAGAATCTATTGAAGATCATAGAGAAAGGGGCAGGGCTTATTTACATCCGTGATCGTGCTTCAAGTGGTAAGTCTAATCAAAACTCGGGAACTCCATTCCTTAAATTTCAAACGGGGAATAAGAATGAGTTCAAAATAAATGAGCATATATATAATAATAATAAAAAACACAGAAAAGAAAATATTACAAAAAATGTATAATGATGAAATATGAAGTTGTTCAATTTACTTGTCTAGGTAATAAGAAGGATAGTCTCTGGTTAATTGTGGCGGTTCCTTTGGCTTCCCACTTGGCTTTTGTTTCAATCTCGTTATATTGTTTTGTGCGTTGGAGAAGGTGGCGTAGAGGTATGAGTTTGATTTATCAAGTTGATTTCTTTTTTTGGTCGAAAATCAAGTCGATTTATTAGGGATGTGGATTCAAACTTGTAACATCTTTCAATCTTGAAAAGTAGAGAAGTGTCGAGCTAATTGTGTTGGTTATCATCAGGTTGAGTTCTAAACATAATTCTTGGAATTAAAAAAAGTTGATGCAACTTACAATTAAATGATCATTTACCACGTGGTAAAGGATCCTTTAATTATTATATGTTTTGAATACAAGTGATAGTCTAAACTACAAGATGAATGTGGAGTTTCATACACTACTAAGGTGTCATAGAGGTTCGAATATGAGATCACTAGTTTGCAAGTCAAGACCCTTTTACGCTTAGCTAGACCTCGTTATCCTTTTCATTATTATATTATCCTATAATGGTAGGCTCACTATTTAATTTATCTGATGTCACAGGCATTATATTTATGCTATCTAACGAGAATAAATTAGTAAGCTAATGACGAATATGGCCTTAATGGGAAAATATCAATGATTTTTATGGTCTGATTATATTGAAACCAGAAGATCAAGCAAGGAGACGAGAAGAAGGCATTATCAATCCTGATCATGAAGGTAGAGGTGCAATTAACATGAATGTAGGCAGACAGAAGGATCAAGAATTGCCCTTTTTTGGTATTTCTACAATAAAGGCTGCAACAAATGACTTTGCCAAGGCTAATAAACTTGGGGAAGGTGGATTGGGCCTGTCTATAAGGCAAGCCATCAATTAACTCCTTACTTTACATAGCTCATAATGACAATTTTTATTTCTTATTACCAAAATCTTCTTAATTAAATTTTATTACAGCAACATGTATGTGTTATGGAAATTGCAGGGCAAGTTGCTTCCACAAGGACAAGAAATTGCAGTGAAAAGGCTGTCCAAAATTTCCAGGCAAGGGTTGAATGAGTTCAAAAACGAAATTTCAGTAATTTGCAGGCTCCAGCACAGGAATTTGGTTAGGCTTTTGGGATGTTGCATTGAAGCAGAAGAAAGTATACTAATTTATGAGTACATGCCCAACAAAAGCCTGGATTCTTTCATTTTCGGTTTGTCCAATAAGATCTTCTGAGCTAGTTTCGACATGTTCTGTATAGGTTTCATGTTGATCTTGTAAAACCTTTTTCCTGTTTTCATTACTATTTTTTTTCAATCATGTGCAGATTCAACCAAACGGGTGCTTTTGGATTGGAGAAAGCGCATGAACATTATCGAAGGGATTGCTCAAGGTCTTCTGTATCTTCATAAATACTCAAGATTACGGATCATTCACCGCGATATGAAGACCAGTAATATTCTGTTGGACTATGACATGAACCCAAAAATATCGGATTTTGGCATGGCACGAATTTTCGGGGATAATGACACCAGGGGACAAACAAATCGGGTTGTTGGTACATTGTAAGTAAACTTTTCTGCAGTATGTACTTCTGGAGAATTTACATGCTCATACTCAATATTTGGTTGTCTTTTATTCAATGTAGCTAGTACTTTTTTTTTATAGACAGAGATGTGTAATTAACGCATTTTCACCTATCATTGTTAGTGGTTACATGTCTCCGGAGTACGCTGTGGATGGTCGTTTTTCTGAAAAGTCAGATGTATTCAGCTTTGGAGTTATGTTATTTGAGATCATAAGTGGCAAGAAGAATATAGCCTTCTTTGAGGCTGATCACTCCCTAAACTTGCTAGGCATCGTAAGCAACTTTAACAAACCCCTCAAGTATATCCAATCACTTTTTATTTGCGTTTGTGTATTTGTTCCTACAGTTTTTAAAATTCTATTTTTGCAGGCTTGGAATTTGTGGAAAGAAGGCAAGAGCATGGAGTTGATGGACTCAACATTGAGCAGTTCTTGTTCAAGCAGTGAAGTCACCAGATGCATTCAGATGGGTCTTTTGTGTGTGCAAGAAAAGGCTATGGACCGACCAACCATGTCGGATGTTGTTTCGATGCTAAGCAACGAAACAATGGCTCTGCCTCTTCCTAAAGAACCTGCATTTTTTAGTCGATCCAGTGATGCAGAATCATCTTCAAGTAGGAAAAGATGTCACTCTGGAAATGACATAACAATTTCAGACGTAGATGGTAGGTAGCAAAGTCAAAGTTGTCCGCACAGGACCAACTACACAACCAAATGCTTCACGCTTTGTATACAAACATGATTGTTTATTTTCGATTGGATTGGATAGGATTTGGACTGCAATGCCTGAGTCCTATCCTGTGTTTGGTGTAGTATGATTGAACATAATTAATTTGTCCAGCTAATTAACTAGTTTATTGATTAAATGTAACTGTGTTATCTAATTTAATTAGAATAGTCATGTCCCTAATCTCCACTTCCCACCAAGGCTTAGGGGACTCTCAAAGCATCTGGCTTCTCATCCACTCCCCACCAAGGCTTAGTTCACATTATATATCTTTCAAACTTTCAACGGATTATATATATGATATGAGGAAGATCATCAAACCTATACATGGATTGAGAACTAAGAAATGGGGCTAACTTATCTCTCCTTTCAGAATAAATAAAAAGCAAATAGTTGACTATAATGATGAACCACTGCATCAATGAGAATGCAAGAAAACATATTATATATACTTAATTAGAAAATAAAAAGCTAGCTAGCTAGCTCCTAGCCATGTCTCCATCTAGACCTTCAAGCTTTAATTAATTCATTGTCTTTGTACCAATTCTCTAACTCTACAATGACAATGCTTAACCTCTCTCTTTTTTGCTTGATATCATTCTTTACCTTCTTTTCATTTTCATATCCTGCAACGGACACACTCACATCTTTGAACACGTTTGGAGACAATCAAACCCTGGTCTCATCCGGTGGACTTTTCGAGCTTGGCTTCTTCAGCGAAAACTTTTCGGGTTATCACTATCTGGGAATTTGGTTCACAGCCGATCGAAGCAAGGTTGTCTGGGTTGACCGGGAAAATCCAATATTGGATTCATCCGGCCTCCTTCAAATCCGGACAGGGAATTTGGTTATCACCGACCGGCGACAAGTCCAGTTGATAGTCAATTCAGGAAGTGTCGCCGCGGCCAGTACTAATACAAGCGCAACACTTCATGACACTGGAAATTTTGTCCTTAAAGAAGTTTATACAGGCAGGGTCTGAAATTTCAAAAATATCTTAATTCAAATTCTGATAGTTTTAGTTGCATTAAAATTTATGTTCTGTATTTTCAGACCCTTGAAAAACGATGGTATTTTAATTCTTTTGGACCATACAGGTACTATTATATGGCAAAGTTTTGATCTTCCAAGTGATACATACCTACCTGGGATGAAACTTGGGTTGTATGGCTTAAACACAACCGGCCACAGCATTCACGTTATTGTTTCTTGGGATAAACTAAGAAGATAACTTACTACATTAATTACGGTTGTTTACTATATATATATATATATATATATATATATATATATATATATATATACAAACGAATAAATTACAACGTATTTCTGTGTGTGATGGGATCCTTTGCAACAATCAATTAATATAAATAGTAAATTTGGCTTACACCCTTCAAATTCAATTTGCCGTACCTAAAACCCTTCACTTTTTGTTCCTAGAAATAATACCCAATTTGTATAAGTAAAAACCCATGACTAGGATCTAACTCAGTAAGTTACCTAATTAAGCATAAAATCTGATTTATTGTACTTTTCATATTCCAAAAATACCCCCAACTAAGCCATTATTGCATTTTGTATATTAATGTAGGAATCAATATGGAAATAGTTTTTAATTGGATTGTATATAATGACAGATGTTGAATTTGGAAAGATCTCCAAATGGTTGTAATGGATGTAAGAATTAATTTTGAAACATTTTAAAAAAAATTTAACAATAAATTCAAATTTGGGTAATCGGTTTGTTTAATAAAATGTTTATGTTATTTTCTTTTTATGAATTATACATGACTAATAATCCACTTTATAATTGTTTATGAATAAAACTGTACATACTGATTATGTTGAAAAAATAATGTACCTATTACTTGTTTGTTTTATGAAAAATATAATTTACCTAGTATGAAAAGTGTACATAATTATCTATTCCAATATACCTACATTATACGACATCCAATATACCTACATTAATTTTAATGTACTTACAATTAGGATTTAGGTATTATATGTCATCCAATGTACCTACCATTTGAATAATATACCTACTACGAATAAAGTACCTATTATTTATCTAATTAATGTACCTATTTTTTTCTATAAATAATATAGCCTTTTTTTCTCTGAATAAAGTACCTATTATTTGTTTTATTAAAAGCAATTTTTTTAAATGAACCTATTTTCTCTCTCCAAATAACGTACCTATTTTTCCTCTCCAAATAATGTACCTATACACATTTACAGGTATATTGTAAAATAATTTACATGTGGGTAAATAATGTACCTATATTTAATATAAATTATTGTGTACCTATTTTTAATTATGAAAATATATGCAATTACAAAGTAACTGACTTTGTTTTTTTTTTTTTTGGTAAATAATATACCTATATTTTATATGTATATATTTATATTATATTTTTCATAGGTACATTATTGGATATGTAATTTACAGATTTTTTTTGTTTGTTTGCAATTTTAGTGGGCGAGATGTGAGAGGGAATGACAACTAAAAGAAATGGGGTGATTGATATGCTATTAATAGGGAGTATATTAATTACAATTATGGCAGTTAATGAAATGCTTGAAATAAAATTATAAATAAAATATGAAGTTTAGTGGCAACGATGTAAAAACATAGAAATACTACGACCTCTTATATCCTACTAGTCATTTAAATTTGAAATTGGGTTTTACCTAAAGATTTATAGAGTGATGGGTATATGTCTAGGAAATAGAAAATATAGGGGTCTATATTGGATAAGCCCTAATATAAATTCTTTTCCTGGTGCATAGTTTAGTCAATAATTATGTTGTTTATGTGAAGGTGTTAGGTGCTTTCGAATAATTTTATTTGAGAGATGTCATTTGGGGTACCTTACAATTTTATTTCCAATGATCCAAACATTCTATTTTGTGGGTCTTCATTCATAAATCATTCTTACAAAAAATTTGACAAATCGGAAACCGTTTCGACATCTAATTATGTCCTACAAAATCAATGAACACGGTGCTTCAAGAAAGTACTAAAATTTCAATAACTCAATTGAGTGGTCAAATGATATCGGATTCAAGTGATTTTTTTATAGAGATGATCTTTGAATGAGTATCTGCAAAATAGATGGTTTAGATTAGTGAAATACAAGACGGTTTATATATATATATATGGCTTGAGATTTAATAAATGGGGGCTAACTTATCTGTCCTTTCAGAATAAATATTATACATATATACATTTCCTTTCAAAATAAATAATTGTGTAATATTATACATATATAAATTTCCTTTCAAAATAAATAATTGTAAATAGTTGACTAATGATGAACCCGTGCATCAATAAGAATAGGCAGGGAAATATGATATTGTATAGATACAGTAGAAAATAAATTGCTAACTACCTCCTCCTCTGATCTGTAATGGCCTTGTTTCTTCGTCTTCTTTGCTTGGTATCATTCTTTAGCTTCTTTTCATCATCTCCTGCGACAGACACACTCACGCCTTCAGACCTGTTGAGAGACAATCAAACCCTGGTCTCATCTGGTGGACTTTTCGAGTTTGGCTTCTTCAGCGAAAGAGTTTCAGGCTACTATTTGGGAATTTGGTTCACAGCTGATCCAAGCAACGTTGTTTGGGTTAGTAACCGCGACTATCCCTTATTAGATTCATCCGCCCTACTTCAAATCCGGTCCGGGAATTTGATTCTCACGGACCGGCGACAAGTGCAGAGCATAGTCAATGCAGGAAATGTCGCCACAACTAGTAATACAAGTGAAAAACTTCTTGACACTGGAAATTTTGTGCTTAGAGCAGCAGATACAGGCATGGCCTAAAATTTCTATAATAGTTCTCGGATATATCTTTTCCGGTTTTAAACATTTTTTTCTAGTACGTGTCCTTCGAAACTTTTATTTTATGTACTTTCTCTTGATTCTGTTAACATTACTGTTTAATACCTGTACAGGTATCATATGGCAAAGTTTTGACGCTCCAAGTGATACTTATCTTCCTGGGATGAAACTTGGGTCGTTTAACCTAAACACAGGCCACCATAGCCTTCACGTTGTTAATTCTTGGGCAAGCCACCAAAACCCAGCTCCTGGCCTCTACACCTTATCCATCGATTCCAGCGACCTTACAAAGCTTTCGGTTTGGCGAGGAGATGGAGTCAAAATGGTAGTCGCTTTCTTGGATGGATATGAGTTCCGGTTTATTTTTGAGAACTCAAACGGTAGTACTAACGACTACAACTTTAGCCTCCAGTTCAATAGAAATGAGGCCTTCTACACTTTCAGCAGCAGCAAGAATTACGACGTCATGTGGCTGGTGATGAATTCCACAGGAAACCTCGACCAGAATTTTATGTTGAAAGGCAAGATTTATTCTGTGAGTCATCCTTTGTGTGCGGGTTCCAATGGTGGTAATAACGGGACGTGCTTGCCTTCAATACCATCCCAGTGTAGGGATGGAGGTGCTTTTTCTGAGATGAATGGTTCGCTGCCATCTACATCTGCTGTTTCCGGTGGAAGTATTGGGATTTCTGAATGCCAAACGTTGTGCCAGGTCAATTGTTCTTGCACCGCATTTGCTTCGGTTCAGAATGAATCAGTACGTCAACTTTATTATGGAAGTAAACAGAATCTATTGAAGATCGTAAAGAAGGGGCCAGGGCTTATTTACATTCGGGATGGTGCTCCAAGTGGTAAGTCTGAATTCCACAAATCAAATATATATATATATATATATATATATGCATATACAGAAAGATATCTCTGTGTATTTAGACAATTCATTCAGGCAAGATCAACCCCGTGTTCAGAGTCTCGTAAAAGAACTGCAAACACAAACAGTACACACACATAAAAAATAAAATAAAAACATTAACAAATCTTCAGTCTTGAAAATATTGGTTTTCCTTATACTCTAAAGTGAAATAAATCATTGAGAAAATGGGCAAAAACTTGGGATGTCGGTTTGGTGATATCGGACTCCTCTTGAAATCAAGACTTATCTAGATGTGGGATAATGTCGTTTGAATTTTATTCCTTATCTTTGATATTATACATTTAAAAAATATATATTATTAAGGCTTTGACTCATGGTTTGCAATAAGAAGAAGAGATCCTTATATTACAGACGTTTACTAGATATAACATAAATTAATTCAGTCTTTTTCCGTGAAGATGTTTTAATATGTGAGACGACTTTCAACGCAACGCACCCGAAATGGTATTTGTTCAATATTGTAGCAATATAATGCCGGCATTTCAAATATTATTAAAAATCTATCGGAGAAGATGGTATTTCCTGTTCAATAAGGTTTAAGGCATAGCGCATGTTCACCTAGTTTCTGATAGGATGAATGAAGTGTAGGTTCTACTCAAAATCAATGGTAATGAAGGGAGTAGTATAACTCGTATAAGTCTATGTTAGGTCTCTTAGGGTTTGTTTGATAGGCATTTCATTTTCAGTTTTCAGTTTTCATTCACTTTTTTTTAAAAAAACTGAAAATTGATGAAAACATGTTTGGTAAAAGATTTTGTGTTTAGTTTTCGTAAAAGTGAAATATAGTTTTCAAAATCACCATCCTTTTTTAAAACAACTTGAAAGTATTTTTAGTTTTCAGTTTTTGTTTTCATTTTTTTTGTGCTCTTGTGTTTTCAATTTTGGTAATCAAGTTTCACATAAAAAATTGAAAACTGAAGAATGAAATCAGTTACCAAACAACTTGACTTTTTTTGAAAATTGAAATTAGTTACCAAACAAAGTTATCAAATGGGCCCTTAGCCTTCCGATTTGGGACAACACTTCACTTCACATCCACAACAATTACAACATAATCTGATGATCATGAAGGGGCACATAAAATTAGGGAATTCCATCCCTAAAATTTCTAACAGGGGATTTGGGATGCGAATGAGTTCAAAAGAAATAAGCACAAATATTGTACAAAATGATGTGGTATGGTTTTATGATTAGTAAGATCGTTTTTTTATTTATTTAAATTTTTTAGGGAAAGCGATAATATTTTGTTGATAATGAGGAAGTAACAAGTACCAAAAAATCCATTGGCGCATCTCTACACATGAGGGTTCGATCGTCGGTCTAATCAAATAGCCTACTCTCTTTCGGCTTAGCCATTAAAAAGAACTTTGCCCCTAATAGAGCGTGCCCCATCCCATGCTTCTGATTAATTTTTCTCCTTCAACCTAAATAGTGTATTGTCTTTACTTGTCCAGATGGTAAGAAGCGGGAACTCTGGTTGGTTGTCGTGGGTCCTTTGGCTTCCCTTTTGGTTCTTGTTTTAATCTCGTCATCTTGTTATATGCGTTGGAGAAGGCAGCGTAAAGGTATGAGTTTGATTTATCAGGCTGATTTATTAGGGTAAGCGGTTTTGAACTCTTACCACATTTTGGTAGCACAATTTGATACCACATGATGTGGTACATGACATGTCAATCACATGTCATTGGCCACATAATCAATTCTCTTTTAATTTACTCCAAATTTATAATTTAATCTTGTTAGAGTATCCACAATAGACTCCCTAAACCACCCCCTTAGCTAAAATGTAGCTTATTGATTGTTTGAATTACTATGATAATTAATGAAAGATTGGGTAGGTTACAATGGTTGGGTTTAGGGTTTAGGGTTTAGGGAGACTATTTCAGACTCTTAATGGTCTTTGAAATTTTGTTTGTTGTTTCGTTTTATTTCTTTGGGCAGACTGTTAACAGACCAAGAAGCAATGCTTCTAATTTCAAATAAAAGTCCATAATGTCATCGGTTGTGTTTAGTACTGTAATCTCATCTATCTCTTTCTTGTATTCGGCATTGTTGTCAATTCGTAGATCGACACTTCTACAACTTCGTCGCGTGCATTAAGATATGCGTAATGAACTTAGAACTATATGTGTATGTATCTTACCATGAAGGAAATCTCTCTACGGGTTCGTGTTGACGAAGAGGTTATGTTGATGGCAACTGTATGGTGGTGATGGTATGACAACGAGGGATGATGGTGTTAGGGTAATATTCAATGGTGGATGATGGTGTTTCAAATAATTAGTGAATTAAAATATAAATTTTGAGTAAATTAAAATTGATGAAAAATAAGAATACTTAAGTTGAAATTAAGTGATGTAGTATAGAATTGTGGTACAAAAATGTGGTAAGATTAGCATTATTATTTGGTAAGATTAGCATTATTATTTGAAATTGCTATACCTCTCCCAAGATTGAAAGGACAAGTACAACTAATAAATTAAAAGCTTCTGATCATTATCATTTTGAGTTGCAAAATACAGTTGTTGGAAGTTAAAAAAGTTACTGCACGTTACGATGTATAGAGAGAGTAAAGTGATTAGTGGGAGAAAAAAAACCGGGGTAAATGGTCTTTTAATTAGCATTTGTTTTTTACACAAGCGATGGGAGAGAAGGGATTCGAATACAAGACCTCCGGTACATGGGTAATTGCTCTTAACTATTTGAGCCATAAGCACCTTAGTATACTTGCACGCAAGTGCCAACTGACCTTTTTTATATACTAGCCCCTTGGCACATGCTCACACATGTGCCAATTGGTTTTCTTTTTTATTTTTATTTTATTTTTAAAATTAAATAAGATAATAGGTAGTTGTGTTCCATAAAAATATGATCAATTATCTTATTTTTCTTTTAATTTTAAATTTTTATATATGAAAAAGTGTGAATTTACCATATTATCCTCATTTAATTAATAATTTCAATTCTTAATGTTTGCATTAACCAAGGGCATTTTTTGGTATTTTGAATGTTTCACCATTCTCTGCCTTGTGCTTTATATATATATATATATAGATATAGATATAGATATAGATATATATATATGTATATATATTTTCTTTTGTATGTATATTCAATTTAAAAATGACATAATATAGTTTTTTTAAATTTATATATAATATTCTTTCTTTTATTTAGTTATATAATAATTCCTTGGCACACACGTATGTTTATAATTTTTGCTCCTTTTTTTTTCACTTTAGAATTAAGAAAGAGAAAATGAGTTTGGTTGTTGTGTCTCATGAAAATAGGACCCATGTTATTATTTGATTTTGAGATTTTAAAATTTTTTAATATGAAAAATTGTGAATTTACTATATCATCATTTTTTAATGAAGGTAGTTTCAATTCTTAATAAATTTATGAACCAAGGACAACTTTTGATATTTTACTATTTTACATTCATTATATTAGATTGTCGTGTTTTAATATTTTTGTTAAGCATGGGCATTTTCATGGTTTATGAATGATTCATCGTTCGAGACTATCATGAAATTGTAGACTTATTATTTTGGTTATTTATTAGGCCCAGTTTGGAATTGCTATTATTTTAAAAAAAAAGTTGTTTATGCTGTGTTTTGAAAATAATCAGCTATAAAGTAAAGCATTTACATGTTTGGAAAACATTATTTTTAAAGTGATGTTAGCATAAAAAGCACTGAAACTGTTATAACTGTGGATAATGACTAAAATGCACATGATGTTGAGAGTGTTATGTGCTCACAATGTTGTGGTGGTGTTTGTTGTGGGGGGTGGGGGGTGGGGTTTGGTGGTTGTGGAGGTGGTGGTGATGGTAGAGGTGGAGGTGGAGATGGAGGTGGAGGTGGAGGTGGAGATGGAGGTGATGGTGGTGGTGGAGGTGAAGTGGAGGTTGTGGTTGTGGTGGTGGTGGGGGTGAGGTGGAGGTGGAGGTGGTGGTGGTGTGTGGTGGGTGGTGGTGGTGATGAAGGTGGAGGTGATGTAGTGGTGGTGGTAGACGATGTCATTTTTAAACATTAATGATAGTATTATGGGAATTGAAAAAATTCATTAAAGGCTCTTATCTGCTTCTTGTGAAAACATCTTTGAAAAGCAACCTAAAGGCTGCTTTCAGAAGGCCATTACTTTTAAAATAATCATGATATTTTATTTTTACCAAACACCTTAAAATGCTTAACTTTAAAGTGAAGTATATTTTTGGCCAAAAAAAGGCAATCCCAACCGAGACCTTAGTATTGTTAAAAGAAAAATGTTGATATTTCATATCTTCAAGTTGATAATGTAGGTTCCCCTAATGAAGATGTATACGTTATACTGTTACTTTATCAAGGGTATATATATGTTGTCTGATAAGAAATATTTTTTTCTTAATACAAATGATAGTCTAAATTATTCTAAATTAATCTAATCTACGGGGAAGGAGACTCGAACTTCGGTGCAAGGGTATGAATATGCTCTTAATATCTTATAAATTTCTTAATAAATAGGGATCATTATGGTAACTAACTTCTCTAGATTTAACAACATACGCTGTTACACATGGGATTGAGAGTAGGTATGAGAATATATCTGAAACTATCAATGATTTTTCTTGTCTCTCATGTTGAAACCAGAAGATCAAGCCAGACGAGAAGGCATTATCAATAGTGATCATGAAGTTAGAGGTGCAATTAACAAGAAATTAGGCAGACAGAAGGATCAAGAATTGCCCCTTTTTAGTTTTTCTACAATAAAGGCGGCAACAAGTGACTTTGCCAAGGCCAATAAACTTGGGGAAGGTGGATTTGGGCCTGTCTATAAGGCAAGCCATCAGTTAACTTCCTAATTTACGTAGCTGATAATGACAATTTTTATTTGACATTCCCAAAATCTTACTGCAACAAGTACACATTATGGAAACTGCAGGGCATGTTGCTTCCAGAAGGACAAGAAATTGCAGTGAAAAGGCTGTCCAAAATTTCAAGGCAAGGGTTGAAGGAGTTCAAAAACGAAATTTCAGTAATTTGTAAGCTCCAACACAGGAATTTGGTTAGGCTTTTGGGATGTTGCATTGAAGCAGAAGAAAGTATACTAATTTATGAGTACATGCCGAACAACAGCCTGGATTCTTTCATTTTTGGTTCGTTCAATTTGATCTTTTGAGCTAATTTGACACATTAACATTAGCACGTTTTATATGTTGATCTTGTAATCCTATTTTCATTATTTTTGCTCAATCATGCATGTGTAGTAGATTCAGGCAAACGGATGCTTTTGGATTGGAGAAAGCGCATGAACATTATCGAAGGGATTGCTCAAGGTCTTCTGTATCTTCATAAATACTCAAGATTAAGGATCATTCACCGAGATTTAAAGACCAGTAATATTCTGTTGGACTGTGACATGAACCCAAAAATATCAGATTTTGGCATGGCACGAATTTTTGAGGATAATGACACTAGGGGACAAACAAATCGGGTTGTTGGTACATTGTAAGTAAACTTTCTGCAGCATGTACTTCAGGAAAATTTACATGCTCATATTTGGTCATCTTTTCTTCATTGTCATACTTTTTTGGTACAGAAGATGTCTAATTAACACATTTTCACCAATGATTGTCAGCGGTTATATGTCTCCGGAGTATGCCATGGATGGTCTTTTTTCCGAAAAATCAGATGTGTTCAGCTTTGGGGTGATTATACTAGAGATCGTAAGTGGCAAGAAGAGTATATCCTTCTTTGAGGCTGATCGATCTCTAAACTTGCTAGGCAAAGTAAGCACCTTTAACAAACCACTCAAGTATATCCAATAAGATTTTGTATGTGTTTGTATATTTGTTGCTACAGTGTTTTGAATTCATTGTTGTAGGCTTGGGATTTGTGGAAAAAAGGCAAGACCATGGAGTTGATGGATCCAACATTGAGGAATTATTTTTCAAGCACTGAAGTCACCAGATGCATTCAGATGGGTCTTTTGTGTGTGCAAGAAAGAGCTATGGACCGACCAACCATGTCGGATGTTGTTTCAACGCTAAGCAATGAAACAATTGCTCTGCCTCTTCCTAAAGAACCTGCATTTTTGAGTCGATCCAGTGATGCAGAATCATCTTCAAGTAGGCAAAGACGTCACTCTGGATATGATATAACGATTTCAGAAGTAGATGGAAGGTAGCAAAATAGATTTTCCCAGGCAACAAAGTTGTTAATGACCAAGCCTTGTCTGAACAGGACCAAGTACACAATGAAGTGCTTCATGCTTCATATGCAAACATGATTGTTATTTTGGATTGGATAGGATCGGGACTGCACTCGAATGAACAAGTCTTACTCCTATCCTGTGTTTGGTGTAGTATGATTGAACTTTTGATAAATGTTTAATTTTTTCAAATTAATTAATTTGTCCACCTAAACTTAACTAGTTTATTGATTAAATTGTTATCTATTTTAATTGAAATAGTCATGTCCCCAATCTGGCTTAGGGGACTCTCAAAGCATCTGGCTTCTCATCCATTTTTCGAATTGATGATTTATTCCTAGAACTCTCCAGGAGTTCACATTATATATCTTTCAAACTTTCAACGGATATATATATATATATATATATTATATGATGACAAGGAAATGGAAGATCATCAAATATATATCTGGCTTGAGAACTAAGAAATAGTTGACTATAATGAACCTGCATCAATGAGAATACAGGAAAACATATTATATATACTTAATTAGAAAATAAAAAGCTAGCTAGCTAACTCCTAGCTGTGTCTCCATCTAGACCTCTAAGTTTTAATTAATTCATTGTCTTTGTACCAATTCTCTAACTCTACAATGACAATGCTTAACCTCTCTCTTTTTTGCTTGATATCATTCTTTACCTTCTTTTCATTTTCATATCCTGCAACAGACACACTCACATCTTTGGACACGTTGGGAGACAATCAAACCCTGGTCTCATCAGGTGGACTTTTCGAGCTTGGCTTCTTCAGCGAAAACTTTTCGGGTTATCACTATCTGGGAATTTGGTTCACAGCCGATCGAAGCAAGGTTGTCTGGGTTGACCGGGAAAATCCAATATTGGATTCATCCGGCCTCCTTCAAATCCGGACAGGGAATTTGGTTATCACCGACCGGCGACAAGTCCAGTTGATAGTCAATTCAGGAAGTGTCGCCGCGGCCACTACTAATACAAGCGCAACACTTCTTGACACTGGAAATTTTGTCCTTAAAGAAGTTGATACAGGCATGGTCTGAAATTTCAAAAAATATCTTAATTCAAATTCTGATAGTTTTAGTTACATTAAAATTTATACTTCTGTACTTTCAGACCCTTGAAAAGCGATGGTATTTTAATTCTTTTGGACCATACAGGTACTATTATATGGCAAAGTTTTGATCTTCCAAGTGATACATATCTTCCTGGGATGAAACTTGGGTTGTATGGCCTAAACACAACCCGCCACAGCTTTCACCTTATTGTTTCTTGGGCAAGCCCCCAAAACCCAGCTCGAGGCCTCTTCACCTTGTCTGTTGATGGCAACGACTTGTCGAAGCTTTCGGTTTGGCGAGGAGATGGAGCCAAAATGGACATAGCTTCCTGGGACGGACATAGCATCCGGTTTATTTTTGACAACTCAACCGGGCAGAACAATAATAACAATGACTACAATTTTAGCTACCATGCTAATGCATATGAGGCCTACTACAATTTTAGCCACAGTAGGAACTACGACCTCATGTGGTTCGTGATGGCTTCCACCGGAAACCTGGACCAGTATTTCATGGTGGATGGGAAGATTTCTGTTAGGCCTCATGCTTTGTGTGCCGATTCGGCTGGTGGTAATTCTGGTAGGTGCTTGACTTCAATACCGTTCGAGTGTGGGGATGGTAAGTTTTATGAGATGAATGGTTCTTTGCCATCTACTTTCAGTGGTACTGGTTTCATTTCTACGGGGACTACCGAGTGTGAAACTTTTTGCAAGTCCAATTGTTCTTGCACTGCGTTCGCTGCACTTCAGAATGAACAACCGCCAGGATGTCAACTCTATTTTGGGAGCAAACATGATCTGTTGAAGATCATAGAGAAGGGGGCAGGGATTGTTTACATCCGGGGTAGTGCTCCAAGTGGTAAGTTTGAATTCAACTACTTGAATTATACAATATAGAGTAATGTTCTTTTTCGACCGTCTGGCAACATAAGATACTTATAATAGTGAATTAAGACCAAACATCCAAAAAAAAATTATACTAATAAACTTCTTTCAATAGTCAACTCAAAGGGATTTCAAAAGTACAACTAACCGTATAGGAGAAGAACTGTATCCTATATGTAATAATTTTTTTTATGACAGTGTAACATGTTATATTGTCGAATTATGAATCTAATAGTACATTCAAATAATAATCTACTCAACCATACATCACATAATGAGACAAAAGAAATTTTTAAAGTTATATTATTAATATTATTATTTTAAATTTGCTATTTATATTATCAAGTCTTGACTCCTAGTTCGCCATAAGGATAAATTAAGAAGATAACTTACTACATGAATTACGGTTGTTTACTATATATATAAAAACGAATAAATTACGACGTTTTTCCGTGTGATGGGATCCTTTGAAACAATCAATTAATATAAATTCTTTTCCTGGTGCATACTTAAGTCAATAATTATGTTGTTTATTATGTGAAGGTGTTAGGTGCCTTGGAATTCTTTGGTTTACTCGTTGTCTTTATGTGGGAGTGGGACCGCTATCTATACATATAATCTCAAAAAATCTGAAATGATTTAACAGCTTACCAGTTCATCTAGAATGGCATTTCAAATATTATAAAAACAGGTGCTAATAGTTGATTATGTTATTCAAATTCACAGTGTAAGAACATAGCACGCTTTTCTCATGGATTGTTGGTAAAAAATTTAGGCAATTTTCGTTAAACATAATTTTGTTGAGTACAAGAAATTGTATTATTTTCATAAACAAAATGGTGGCGTTGTGTTCATTCTCAAGATAGCAAGAAGTGGAAACTCTGGCTGGCTGTCTTGCTTCCTTTGGCATTCCTCTTGGTTCTTATTGCAATCTCCTTATCCTATTATCTGCGTGGGAGAAGGCGACGTAAAGGTTTGAGTTTGATTGTCATAAGATTGAGTTCATTGCTAAGGGAAATTAATAAACAGGCTTAAATGACGTTTAAGTCAATGTAATTTTAGCAGAAGATCAATTAGCAAGCAGAGGAGATGCCGTCGCGGATTCTGATCATATGAGATTATTTCAAATGAGCTCCCCTAATGCGTCACCAATTCATCATGATGAAGTTAGAGGTGCAAGCAACATAGAACCGGGAAGACAGAAGGATCAAGATTTGCCATTTTTTAGTTTTTCCACAATAAAGAATGCAACAAATTACTTTGCAGAGGCTAATAAACTTGGGGAAGGTGGATATGGGCCTGTCTATAAGGCAAGCCATCAGTTAATTTTATTTGTGTGTTATTTTTTGGGCATTGTCAAGATTTTCTTAGTGAAACTTCTACATGTTTACATAATGGAAAATGCAGGGTAAGTTGCCTCTAGAAGATCAGGAAGTTGCAGTGAAAAGGCTGTCCAAAATTTCGAGGCAAGGCTTGAATGAGTTCAAAAATGAAGTTTCAGTAATCTGTAAGCTCCAACACAGGAATTTGGTTAGGCTTTTGGGATGCTGCATTGAAGAAGAAGAAAGTATACTAATTTATGAGTACATGCCCAACAGAAGCCTGGATTCCTTTATTTTTGGTTGGTCCATGATCTATAGTTCTATGCATGTTTCAATTTTCATTATATCTTTGTTCACATTTTGAGATGAATTGGCTTGGGTGTAGATTCATCCAAAAAGGCACTTTTGGATTGGAGAAGGCGCTTTCACATTATTGAAGGGATTGCTCAAGGGCTTCTTTATCTTCACAGATACTCAAGATTACGGATCATTCACCGTGATTTAAAGACAAGCAATATTCTGTTGGACGGTGACATGAACCCGAAAATTTCAGATTTTGGCATGGCAAGGATTTTTGGGGATGATGACACTAGAGGAAAAACAAACCGAGTTGTTTGGTACATTGTAAGTAAATTACATGTTTGTTTTTTTTATTTTTTTTTTTTTGTTTTTTTTTTTTTTTTTTAATTGTCTAATGCAATTTTATAATCTAATTGTTAGTGGTTACATGTCTCCGGAGTATGCGATGGACGGCCTCTTTTCTGAAAAATCAGATGTATTCAGCTTTGGGGTGATCTTATTAGAGATCATAAGTGGAAATAAGAACATAGCCTTCTTTGAAACTGATCATTCTCTTAACTTACTAGGCAGAGTAAGCACCTTTAACAAACCCCTCACAAAGTACACCTAATCACTTTTTATACGTTTGCATGTACTAATTGTTGCTAAGATTTGTGAAACTTGATTGTTTTAGACTTGGAATTTTTGGAAAGAAGGCAAGAGCATGGAGTTGATGGATTCAACATTGAGTGCCTCATGTTCAAGCAGTGAAGTTACGAGGTGCATTCAGATGGGTCTTTTGTGCGTGCAAGAAAGAGCCATGGATCGACCAAACATGTCAGATGTTGTTTCGATGCTAAGCAATGAAACAATTTCTCTGCCTCTTCCAAAAGAACCTGCATTTTTGAGTCAATTAAGTTCCACTGATGCAGATTCATCTTCAAGTAGACAGAGACATCGATCGAGAAATGACATAACGATTTCAGATGTATATGGCAGGTAGTAATTACTAGCAAGCTAGAATTTCCAAGGCATAATTGTTCATAACCAAGTTCATTTACAGCTTTTCCTGCTGCCTGTTTTAGAGTTTTTTTGGCTATTGCATTTGCATCAAAAGAAATTCCACATTTTTTTTTCTTTATTATACCCAAGTGTCTCTTACAATCATGGGCCTGCTAGCACCCAAAAAAGAATTGAGCCCAAATTAATGAATCATGGGTTGGCACCGACATCAATTTTGAAATGGGTCTATCCAAGTCCACTAAAAAATAGTTCCCTTCTTATTTTGGTAAAGAATAGTCCCATATTTCTTGGATACAGAATTAGTCTCTTTTTTTTTCTTCGGGTGGTCAGAAATTAGTCATACTCTCTATTCTCAATGATAACATCACAAACAAAGAAGTTATTGCATTTTATCCTTTTGACATAAGCGATACTACTGAGTGAGGGGGGATTGGAACACATAATTTCGGGTGCATGAGTAACTGTTTTTAACTATCATAACTACAAACCCCTTACAAAATTATTCCAAGTTAATCCCAAATTACAGTCATCTTGGTGGAAAAGAAGAGGAGATTTTTTATTAAAAGAAACTGAGGAATTTTGTGTAGTTTTGTAAAGCGGAAAGGGCAACGTTTCTGTAGTAAAGATGAAAGATATTTGGAGATGGGTTAAGGGTGGAAAACCGTGCTAAAAAAGATCAGAGAGGTGGACATTTTAGGGTAGTCTCTCAGAGCATAATGTAAAAGATATTGGAGGACTAAAAAAGTAAAAGAAAAGAGGTAACTTTTATCATTGTGTGATGACATCACACTCATCTCACGTGCATGCAACCAAACACGCATTACGTAGAAACATAAAATATATATTTTGTAGTATTCTCGATTTTTATGTTTGGATAATCACATTGGTTTACTAAATCTGTTACTTTTTTTTTTAATTTTTTAATTTTAAAAAAAGGAAAATAATTCTAAGCATTATTATAGGTGGATTACGTGAATAGCATGCATTGATATCGTTAAATGTGAGCATCTAACTCAAAATTAATTGATAATGAATGAAAAGGTTCAAAATCTTTCAAAATCTTTAATTTAGGATTCGCACTCTCAACAATAGCATATAATTTGTTGAAGTTTTCTTATTTTATTTTCAGAATCAAATCAAGAACTTGCCTGTAAAATTTGAACTTGGTCAAAAGGTACAAGGTTCCATCACTTTGTCCAATGGTATATAAGGGAAAGTGGATAATGCAAACAAACTGAATTTGCATTAACACTTGATCACAAACATCTTCAAATGGCCTCTAATCAGAATTGTTTTACATTGTATTTAAAAAGAGAAAGCTAAAAGATCATATATATACGTTGGGTGGAATGTATTGGGCTTGGTCATGGTCATGCATGGAAGCATTTCCCGATGAGAGAATCGAATCAGTCCCCTCCTTTGTTTTTGCTTTTTCACAGTTTGCTACAGCCTTCTTTACCATTCCCCAAGAAAAAAAAATGGCATGGTGAGTGGTGAATAATCTTGAAATAATAATAATTCGATTTTCTTTTCTGTTATTTCACTTAATTATTCAAAGATTCAAAATGAAGATTTGTGAGGACGAGTAAGGTGGGGGACGGGGGGGAAAGTAAAAACGACAGTGAAAAAGGCATGAATTGCAGTACACAACTAGTGAGAAAAAGAAAAAGATTAAAAAGATGGTCAAAATTTGAACCTCGAAGACTCCTCTTCCATCATCATCAGCTTCGACTATCTTTATCGAAACTCTACCAATTAATTTCCCCTTTCTTTCTTTGATTTTGAGCCTCCACTCCAATCCATGTTTCTGAACTCAATTATTAAAATTTGGTCACAGAATATAATTAATGTGGACGTTCTTTGAACATCTTTAGCCATGCAACAGCTTGTGTTTGGCTTCAGCTATGTGCTTATGTCTTGGGCAACGGTAACATATCTTCTCTAAATTAGCAAACCAGCTGAGACATGCACGAGTGTGACTATATTTTTATGTAAGATTAGCTGCAGTCTATTCGATGTTTTACTTTTAACATGCTGAGATAGTACATTGAATCCTCTCAAATTACAACATCCTGTGTTCCGTAGTTTGCTACAGTTCTTATCATCGTATAAGGCCCTAAGCGACCAAACGAAGGATCAATTGCTTTTGTGTTTTAATTTTTTTCTGGGCTGGGGGAGAGAAACCGTGGTAACCCTAAAAACCCTTTTGACTTGGAGGAAATTTTTTGTAGTTCCAAGTACAAAGAAAGAATATTCAAGAAAAATTGAAAAGCAAGCACCATTTTTCCTTGTATAGTAACACCCTTAGGATGTGGGGCTATAAAATTACAGAAAGCAGGCTTGACCACTCCTAAGGGTTTTTTGATGAGTGAAGAATATTCATTTTGTCTGGCAGGAAAACAGTGAATTTTGTTCCTGCTTATCCAGTCCTGACTCAACAAGAAAGCCAACAAGAAGGAAGGTGACTCCTAAATATATGCAAATGGTCAAAAGAATTTCATGAGGTTCATAGATTAGAATAATTAAAAGACATTGGGGTGCATGGCTATATGCTGTGTTTAGAGGTTACAATGCATGCTATTTTCTTTTTGTGGGGACATGAACATTATAGATAGTTGTTGTACGAATAAATTAAAAAGTCAAATCAACATGGTTTTCCTTGTTGCTTTTCAAATTGCGCATTGTATTAAGGAACAATACTTTTTAACTTTGAATTGTGATTACATCCCTATCATTTTCGACCAAAAAAACATCCCTATCATTTGCTGTAATATGTATCTATCTCTTCTGAATGATTGAGCTAGATGGAAACAATATCTTAAAAGGCTGGAATTTGACACTCCCACACCAACCAAATTGCCTGAAAATTATGAAGGTCATCTTAATTTTCTCAGAAACTTGCGTCTTAATTATGTAAAAAAAATGTTCCATACAATAACACATTTAACCAAGGTGTAGCATTGCCAACTCAATTTAAAGCGTGCCACATTTTCTCTACTTTAATATATTTTAGGGTAATATATGTAGAGACGGATCCAAAATTTCTAAGTGAGGTGAGCTAGATTTACATTAAAGGTGGGTTGTTAATTTTGAACTGGACTAAACCTTAAACCTACATACTAACTATAGGGGAAAAAAGGAAAACAAATTAACTCACCTCGGCAATATATTCCAGGTTAGACAACCCATGGGACCGTCCCAGAATATATGCTTACAAACCTATATTGTCAAACTGTAAATTTAGATGGCATGAACATATATATAAACGACAAATTTGATTGCACAATCTGGTTAGAAAACATTAATTTCTCATTTTTTTACAAGCCTATAGTGCTAATTAAATTCAAACTATAACTAGCCATTTCTAGCTATGGGAGTACATGGTGGATAGATAGATAAAAAGAAGGGCATTTATGGAACTAAAATAAATTATGGATATGTTCATGCATTTGCAACCTCTGGAAACCCTAAAGTACACTAGTTAAAGCTTTATCATCAAATTCTTTCTTTCTTTAGTATCTTTAGAATCCCATTTCAATATTTCTTTATCTCTTTTTCCCATTTTGGTTTTCTTTTTTGTGATATACATTCCATTGTTCAAGGAAGCAAAGTGATGAAGAGAATATCAAAAAAGAAAAACCACACCCTAAATCTCTACTGGGTACAATCCACCACTCGTTTCTCGAGGCCCTTAAGCAAGTATAAAAACCTCCCCAACCCCATCACTTTAATCACCAAATTCCTCCACCACTAATCTTAAAATTTCAGGCATTTCTATTCAACTCTGCTTTCTCAAGGTGAGGCCTTTTCAACTTCACTCTTGAGCTTTTGTAGCTTATTTTTCCATAATGAACTTGAAGTTTGTTAAATGATGCATTTCAACTAACTAATATATTGTTTTTTTTTTTGGGGTAATATATATTCTCTGAAATCTAGAAGAGCTCAAATTAAGAAACATGAGCAGGCCAGGAGATTGGAACTGTAGGTCATGCAACCATCTCAACTTCCAAAGGAGGGACTCGTGCCAGAGGTGCGGGGAGCCAAAAAGTGGGGAGAGAGTTGAGTATGGAAGTTTTGGTGGAAGAGGTGGAGGTGGTGGTTCTTTCGGATTCACCACTGGCCCGGATGTCCGCCCGGGTGACTGGTACTGCACCATTAGCAATTGTGCAGCGCATAACTTTGCCAGCCGCTCCAGCTGCTTCAAGTGTGGTGCGTCCAAGGATGAATCGTCCAGTGGTGGCGGTGGCGGCTATGAGGGTAGAGGGTTTGGATTTGGGAGCGGTGGAAGTAGCTCTGGTCGCTCTGGATGGAAATCTGGAGATTGGATTTGCACAAGGTTACTTTATAAATCATATCACATTACTGATCATATCCCTCATATAACATAATATACAACACGTATACGAAACATTGCTCCCAAATTTTTTACATATATAAGTTCATGCACCTATATGCATTAAACATGTAATAGCTGAATTAATTGGACAGGTCAGGGTGCAATGAGCACAACTTCGCTAGCAGGATGGAATGTTTCAGATGCAATGCTCCAAGGGACAACAATGGTGGCAAGTCTCCATATTAACTCGTAAATTTTCATCATTTTCAGTGAGTATGTACATAAGATATATAAAAATATATAGTTAATTAAATTATTTTGCTTTTTCTCTTTTGATTTGTAAACTAATATATAAATGTTGATGATATTCAGGTACTGCTGTACTTTGCTGAAGGAACTGAGAGAAGAACATGAGTCCCTTATGATGGCTTGAGCTAGCTACTCCTTTAGTAGGCCGGATGACCACCCTCCTATATTTTTTTTCCTCTTTCAATTCCCTTTTCCTTCCCCTCACCTTCATTTCCAGTTTCTATCTTTTATTTTTCTAAGGAGCTTAATTTGAATTGTGTCTGATGAAGACTTGATGAAGTAGTACTTTAACAAAGCTAAATGATTTGTCATTTTGTGAGCTTTCTTATGATATGAACTATATAGGCATGTAGTTTTCTGGTAGTATTAAATCTAATTTATCATCTCTTTCTGTGTCTTGGAGAATTTAAGCACCATTGCCCCAGCTGCAAGTAATTATTTACTTTCCTTGTTCTTAATTGGCTAATGGTGAGAGAGAGAGAGAGAGAGAGAGAGAGAGAGAGAGAGAGAGAGAGAGGAGAGAGAGAGAGAGAGAGAGAGAGAAGTGGATATATATGATGATGCTCCATCCCTAGTATCAAGAATGCTTTTATCCTAAGAGTGGTCCAAGGAATATATTTGAGTACTTAAAAACTGCAAATGAGATATCTGCAAAGCAATAATATATACAAAAGGAGCTGTTCACGTCATGCATGGACCATAAACCAGATCCTTTGGTTACAACAACGCAGCAAGGCCAGGGAATTCAAAAACTCTATCTCTACACATTTTAAGAATTAAAACTAATTCTAGAGAAATTTCCCTTCGCAAGGGAGTTGGAGCATTGATAAAAGATGTATATATGTTCCACAATATATATTTCGGAAACCAATATCAAGTCCAACAATTCAAACTCGATCGACCAATTTCAATTGTGTGTTTTTTTCTTTTCAAGATTAAAGGACTGCTTTCCATTATGGAAGTGATCTTTCAAGTTCAATGCGTGTCCATTTGTCGCAGCAGTCAGTGGAGGTTGAAACTTTAATACAAGCGATATTGAAGGATGAGGATTTTCTTACACACGCTGTCAAGGTATCATAAGAGTTCGAACTTAAGACTACTAGCTAATCTGCAAGTCAAGACATTTTCCTTTGGGCTACCCTGTTGCTGAACAGACTCCATTTTAACTAAGTGAGCATATATGCTCAATTAGTGAATGAAAACTTTTATTATATGTGCTGGACATATATGCCCTTTCTCATGCTTAATTAATCTCTTTAGATAGAGTATTCATTTAGCGAAAATGCAGCAATAACCAAGAAAAGCAATGATAGGAAAAAAAGAAAAAAAAAAGAAAAAAGAATGGTACGGAATTGGTAAGGTTTTTACTAGCTCTGAAGTATGGGGCTTTATAGTTTCAATGTTAGAGCACTCATCTTTATATTTACAAAATTTATAATTTCAATAATAGAGCACTTATTCTCACATTTACGATTGAAGTTAAAGCCGTACGTTAACAAAACCATAATTCTAATTAACATTTGATTCTTTGATTAACGGACAGGGTTAACCTTGAGAAATCTGATGATGAGCTTCCAAAACAAAGTTCTCTAATTGAACATATTTTAACTTAAAAGCATAAACTCACATAGGATTCCCAAACTTTTCAGCAAACACCTTTCGTGGGTTCCCTCATTGACCTCATGGGGGTTGGGTTTTTTAAGTACTGCAAAATGCACATTTTATTGGTCAAAAAGCAACAACAACACATTCATTATTGTCTGCTACTACACTCCATTATTTAGCTTTTAGCAAGATTCTTTGTTTCACTTTAAGCTTGGCTTTATGTTACTTCATTTTTATATATGCTTTGTTGATTTTAGTGAACTAGTGCCATGAAGTACCTTACATTCAATCATGTCAAAACTTGCTTATTCAGATTTTTTTTCTTCTTCTTCTTTATCTGAATCTTATTGCATGTGAAAATGAACAAAAAGAATATTTATTAGTTTGCACTTTTTTTCTTATATATTGATTAAATAATTTCATCCGTGATATGCAGGACAAAATCTTACTTGTAGGAAATAAATGAAATTGGAATAGATGTTAAATTTGGCAAACTTATAATTTGAGAATTCTATAACCCTCCATTTTGATGAAGGAATTGAAAATTACATAGAATTCTAAAATGACATAATTTAGATTTCCATAATTTCAATTTTTAGCAATTGAAGATTTCAGTATTTGGATTTATATATGTCGAATTTTGTAAATAGCACTATGGAAATTGTAAAATAATGTTTATTTTGGTGGAAATTAAACTTAAGAATTTGATGCCGCAATTTCCACTATTTTTTCTGCGTATCATTTAATAAATTTTTGCGCTTAAGTTACCAAACAAGGAAATTGTCTATTTCTCCTTTTAAATTTCTAACTTTTAGCTTAATTCCAAATTATTTTCATCATCCAAACAGAGGATAATTTCTGATTGCTTGTCAATCTTAACAAAGGACAAGACATTTGAAAGACTCATCATGCTCGTGAAAGAAGAACATGAACATCTTTTGACATGATTTAAATGCCGATTGGGTCCCAAAAACAATCAACACGAGACAATTAACCGGATTAAGTACAACATGTTTGAACTTAACAACACTGTGATGGTCAATGGTAGGAAAAACAAGGGCACTTTTTAATCCAGTTCAATGGATGCAAAATTGGCTTTTTAAAGGTTTTTATTTTATTTTTAAAAATACTTTTTATAAGCCGAGCATGTTCAATTTTGTTAAAGTTTGTTGCCTTCTCTTCCCGTCCAATTGAAAAGCAACCCGTTTTCCCAATAAAAAGAGAAAAACAAAAGAGAACAAATTATACAAGAATTCTATAGTGAGGGCCTTAAGCCCTTAGATGAGACCCTATCTCTTTAACCGTTGGATTAAATTGATTAGTTTGATCAAACGATTAAGAGATGATGACTCACAAATTATAATTTAGTACTGGGTTGGTCTGTCATTACCTGCAATTCAAGCCCAATACAGCCCATTTCTCAATAATGGATCCAACATAAGATCCGGCCCAAGTCCGTGCACAAAGTTCAGTTTGAGTCCAAATTTCAAACACTTCATGGCTTTTTTCGCGGCATTTGACTGTCGTCTCTCCTTCTTCAGGCGTGGTTTCTTTCATATTTTCCGTACCCAACAAATTTGTAGGCAAGCTTGTGATCTAGCTTCATGATTCTTACTTATTACGTTTGTTATTGCCGATCAAGCCGTCTAAAATGGTTGAATGTTCGGGTCATATGTGAAAGCAATAAAAGTGCACGCCATGTGTTTGATGTTTTGCCGTAGTGGAGTCAGGGCCCTTTTACTGATGATGCCTTATGGAAGAAGAAAATAGAAAATGGTGGATGTAGTTTTAGTTTTGGAGTGCCAACTTGAAAGGTTATTTGGAGGTTGTTCTTTTCCAGGTAACAATGGCTAGACATGTATAGAAGTAGGTATGGTGTAAGCATGTAAATGGTGCACCATAAAGACATTCCCATGCAATTAAGTTCCAAATCATTTTCCAAATAAGTTAAAGAACTTGATGAAAAGATTGAGCAAAACCTGATCTTACCACCAACTTGCCAGAGTGACAATGACATACAATACACAAACTTTCTTTTATTCGAATATCTCTTCGACCCACTTTAAGGAAGCCAGAACCTGCTAGCTAGACTAGACTACTTTCAAGGGTAGGGAGAATACAAAGGAGAGACTAGTGGTGTTGAAGCTTAAATAATAGATATGACAGAGCATACTGTTTGGTGAGTATGAGGAGAACACTAGCTGCGATGACAGAAACAGTTGACCACGGTGTGTTAAAATAATTTTGCCTCAAATTTGCCATCCATTTGTGCCTGCGAGTTCTGCAGTAGTTGTTCAGCTCATCACATAGAGTAGCATAATAGTAGTTGCTAACAATGACCCCACTGTCAAGGTTATTGAGAAAAGTAGATACCCCACTGTTCTCACCTATCCAATTTTGAACAATTCCATGCTCAACAACAAGCAGCTCCACATCCTTTGATGAACTCACCAAACGCTTCATGAGGAAAACATAATTAGTTAGGCAATTCATGTTCTTGCAGTGACATTGTTCAAAAGCCAGGAGATTTCTGAATGTCAGCTCTGTCGAATCCAATACTCTTTAACTTCGGAATTTCGAGAACCCCACTAGAGAATTTTATGTCAAACAGACTTTCGCTTGTTCCCACCTTAAACTTGACTCCGGCCTGATGTAGCTCTGCCATGTTTGGTATTGTGGGAGATTTGAGTTTCCCTCTAGTTTTTGGTTCCATTGGTTGACACAAAATTCTCATAAAATCAACAAACCGGTTTACCTCTATTCCTGGAACAAAAATTCTCTCCCAATCGTCTTCTGTTCCCTCCCTATAGATTGCATCTTTGAACAAAAAGTAAGAAACAAATATTAGTGCATATTTCCTACTAGTAGGAGGGAAAAGTTTATCAGGGACAAAAAGATCTTTCAGAATGAAGAATGGCAGTTGATTTTCAAGCATTCGCAAGTCAGGCGATATATCGCGTTTCATCCATGGTTTCTCAAATATGTAGTCATTTTCATGATTAAATCCTAAAAAACACTTCCTCAACAAGAACTCAATGATGAAGGCTGCATCCACTAGAATGATTCTTACAAATTCATCACTGTCAAACTCAATGAAATCTGCATAATAACTGCGCAATCTTGCTTCTTGATCCTTTATTTTGTTTATATAATTATTCAAGCTTACTTGGGTTCGATGTAGAAAATACGCTAGATACCTCTTTTTGTGCTCTTCCATGGCCTTCAAGTGTTCTTTGCCATGGTGAAGTGGGCCTATAGAGACTACTCGAGGCGTGTAGGCGTTTTCGTTTCCCTCGCCGTAGTCGCTCAGGAACTCTGTAGATACAACGCAATGGGAGCAGGGGAGACAAGTTGGCCAACTCTTGGCTCATCGAAGTTTCCGAAGGATTGTGCTGGTTTTCTATGTCATAATTTGGAGCTTCATTTTTCTTCCTCATCATCATGTACTAGCACCAGAATCAACAAATATTTTATTTAATTGATGAGTGCAAGCAGGAAAGGGAACTGAAATCAAAATCTTGTATGAGTTATTGCATACCAACACCTTAAACACTGACTTCGACCAAAAAAAAAACACAGACCTTAAAAACTCACATGAAGTACTTAACTCTACTTTTGTATAGATATTTCCACATTCCAATCTTATTTCCAATAAAAACAGGCTGAGCCAAATCAAACTTTTGTCAAACCTATCTATCTATAATTAAACACTTCTCTCTCGATTAATAGAGTTCTAAGTTCAACAATTAAAAAAACATTTGCTTAAATAAAAAGTATCGATGCGTAAATATAGCAATGGGGAAGGAAAGTATGACGGTACAGACTGGATTGCTGATATATATGCAATGAATATCATTGTTGCCAACAATATGTATCGACATATTATTGGTACATTTTTGCCAACATCGATATCGATGTGCATATCGAGAGTCTGTTCTCTAATTTTCTGTATATGTCACACAACAATGACATAAGATTAATAATGGAAAAAGAAAAAACAGAAAAAGGAAGTGAAACCGCAACTTGCTATATGTATGACAAAACCAAGTTTGTTTCAGCCTTGATGGCTGATCACCAGAAAAGTTCAAGGCAGATTGTTTGCTCCTCTGGTAGATGTGATGAGGAAATTTGCTCTTGGTGGGTAGAACAAGAACATGAATTACCTAACTAATTATGTCACTGCAACAACATTGAAGGGTGCTCAGCATCGCCGATTAACATCTCTAACTAATCAACTCATATGCTGGATGTAGAATGTAATATATAAACAAGGCAGAATGCCCAATTTGCGCTCGTCTTTTATTCTAGGCAAGTACTACTACTAAGAAGAATACCTGCATGACCATTTGCAGAAGATGCATGAAATCCAACCACTGTTAGCACATATATCTATCATGGCCTGGATGATTCGTATACTTTGATCCAATACTGACTTCAAGCCTGTGACTTAATCACTGATTGGTAATTCTAACTGCGAGAAATGTTGCAGAATTCATGCACGGTAAGCAGTCCTTATCCCCTTTATATCGAACTCTCTCAGACAAAGCTTCATTGTAATTCTCCTATTATCAAAGAAGATATTGCAGTTCGAAATCAAGATAAAGATCTCATAATTTTTTAGTACTTAAAATTTCACTATGATCCGACGTAGAACTTTTTGTTGTCTTTGCAGTATGCAAAGAAAAACATATTCTTGTAGAAAATTTGTATGGAGGAAGAATGATTGCATATGACTGCGATATATAATATAATATAATATGAATATTATATATTATATTATATGTTTTATATGCCCTTTCTTAATAAATAGGACTGACTGTTACCACTTCGCTCACAAGATAGTTGTTATAGGTCAAGTATTAATTTTCTCCATCAGAACCCACGGTTATATAGATCTAGTCACTCAATGTGTGCCTCATTATGAATCCAAAAAAAAAAAAAAAAAAAAAAAAAAAAAAAAAAAAAAAAAACTACTCAATACTCAGTAAGACAACCATAGACTTATTGCCTCGTTATGCCGCACAGGAACTGCGTTATATTCAGAAGCAGCAGATAGGATATGCAAGACGATGTATCTGATCCTATGTTTGAACCAAACATTGATACAGTCATGTAGCTAAGATAATACTGGGATGCTATTGAACCCAGCATCGTTGGCTCTACATTGTCTTCATTCATCTTGATGCATCCACTGTCTTCCAGACCCTCAAATGTGTTTTGCACTAACCTTACCAAAATAATCAATAAATAATCAAAGCAATGCCACCGAAAGAGAGAGCATATCCTGATAAAAGGAAAAAAAAATCCATGAGAATTGAGCGTGGTATTACCTAGACAAGTAAGGGCTGAGAACTTCAGGTCCAGTATTGTCCAAGCCATGGTAAGCTGGATTAAACATCTGTAGAAAACTATGCTCATGTAAGATCTTGTACAGGTTGAATAAATCAAATACTAAGGACACTAATCAAAACCAAAGGCTTTTAACTCGTGTCTTCACCATATTTAAGTACAAGAGGATCATTGTGCTGCTCCTGTCACAGCAGCAATGCAAATGATAGGCGTTCTGAACTTCAACAGCAAAAAAAGATAGGTCTAGAGTATTGAAAAAGTAAAAAAGGAAAATGCTTTATTGATTAGATATAGGACTGCAAGATTTCATCCATTGACTTTATTAGATTTTATGATATTCAAAACCCCAAACAACCTGATTCCTAGTATTAATATTTGAGGCAAATATTCAGAAAGTAATATGATTTGTGTTTATTGATTGTTAGGCGGGCTGATTGTGACGGACATCTACTCCCATCTTTCTTGTAGAATCTGAGCAACTGTTGATTATAAAGGGAGAAAAGCATGTAATCTGATTCACATATTTCTTTCTTTCCATTTTTTATTCTATATAGTCATGTGTGACCAAAACCATCATTTGCAATATATCTATGATTGATATTGGAAACTCAACATATCTCTTTGTTTTCCCATCATAATATTCTGTTCCCTGCAAGAGAATAAACACTTATGTAAACCGCATCGTGTAATCCAATGCCAAACAGCAAGGTGTGCCTCAGGTTAAAGAACCTTATGCTGGGCTTCTCCTGGCATACTAAGAAACTGCCTTGGATGTTCATCTGACATTGAGAACTTCAATAACAGAAAAACACACAAAAAAAAAACAAACAAAACCGAAGAAAAAAAATCGAAGCTTGAGTTGAGAGAGAGGCTCAAGACCGAGTATTTGAATTTTGAAGATTGGACAGCGAGTGCAAGCTTCGTCTGTCTTCAATTTGAAGAAAAAAAAAAAAAAACGACCCGCCCAGGCTGCCTAGAAGCCGCCTAGATCTACCCAGGCCTCCTAAGGCGCCGCCTAGGTCCGCCCAGGCCGCCTAGATCCTCCCAGGCCGCTTAGGCCCCACCTAACTCCCTGGCGTCGGTGTCCTCCCGCCTAGCGCCTAGGCCGATTTTTCGAACACTGCTCGAAACCTGGAACCGGCTTGCTCTGTGCCCTAGACGTTCGTAGAGACGAGTTCGAGTCCTCTATCCGTGGCTTCCATGGCGTCCAATTTGTGTATGTTTCTGATTAAGTATAGCCGCGCAGCTATAAGCTATAAACAGAAAGAGAGTATCGCCGCGCGGCTATACTCCATAACTAAAATATTTTAAAAGTGTATCGCCGCCCGGCTATACTCCATAAAAAGAATATTTTAAAAGTATGGCCGTGGGAGTATACTAAAAAAAAAGAATATTTTTGAAGTATGGCCGTGCGACTATACTCGATAAAAAGAATATTTTAGAGTGACTATCCGCCATAAACAGAATATTTTAGAAGAGATATTTTAAACGTATAGCCGCACGGCTATACTCTATAATATTTTACGATTATAGCCGTTTGGACGTTCTCACAACAATTCGAGACCCTTCCTTGATATGTAGCTGAAGCGATGAATGTCCAGATCAATCTCAAAGTTGTTAGGACCCTGCATGTGAGAGAGCTTGATAATGTCAAACACCATGGTTTTTATGTTTCATCTTCTCAACACTCAGCAACATAAATGTTCAATGTTTACCTTGTAAAAATTGTGTTAGGGGCGTGAAAGAACTGGTTTGTCATTATATGCATGTACAAGCTTCTTCTCAGTAGAACTCCGACACCTTGTAAAAATTGTGCTAGGGGTGTGAAAGAACTGGTTTGTCATCATATGCATGTACAAGCTTCTTCTCAGCAGAACTCCGACCGAGATCCTCAGGATTTACTACCCCAGCCAAGATCTTTAGTCTTTCTCTAAAAGATACAGTGGAGTCCTTTGTGAATCCTTTAACTTTTTCCGTCTCATCGTCAACCATTTTCTAAAAGCATCATTCAAATATATCAACAGACTGAGTGTTCCAATACATAAGACCACATTTCCATCCGGGAGAGTACATCAGAATAAAGTACATGCCTATCCAAATGGATGAAGTTGCATACAAAATGAAGTTACCTTGATGCTGTCCTGGAATTGAGGAGAGACGTCTTTATCAAAATTCTCAGAAACTTTGAAGTACATTACAAGACTCATCCCCTCTCCATCATTATCACCAAGAAACATTGCAGCAGGATAAGTAGGCAATTGCAACAAGGCGCAGAGCAATATCATTAGATATTGCCAAAATATAACAAACAAAGGTTAACAAGATAAATCAATTCTGAAAAAATACCTGTATGTTTACAATGAACACTTTCCCATATGCTTTCACTTTGGGAAGCTCAGGATGCTGGGCAATGTGATGTATCTTTTTGGGGCATATAAATACAGCAACACCTATTGGAGTATATGGACTGTAGTTCGGAGCAGTTGACTTTCGTTATCTCTGGATGGTAGACCAATAGAAAATAATATTATCATTAGCTGGTATAGCCGCGCCGCATGGCTATACTGTTTATTAAAACCCCAGTCCAGCCGCATGGCTATACCCTTGTATTTAAATACTATTTATTTTTTTAAAGGACGACCCGCATATCGCTTAGCACCCACATAGCAATACAGCGACCAAGTATAGCCAAGCGGCTATACCCTTTTTGGTAATTTGAAGTATATTATTTTAAAGAGGAATATCATCGCAAGGACGATTTACTATATTATTTAAAAATGAAAAAATAAAAAAAAAAAAAACAAAAAACCGGCAGGTTTAGACTATAAAATATATACCTTAAAATGATATGACAAAATAGTATATTCAAAGAGTATAGACGGGCGGCTATACTGGCCAAATATATTAGTATCTTTTTACAGTATAGCCGGTCGGCTTGCTAAATACATTCGAATATTTTAAAAGTATAGCAGTGGAATATTTTAACAGTATAGCCGCGCGGCTATACTCTGTTCACAAAGCTTGTAGTCGCAGACGACGGAGGTTGCAGTCGACGTTTCGCTTCAAGCTTCGATTTGTTTTCTTCGGTTTCGACTGCTTCGTCCTCCGGGTTCGGCACCGAAAAATGACCCAACCCGCCTAGGAGGCCCGCCCAGCCTCCTAGCGCCCGCCTAGCCGCCTAGCCGCCTAGCCGCCTAGCCGCCCGCCTAGGCCCATTTTTAGAGTCTAAAGCACAAGATGCCGAGGATAGACTCGAAACGGTTGCCTCTCAGGCTCAAAAGGTCATGCACTGATGTACTCAATCCATCTTTGGTCTATGGCTATGAGTTTGTGATGTTGTTAGTGTGGTGTTCATTTTGTCATTGGCTTCTTTCTCTTTGCTTTCAGATGGCTGACATTGTTACAGAAGAATGGATTCAAATTCAGCGGCTTGAGCAGGCTCTTCATATTACACAAGTAAGTTTTTTCTGCTTGAAACTGGCTTCAGGTTCTTTATTTGCTAAATTCATAAGTTTTGCTGAGTCAGTAATATTTGCTAGTTTCTTCTTGGTTGGACTGCTTTTCATTCTTTGGATATTGCGTTTCTGTTATAGATTTTGACATTTGATAATGCCCTCTTGTTTGCTGAGAGAAAAAAGAAGAAGAAAGATTCGTCTCCTCCTCCTGTTGCATAGGAACCCAAAACCAACCCACCAAAGACCCCAAAAAAAAGAAAAAGAAAGAAAGAAATATTACACCACCTCAAGTGAAAAATCTAATTCATTTAAGCTTTTATATTTGTTCTTGTATCAGCATCTGTGTTTCTGTTGTGTGAACTCCACCTCAACTCCAAAGAAAACAAAAAAAAAAAATTAGAGGGTGCATTTGCTAACGCATGGGTTGGGAATCTCTTAATTATATTTAACTTTTCAAACTGACTTCAAAAGCACCAGATTAACATACCAACATGAAATATCGTTTATCGAGCCTTCATTAGTGTAAAAGGACTGTGACTTCATTAGCTGAAAATGCTTTAGAAGAAGGATAGACCTTGAGTTCATTGACATCCCTTTCACTATAAAATCCAGGCTTTTAAGGTTGAGGCAATGACCCTTCAATTTTGAAAGATAGCAAAGATTATTCAGCAAACACCTCCAATTTTGAAGGATTCAAATGGTGACAAATATTTTAATCTGATCTCTTAACAATTTGTGTCTAATAATGGCTAATATGCCGTTAGAGAAACAGAGATGTAGGTGTGCATATCACTGTGCTGGTTGTAACATTTGGCTAATATGTACCTACAGGAATTATGAATATGTCTGTTTTCTAACTGTCCAGAATTCAGTCCCATATAGCATGGCTGGTCTAACAGATGTTCTATGAGCTTAGCTTTCAATTCTAGCATAACATGATGATCACACTATATATATGCTTAACAAAACCCTCCATTTTACCTATCGTGCTTTGATTCTATGAGCCACATCATCTCCATTCTCCCCTTGTATATATGGATGATTGAGTACATCCTAGATAGTGAAAGTTTTTGCCTTTTGATATACTCTTAGTGGTAAATTGGTTGCTCTTATGTCTTCGTCAGAACCAAAGGCTCCTCTTGGTTAGCAGAATTCAAAGGAATATGGTTCCATTGACCATCTAGTAGATGCAACTTTGCCTGCTACTGAAGTCGAATAATCAGAACTGAGAATAAGGAATGGTACAAATAATGTTCACTATTATTATCAACAGTGTCTTCTGCATCACGATTCTCTTTCTTTGTTTTAATGAAAGTTTGTAACTTAAATTTGTGTTTCTTATAAAAAGAAAAATTATAAATTGCTCTTATTGTAGACTTCATGCAATAGAATTTGGTTAGTAAAATATTTTGGATGTGTTATTAAAAGTGTGAAGATAGCATTTTATTCCTGTGGTAAATGGATGCTATATGTGCAATGCTTATGATTTCTTATCTCAGTTATAGGAGAAACAAAGACTTCCGTAGCTTCTGGAAATGAGCATATTGGGGAGAAGCAATTAACGGATGTCTTAGTTAATTGGTGAAACTTCTTATAAGAAGATGGAGTCCAAAATAGTAAAGGAGCCACGCACAGTTCCAACAATAATGCACTCATCACCTATTTCCAGTCCAGGCAAGGGATATGACTTACAAATTATTATTTTATTTATTTTGGAACTACAGAATTGGTTATACTTTAAGTCTTCTTTTAAGTTTAATAAAATTGGTAATATGTTTAGGTGTTATTTTTGGGTGTCCAATTCTTTCCTAACAAGTTAAGAATATATATCTTCGCAACATTGAAATTGTATCACCGTTGTGACTCTGGTTGGTAATTTTGTTGCCTTGTCATTTATTGAACCTACCTTCCTTCCTTTATGTGGTAACACTTGTGTTGTTGAACATAATCATGCAGATAGTGAAGAAAGAGATCTCGTGAATATTTTTGCTAGTCTCAGTCTAAAGCCTTCGAATCTTCCTGCTTGAGATGCTCCTTGGAAGTGGGTAACTTCTCCATTTAAGATGTTACATATATGTATTCTATCATGATTTCAACAACTCGTGTTGTGATTTGAATTAGAGTTAATATGTTGTAGAAGTTGAATTAGAGTACAACTTCGATCTTCATGTTTTAGAGTCTAAAGCACAAGATGCCGAGGATAGACTCGAAACGGTTGCCTCTCAGGCTCAAAAGGTCATGCACTGATGTACTCAGTCCATCTTTGGTCTATGGCTATGAGTGTGTGATGTTGTTAGTGTGATGTCATTTTGCCATTGGCTTCTTTCTCTTTGCTTTCAGATGGCTGACATTGTTACAGAAGAATGGATTCAAATTCAGCGGCTTGAGCAGGCTCTTCATATTACACAAGTAAGTTTTTTCTGCTTGAAACTGGCTTCAGGTTCTTTATTTGCTAAATTCATAAGTTTTGCTGATTCAGTAATATTTGCTAGTTTCTTCTTGGTTGGACTGCTTTTCATTCTTTGGATATTGCATTTCTGTTATAGATTTTGACATTTGATAATGCCTTCTTGTTTGCTGAGAGAAAAAAAAAAAAAAGAAGAAGATTTGTCTCCTCCTCCTGTTGCATAGGAACCCAAAACCAACCCACCAAAAAACAGAAAAAAAAATTTGAAAGATGACACCACCTCAAGTGAAAAATCTAATTCATTTAAGTTTTTATATTTGTTCTTGTATCAGCATCTGTGTTTCTATTGTGTGAACTCCACCCCAACTCCAAAGAAAACAAATAAAGAAAATTAGAGGGTGCATTAGCTAATGCATGGGTTGGGAATCTCTTAATTATATTTAACTTTTCAAACTAACTTCAAAAACACCAGATTAACACACCAACATGAAATATCGTTTATCGAGCCTCCGTTAGTGTAAAATGACTGTGACTTCATTAGCTGAAAATGCTTAAGGCGAAGGATCGACTTCAAGTTGATTGAGATCCCATTCACTATAAAAACCAGGTTTTTGAGGTTGAGGCAATGACCCTTCACCATTCAACATTACAACTGCAGCTGGCATGCTCGGTCTATCTGCCAGGTTACGCTGCACACTTAAAAGACCTACATGAATTGATCTCACTGGAGTCCCCTACTGATGTATCAAGCACTTCAATGGACCTGCCTTCTGTGTATAGCATCCTTGCCTAAAGGAATTGATCAAAAGTTCAAAACCATTGTGCTTAATTAAAAGAAGAAACAGAAACAAGTAATGAGTAAATCCTTTGTTCCTCTTCCCACTCGCTATCTCTAGCACCAACCCACCTTTCTTCAGCTCATTTAAATCCTCTGTTTCTCTTCATGTGTAACCTCATTCTTCAACTCATTGAGTCCTTGTCTAGAATGTTTTGAGAGCGTTTTCGCATCTATTTCTTGTCCATCTTTTAATGTACCCTGAAATCCATTAGCCACATATGATGACCAAAATCCATACTCTGTTGTTTGCAAACGTTCAATATACGACTTGTATCCATAGTACTGACCCAAATGACATGCGGAAACTGTCAAGCTAACTGTAGGGAGGACTATATTTTATTTTACCTTAAAGACTGATCCAAAACCACCTTCTCCAAGTTTATTGTTGTTTGAAAAATTTTTGGTTGCACAAACAACAGCGGCCAAGTTAAATAATGGCAATTCCATATCTTCCTTTTGGCCGGGCTTCAGTTCTCCTGTGAAGTACGTAGTGAAGTAAATAATGTAGCATGGAACCTTAGCTTAGAAACCAGAGAGGCAACAACAAAAAATTTCTATAGAACTGAACCTACCTATCTTAGAAAATGAAGGGGCAGAAGAGTAGAAAATCAAATAGCTTACCATATTTTTGTTGCTGGTTTTTCCTCACCTGTAATAGCAGGGTAAGGCCCAGGATCAGCAGTCCAGTAGACAACACAGTACTGGTTACTATGATCTTTGTATTGTGTCCTTGATCTAGGGATGAAGAATTTGAAAGCAGAAGTTTGAGGAGTCAGAAATTCATAAAGAAAAAAATCTTTACTTTTTAATGCTAGTTTCTGAGACAGCTCTAAAGAAATATTTTTCTAACAATGTCAAAAGTTTTCTGGCTCTATCTTGTTTCTAATCATGTCACTGTTGGAAGATTTCTTTCTTCTTTTTTCCTTGGTGGCTTTTATTTTTCTTTCAAACTTTATTTTAAACAGCAAGATGATTCCATACCTAGTTCTGACGAAGCCCTTGCCCACTTATATTGGAATATCTTATATCAACCAGATCGCTGAACCACAGCAAGCACCCCCTTCCTCCATCTCGGATATCCAAATTTGAAAAAGCGGTGCAGGAGCAGTTGTTCATGCACATCATCTCACATTCCTTGAGGTTCATACTTGTGTTATACCAGGATTGTTCTGTACTTGGCAATTTCACCCCAGAGTACTTCTTAAAGATGTCTCCACTGCAATTCAGTTGGCTCTTTCTCACACATCTATATGGGCAATCCACCAAGTCCCAGTCTTGTTGAAAGTTCGGTATAAATCCTTTCAAGCAGCTACATACTGGGGACTTTTCAATACTACATGCACCATTCGGACCACATATTCCATATTTGTCACAGATATCAGTCATTGCTATTAGATAAACGACCCAACCTTGGTTTCCATCACTCCCGATGTAGCACAGCCCAAATCCATCTTGAGTTAACGCCAGCCTGAAAAGAGTTGAGCTGTTGAGAAGCTTATAACCATAATATCCTTCATCATCATTATCCAACACAAAATCATATGTTGGATTTAAATTATGCATCCCACTAAATTGGATTCCATTCCATGGTGCAGTCCTATATTTTATAACAGAACCTTCCCTCAGAATTAATTCATGGTACTCGTAAGGACCGAGTTGATATGGATAATGTCCTTGAGAAGGATCCTGGGGGCTTTTCCAGGGTGTAAGATGCCAATTAAAACCTGTGATTTTGTACCTAACAAGCTTCATACATGGTATTAATGTATCACCTGGGTAATCAAAACTGTCATAAAATATTATCAGAGTCATTACGACCATTGCCATCTATCACAACAAGATTTCCGGGATCCAAAAGCTGTGCTACTGGATTCTGTGCAGAACTTGATGTGTGGGAAGACCTGTAGTGTTCTTATGGTCGATAGGGACAAGAATTCCAGGGTTGCTCAACTTAAGTACACCTGATGAACCAGTGAGGGGTGTGTTTCTTTTAGTCTGCACTATATATGGAGAGTCTGACTCTAATTAGAAGATAATTGTATTAATTTGGTAAAGCTTTGTTTGTAACTGTCTCTCACCTTAAAAAAATTTCACAATTAGCAGCATTGGCAATACTTGATTAGAAAGTAGAAACCCTACAGTATATAGTTAAGTTGAGTAGCTGGGAAGACAATTAGTAAGCTTTCAATACTAAAGTTGAATAGTGGGGAGACAAATTACTAGAGTTTCAAGTTCAGATAAATAGGATGAATTTCTCATAAGGGATCCCCTTTAACTGTAGCTTGGAGTAGAATTCGTTTTGCACAGTATCAATTATCAATGTAAACATGTTACTGATGCATTATCGACAATATCGATGCAAGTCATATTTAGATGCGTAATTGAATGGAAACAAACATCACTCTCTCCAGTGTGAAATGGAGAAAATTCTCCTCAATCAAAAGTGGGCTTACTTCAAATTTAGTTCAAGAATGATGGTGTCTTGCCTGACAATTGACAATTAGGAGCGTTCCTCTAGTAGAAAAATCTAAAAGCATTGTCAACCATTTTCTAAAAGCATCATTCAAATATATCAACAGACTGAGTGTTCCAATACATAAGACCACATTTCCATCAGGGAGAGTACATCAGAATAAAGTACATGCCTATCCAAATGGATGAAGTTGCATACAAAATGAAGTTACCTTGATGCTGTCCTGGAATTGAGGAGATACGTCTTTATCAAAATTCTCAGAAACTTTGAAGTACATTACAAGACTCATCCCCTCTCCATCACTATCACCAAGAAACATTGCAGTAGGATAAGTAGGCAATTGCAACAAGGCGCAGAGCAATATCATTAGATATTGCCAAAATATAACAAACAAAAGATAACAAGATAAATCAATTCTGAAAAAATACATGTATGTTTACAATGAACACTTTCCCATATGCTTTCACTTTGGGAAGCTCAGGATGCTGGGCAATGTGATGTATCTTTTTGGGGCATATAAATACAGCAACACCTATTGGAGTATATGGACTGTAGTTCGGAGCAGTTGACTTTCGTTATCTCTGGATGGTAGACCAACAGAAAATAATATTATCATTAGCTGGTATAGCCGCGCCGCATGGCTATACTGTTTATTAAAACCCCAGTCCAGCCGCATGGCTATACCCTTGTATTTAAATACTATTTATTTTTTAAAGGACGACCCGCATAGCGCTTAGCACCCACATAGCAATACAGCGCCCAAGTATGCTATACCCTTTTAGGTAATTTAAAGTATATTATTTTTAAGAGGAATATCGCTGCAACGACGATTTACTATTTATTTAAAAATGAAACTTAAAAAAAAAAAAAAAAAAAAAAAAAGACTATAAAATATATACCTTGAAATGATATGACAAAATTGTATATTTAAAGAGTATAGACGGGCGGCTATATACATTCGAATATTTTAAAAGTATAGCAGTCGAATATTTTAACAGTATAGCCGCGCGGCTATACTCTGTTCACAAAGCTTATAGTCGCAGACGACGGAGGTTGCAGTCGACGTTTCGCTTCAAGCTTCGATTTGTTTTCTTCGGTTTCGACTGCTTCGTCCTCCGGGTTCGGCACCGAAAAATGACCCAACCCGCCTAGGAGGCCCGCCCAGCCTCCTAGCGCCCGCCTAGCCGCCTAGCCGCCTAGCCGCCTAGCCGCCCGCCTAGGCCCATTTTTAGAGTCTAAAGCACAAGATGCCGAGGATAGACTCGAAACGGTTGCCTCTCAGGCTCAAAAGGTCATGCACTGATGTACTGAATCCATCTTTGGTCTATGGCTATGAGTTTGTGATGTTGTTAGTGTGGTGTTCATTTTGTCATTGGCTTCTTTCTCTTTGCTTTCAGATGGCTGACATTGTTACAGAAGAATGGATTCAAATTCAGCGGCTTGAGCAGGCTCTTCATATTACACAAGTAAGTTTTTTCTGCTTGAAACTGGCTTCAGGTTCTTTATTTGCTAAATTCATAAGTTTTGCTGAGTCAGTAATATTTGCTAGTTTCTTCTTGGTTGGACTGCTTTTCATTCTTTGGATATTGCGTTTCTGTTATAGATTTTGACATTTGATAATGCCCTCTTGTTTGCTGAGAGAAAAAAGAAGAAGAAAGATTCGTCTCCTCCTCCTGTTGCATAGGAACCCAAAACCAACCCACCAAAGACCCCAAAACCAACCCACAATTGACTATTAGGAGCGTTCCTCTAGTAGAAAAATCTAAATCATTTGTGGTCATCCACTCACTTGGTTAGTCGTCCAGAATCAAATACCAAATCAACTCAAAGGAAGCTGCAATTTTTTGAATTGTATACTTGTTTTAATTCTTCCTATCTTTTTCTCTCTTTCACTTTTTTTGTCTCCCTCAAGCTAATACTTAAGTGAGTTGCCAAATGGGGGAAAAAAGAGAGTAGAAGAGATGAACCCCACATTTGACTTTAATGCCCAAGAGAAGTACCAATAATTTTACACACATTTCTTATTTTTTTTCAATTCTAACATCATGTCATCTATATCGCAATAGGCCATTGTAGTTAAATTTTCAAATAACCTAGTTGCTCTCTATTCTCGAAGGAAGACTAGAAAACAACTTACCATCGATCTGGTGCTACTTCGTCCGAAAAAACAGAGCTACACCCAGGAGGAGCCAGGAGATGACACAATACTGCCTACTATGATTCTTACTTTCTTCACATTCAATGAGACTTTAAAATGAAACCCAGGTGGTCTAACCCCCCAGGGTGGAAATTGGGTTTAGCACTGATTGTTGTATAGTCTTAAAATAAATAGTTTAGCGAGTGGACACTTCGACCAAAAAAAAAATCTCATGTATAGCCGCCCGGCTATACTATTGACATATAAACATATAAAAAAGGACCCGCCTAGTCACTTATCATAATTAGTATAGCCGATAGCAGAGCGGCGATTCTCGTTAAGTATATTATGTTTCACAGGCGTATAGCCGCACGGCTGTACTATTATTTTTTTTAGAAAAAGAGGACCCAATAAAGCCAGTAAAGCCGCGCGGCGATACTCCTTTTATATATTGTATGATATAAATATTATAATATATTATCTAATATTTGGAATATTTACTCTAAAATAAACAATATATTAGGTTCTTTTTGTCTACAAATTTGCCATTAAACTTCTTAATCACTCTTATACTTTCAATTAAATCTACTAGGCTAGATTATGATATTTGCACTAAAAACTCCTAAATTTTTTTCTTCTCTTTCTCTTCCTCTTTTGTTTAACTTAAGCTTAAGTTTAGTAATTTTTTTCGTTCCCTTTTTACATGTCTGAGTATGGTACTTTAATATTGGGATTTATGAACTTTTTTTGTACTTCTTCTCTATGTTGGAATATAAATTAGAGATATTTAATCATATACCCATTATTAGCACTAATATTATAAATAAACCCTATATCATCTAATTCCTATAAACAAACCCAAAAAAAATCAAAAAATAATAGCTGACCTTATTGAATTTAATTTTGATTATTAAATTACTTTGATGCCCTATTAAGTGTTTTGGGCATGTTGTTGTTGAGATTTTGGAGTTGGGTTTGTTTTAAGAAATTAATGGTAGTTTTGTAATTTAAAAGAAGTTAAAAGCCTTTTTATTATGTTGTAAATGGGTTTTGGGTGTGTTTCTAAAGTCCATTTCATACATGATTTTTTTATAAATAATTTGAGCTCGTATATTGGGTATAATAGTGAATCTCCATTTATTAACTTTTGAGTCTTTAATAGTGTAGATGATGAGATTAATATTCAACCATTTTATAATGGGGAGACTTTGAAAAAAGACAAAGGAGAGAGAAATTTTTTAAAAGAAGCCAAAATGGACAAAATTGCCCTTATTTATTTTTAGATTTCCTAAGGAATCATTTACATTTACATGTCTTTGATTTGAAAGTTGAGAGGTTTTTCTATCTTTTTTGAAAAATCTTTGGCTTTTTCTAAAAGTGAAATTTTTTGTTTTGCTAAAACCTAAATTTACTTTTATTTTATTTATTATAATATGAAATTAAGGACAATCATGATTGTAATGAATGAATTATTAATCAATATGAAATGATATTATGAAGTAGGCTCAATCGAGTAGTTATTATCGTATTAACTTATTAACCAGTTAGCACTTGAGCGCCCCTATTCGAATTATTTTATAAAATTTTATGAAGGGCCCCTTCTAATGCAAAATTCTGGTTGCGCCACTACCTATAGCAACTTGGTAATGTGTGTGAAATACCCCTCTTTTTGTCGTTTAGACTATCCGTTCGCTTGTATTAATAAAATACAAAATAAAAAATAAAAAAAAGATAAAATTATAAATAAAACAAAACACATATTAAAGCCTAACTGTTAATAATGGATCCAACATAAGATCCAGCCCAAGCCCATGAATAAAGCCCGTGAAAACGGTTGGACCCAATTTTAAACACGTTAATGCGTTATAGGTTTTTTCCCGGCAAACCGTTGGTCTCTCCTCCTTCAGCTTTACACGAGCGGCATAGTCTCTTTCGTCATTTTCTGTACCCAATAGAAGTGTAGGCAAGCTTTTGATCTTGGCTCTCCTATGCTTGCATCTTACCTTTGTTATTGCCGAGTAAGCCGTCTCAAATGGTTGGTCGTTCAGGTCATATGTGAAAGCAACAAATTGCACGCCATGTGTGCGATGTATTGCCTTACCGAATTCAAGGCCCTTTTACTTTTGCAGTTCTAACTTCGGAGCGTCGACTTGAAGGGTTATTTGAGGTTTTTTTTTCCAGGTCGCAATGGCCTGTAGACATGTAGACAGGTTAATACATGGTGCAAAGCATCTAATGGCTAAGCGAAAGGGAGCTGTCTGTTTGAATGGGATGCTATATCATTGCTCAGAGGAGTCCCATGGAGAGCCTATGCCCCGAGAATGGTATCAAAAGGAATTCCCCAAGTTAACAAAACTAACCCAAGTGTTAAAAAATGTCGATTTGGTTGATGGAAGGCTTGTTAACATCAGTGATGGTTCGATTATCATGGATGACCGTATTGAACACAGAATGCTTACTTTCAAGTCACTTGCCAGGGAATTTATTGGGTCTCCATTAGTTCAGCAAACATTAAAGAATGATGTCGTGGGGTTGTCAGGTGGTAGAATCTGTAATCAATTTGTGTGTTTCAGTAAACCAAATGAAAGAGAGCCCATGGTTGTAAAAACACTCTCCGTAGTAAGTGGCTTTCTGAACATCACTGCTCAACAAAGACAGTCAGTGCGTGTTACATTATCTCCACAGATTACACAGCACCGCATATGGACTGGGACGCTTGAGGAGGTACTCAATGGATTGAAATCCGAGTTGGAATATTTAGATCATCGGTGCCCAAGCAAAGGGACAAAGATGGGACAGCAGATAGTTGCTAGCTGTCTGAAGTTCTTGGCTGACACATCCACATCCATTTCATATGAACATGATTGCTCTTCATGGACGCGCCTATCGCCTGCAAAAGTTACAGATTCTTCGGGTTTGCAAAAATGGGAAGATGTTCTCGAGATGTTCAACGACCTCATCGATTGTTTGAAAAATGAAAGGGAGTTACTTCTTTACGTAGCGAAGCTTGAGGTCTTGAAAGAGGGGCTGTCTCAGATCAAGGATGTGTTGACTGATAGAAATATAGGACACAAGGAAGTTCGGCATCAAGAAAGCCTAGTGCAGAAGAAGCTGACAAAGACATTGGGTCATTCGTCCAAGTGCCTGTTCACACTTTTGTTATATTACCTCTTTGGGCGTGTTATAGATATTGAAGTGGACGTACGTGGCGGCATTTATAGCAGCGGTAG